TGGTATTTTTAGTTTCTACTTTTCGGCATTTTCTAGTTGGGTGGTTCCAATATTCCTACTTGAATAATGTTGAATCACCCTTAGGATATGTTGCCTGCTTTTTAAATTTGTCTTTTGACGTCTTATCTGTGATACGCAGGCTTCATAACCTCTGATCCCCTTTCAAATTTCCATTTTATTTAGTTCCGCCCATTGTTTTCTCGTTTAGGGCACACGCTTTTTTTACTTGGGGACCATACGCCGCTTTTCATGGAATGGCACGAAAGTGTCACATTGAAGGTTCCATGATAATCGCCGTATGAACACATTTGCGGATGTTTCTAAATTCAAAATTTTACTATTTCATGTTTAAATGTTGAATTCTGCTTAAGCCAGTGCTAGGGGGCGTGGACGGTAACTTGCACTTTCCAGTACCGTCTATGAACAGGCTCAATCAAACCGAGCCTGCAACATTTTCAATTTTGCCGTGTTGGGCTTTCTTTAGGGATTCTGTATTTATCTATTTTCTGATCACATCCGTGTTATTTGTGCCGTGTGGCGGCTGTAAAAAGTCTCCCCGTACATATAATCAATGATGTTATATTTTCGATCCTTGAAGATCGTTCAGCACGACATTGTTGTTGTGCTTGTGGTATTTTTAGTTTCTACTTTTCGGCATTTTCTAGTTGGGTGGTTCCAATATTCCTACTTGAATAATGTTGAATCACCCTTAGGATATGTTGCCTGCTTTTTAAATTTGTCTTTTGACGTCTTATCTGTGATACGCAGGCTTCATAACCTCTGATCCCCTTTCAAATTTCCATTTTATTTAGTTCCGCCCATTGTTTTCTCGTTTAGGGCACACGCTTTTTATTACTTGGGGACCATACGCCGCTTTTCATGGAATGGCACGGAAGTGTCACATTGAAGGTTCCATGATAACCGCCGTATGAACACATCTGCGGATGTTTCTAAATTCAAAATTTTACTATTTCACGTTTAAATGTTGAATTCTGCTTAAGCCAGTGCTAGGGGGCGTGGACGGTAACTTGCACTTTTCCAGTACCGTCCATGAACAGGCTCAATCAAACCGAGCCTGCAACATTTTCAATTTTGCCGTGTTGGGCTTTCTTTAGGGATTCTGTATTTATCTATTTTCAATGATTGTGTTTATATTTGCCGTATAGGCATGTTATATCAAAACATAATTTCCCCCGACTCAACAGTTACAGAGTACTGCACTTTATTTAAGCATTTTAGCTTAAAATGAAAACTTATTTTCCTAACTTTTGTTATCAAACAGAAACAGTTTTTCTGATTTTTAGTAACAGTGATATTGACCTTGAATCTAATGGTTTTTAACAAAACCTCAGTCAGGTCTCCATAACGCTTGCAATAAACACTGTACCAAGTTTGATTATTACAAAATCTTCTCCCTCACTCTAGTAACTGTCCAGAAACCATTTTGAATCACATTTATTGAGTAGTGGCGACATAAAGGGATCACTTCTCAGTCGTCTGTCTGTCCGTCCATCCGTCACAAAACTTATCCGGACTACTCCTCATAATTTACTAGTATAATTTCATCCAAACTTTACAGAAATAATCAGTACCAATCTAGTTGTGCATTTTGTCAGCATTTTCGGGTTCAATTATTTTTTTCTGAGTTATGGTCCGGATTACTGATCTTATACCACTAATGAAATTTCAATGAAACTTTACAGGATTGCTCTGTAGTTCAAGTATATTACTCGGGTTTCAGCTGGATTGATTTTTGGCCCAGAAATGGCCCTTGAATGAAAATGGTGTTAATAAAGTTTATCAGGACTACTCCTCTTTTACCATTAATGTAATTTCAATGAAACTTTACAGGATTGACTGGTCGGTCAAATACTTGTGCATAATTCACAAATTTTTCACTTGAATAATTTTCAGGTGAGTTATTGTCCTTGAATATAAATGTGTTTTGTCCTGTTAATGATTTTTTGGGTCTTCTGCTACACAGTAGCTGCAACATGCGATTGGCTACTGTAAAACACTTATTATTCGCGAGAAATTTATTTTCGCTAATATTCGCGAGTTTTCTAAGACGCGAATTCATATTTCTCGCAAATATTTCACTTTGTCTATACACTTGTCCGAAAACGAATACTCTCCGAAAAGGCGTACACATGGATATATATATCTGCGAAAAGTATCGAAACCAGTTCTTGTTACATCATGAAGTCATTCAAGTGTTGCAGCATATACATATCGTACAGGTTACTAGTATGATATATGTACCTGTAACAATTTGGTATTATTGAGGAATTGGAAAAAAAACTTCTTCTCTGCACATTACCTGTGTCAAGGAAGGTAACTGTGACTTGCACTAGAATTAATTTTAATGGTATTTCTACAGATTTTTCTAATTAATGTGAAAATTGTTAAGCACCTGCGAGTTGTTTGTAACATTACTATTTATTGTATCCTATTGTATTTTACTACAGATTAAGCCGGAGGGTAAACATAATCGTTGACAGGTTAGGCAAATTACAGTACCGTTTAATTGATTTTCGTCTGCTTGCCTTTTAATGGCTAATTAGAGAAACTTAACAATACATGACAAACACAGTGAACACATATCAAATAATTATCAAACTTTATTGACATATTTTTAGACAAGACGGTTTCACTTAACAAGAATATTAGCAAGCTATCAGAAAAATCGATACAGATATAAATGCATTTGTCGCACAATAAACGACGCAAAGTTAGTGAACGGACAGGACAGAAAATATCCGAATGACATCGGGTTTCCGGTTTCACATTTTTTGGGAAGACGCGAATTCATGGTGACGCGAAATAATTATTTAGGACATTTTGCCTCAAATTCGCGAAATAAGGTTCTCGCGAAAAATAAGTGTTTTACAGTATCATGAGGCGACGCATAGCATCACTAATGGCCTTTGTTCTACATGTAGCTTGATTACATAATCTCGTTCCGAACTCTAGTTATCATCCGGAAACCATCAGACTGTAAGACAGATGTTCTTCTTGAGGTTATCCCTTTCAAATTCTTTTATCTCTTAAAGCCCAAAAACATTGTATTTTCTACCATAAGCATTCTTTCCCCCTACATGTACAGTATGTATGGATACAGATATTCAGTAGGGGATTAATAACATGCCAGAGGAGACAGCACACTGGACGTAAATAATGCTGTCAGTAAAAACAAAGGGTATATATTTACTTGAGTGATGATAAGAAATCAGGAAATTGACAAAAAGGTCAGATGTGGCCTGTCAATGAGTAATGTAAATGTCGAATTAGCAATCATATCAACTAGATCGGTTTTATAATTATGTATGCAAGAATATGATTTGTTTAAGACACATTTCTAAGTCATCACTACAATGTGTACTGAACACACATGCTCTATAAAACACATAACTTTAGATCTTTGTTAACCAGAAACTGTTAAATCAATTTGTGAGGTCTTAATCGCAACTCTAAGATTTGAGTATCCTTTCAACTAACAGTAGAATATATGCCATTTATGCAAAATATGATAATCACAAACCTTTTATTCTGACAATGTTGCTTCCCCTTTGATCAAGATTCTGATTTCTGTCTTGGATGCCATTATTTGCCTCACAAATATAAGTACCACTATCTTGAAGTTTTGCATTTTGTATTTCTATGACACCATCTGTTGAATTAAGTACTTTAGATATAACCACAGGTCCCCATTTATGTACAAGAGACGAGAAATGATAAACTTCAGGCCTTCCTTTAGGTTTACATTGAACTGTGAAGGTGTTGTTTTCAGTTGGATTCCGGTTACTTACATTTACAATGATATCTGGTGCATCTATTTGTAAACAAGAAATGTATTATAGTGTATTTGTATGTTATATCATTAATTAAAGATTATAACATCATAACCATCTGAATGCAGATGCATGTTGTCATTGAGTCAGAGCCTTTTTTCATTTTGTTTTCTTTACTTGTATATGTATTGTTTTAACATTATTTATTAAAGTTTGATTGTTAAGAAACCTAATTACTGTAAAACACTTATTTTTCGCGAGAACCATTTTTCGCGAATTTGAGGCAAAATGTCCAAAATAACTATTTCGCGTCAACATGAATTCGCGTCTTCCCGAAAAATGTGAAACCAGAAACCCGATGTCATTCAGATATTTTCTGTCCTTTCCGTTCACTAACTTTGCGTTGTTTATTGTGCGACGAATGCATTTATATCTGTATCGATTTTTCTGATGGCTTGCTAATCTTCTTGTTAAGTGAAACCGTCTGTCTAAAAATATGTCAATAAGGTTTGATAATTATTTGATATGTGTTCACTGTGTTAAAGGTTCACTGATTAGCCATTCAAAGGCAAGCAGACGAAAATCAATTAAACGGTACTGTAATTTGCCTAACCTGTAGTAAACGATTATGTTTACCCTCCGGTTTAAACTGTACTACAATACAATAGGATACAATAAGTAGAAATGTTACAAACAACTCGCAGGTGCTAAAGTATTTGTACCAATTAGAACAATCTGTAGAAATACCATTTAAATTTGGTGAGACGCATTAATTTGTTTATACTTAATTCTAGTGCAGGTCACAGTTACCTTCCTTGACACAGGTAATATGCAGCGAAAACGTTTTTTTTTTTTCCAATTCCTCAATAATACCACTTTGTTAAAGGTAAATATTTCATACTAGTAATCTGTACAATATGTATATGCTGCAACACTTGAATAGCTACAAGATGTAACTAGAACTGGTTTCGATACTTTCCCGCAGATGTATATCCATGTGTACGTATTTTCGGATAGTATTCATTTTCGGTCAAGTGTATAGACAAAGTGAAATTTTCGCGAGAGATATGAATTCGCGTCTTAGAAAACTCGCGAATATTAGCGAAAATAAATTTCTCGCGAATAGTAAGTGTTTTACAGTATCTTATTACTGTTTTAAACAATCTCAAATATTCTGATGCCATCTGACTTAGTAGGGTTCAAACCATTATCACTATGTCAATGTTCACCTTTTGAAATAGTTTAAAGGGACTCCACTGATGTTTAAAGCCTTATACATAACATTTGAATTTCTAACATAAATGGGTTGGGGCTCTTTAAACAGAAACATATGCAAAGAAAGTAAAGAAATTTACTTTGAAATAAATTGAAAATCGTATTTATATGCTTTTCTTAGCCCGATTTGAGTGCAACACGTTTAAACAATTTTCATTTTTGGTCATTTTTTAACAATTTGAATAATTATTTTGGAAAAACGAAATGCACAAATAATCTGAAATTTTGCACAAAGATTAGTGGTCTAAATGTACATCAAATAGTACATTATCTAGAAAAAACAATTTCAGTCCCATCATGTCAAAAAACCTCAGTGGAGTCCCTATAAAGTAAACATAGTCATGTAAAATGAATGAACCATTTCAACAGCATACACTTGATTAAAACCATTTAAAGGAGATCCATGAAATCCTATCATCCACCTAAGATAAATAAAAAGAAAATATAATACGCCTATAATATTTTTAATGCACAAGAAAGTAGTAAGGGTAAAGGGAATACAAGTGTTACACACTTACAAATTTAAGGAGACATTTTCTTCAAAGAATGCTACTGTGGCCTCCTTTAAATGTTATGAAAATTCTATTGTTCTCTTAAGACCTATCTACAGTTAGATGACATGGCCCCTTTTTGTTGTCTGTAGTACAAACAGGTAAACGGACGGACAAAAAAGACAGCTGATATACGTATCCTTGGGGAGCATAAAACAATGAATTGGTTAATAAAACAAACCTCAATTAATGGGCAAAGAAATTAGTTGAAAAAGTAAAGGCATTCAAGCAGAAACTGTGTAACATAAACAAAACACTTTTATCCCAATGACTGATTTTTGTTTTGCCAAAAAAATGACATTTTCACTCAGTAAAGGAAGAGGGAGATGAAATGTTAATGAAAATTCATTTTTGAAATAGTTCTGAAACTTGAGCTTGTATAACCTTCGCCACGAGATATGACCTTTTGACCTACTCCTTCAATTATCAATATCTGGTATTGTAATGATCATAATTATTAGATTTTTAAAGAAGTATGTCAATTAAAAATCTTAAGCAGAGCAGAGATCGTTGGCTGTTACCAGTATTATATTGCTGTACTAATTACCGTATTTCAGGTTACTTTCGTGTTCCACAAATTTCGCGAATTTTGAGGTTATATGAATTTAAAAGAATATAATTTTCGCGATTGTACACGTTTCTTTTGTCACGTTTTTCTCGTTATAAAGAGAAACCACTCTTTTTGTCAGACATTTATTGATTTCACAGTTAAAACTTTGTTTTCAATTTCCCTATTGACGTATCGGTTGCATATATGTATTCGGTACATCACACTTATTTTCTCATCTCATCATATTTTTTACATATTATTATCAAGCTGTCTATGTGTGCAAGGTATGAATTAAATTTTTATCTTATTTAATTAGAAAATAAGTTAAATAAGCGTTAACAAAAATATCTGTTTGCTGATTGAATCACTTATATACTAAAGAAAAAGTAAAAAAAACACAAAAAAACATTTAATTCTTAACAACCATTAATATCGAAAATTGATATTTTAATAAATTGAGATGTAGGTATACAATGAAAAATTCATAAGACTTAACTGGATAACAAATCAAAAGCAGAAAAGAAAGTTAAAGGAATTCGCAAAATTGAAAGGAAATTTGAGGACTCTATTTTTCACGATATTCATTGCACGCGAATACAGCAAAAATTAGATACTTGCGGGAAAAAACTGATATACGGTGTAGTAGTTTACTTAAGGTGCATATTTTAATTCAAAAGAGGATTCTGATTTTGTCTCTTCAACATATGATACTGGCTGACATTATCAAAAAGTTAACACTAAACTTAACTTAAAACAACTTAAAACAACTTGCAGTTAACAGTAACATTCAATTCGTCTTCTTTAATAAAGTTATGACTTGGATAGTGAGTTGATGTTGCTGTAGCTCTACATGTGTATTTCCCATGATCTGTTCTATCTATATCATCAAACAACAAAGTAGGACCTCTTGACGGTTGTCCTACCCAATCTACATTTGGGTTAGGGTTACCAGATGCATTGCATGTAGCAGACAATGTTTGACCCTCATCTTTTGTTGTGGTATTAACTTGTTTACTATCCACAAGTATCTGTATTATTGGAGAATCTGCATTACATAGAAACATTTGACAAATTTAAATAAAATAGATGTTTATTTGTTTAGATTGGTCTATACACTAAGTTAATTTCATTTTTACAAACCTTTGCCATAAATATAAAGGACTGTATCCGATTTATGAAGAGACATGGATATTTTTGCAGTTGGTCTTTACCCTACCGGTAATTAAACTTTACAAACCTTTAAAGAGTTAAATATAAACGAGTTGTTTAAAGCAATGGTCAAAACAAGAAATATATATGATGCGTAAAAGCCAATAAATCATCAAATAGAATTATTATTATGCTAATGGAAACAATTACTCATATAGAAATCTAATACTGGCTCTTGTTTAGACAGGAATATCTAGATCAAAGCTAACTTTTTAGAGCAGTAACAAGACACTATGACGTATCTTCTGGGCAGTCAACAGAGTTTCAAATATATTACTTCTAACACAATACATGTTTCTCAGGAACAAAATGGCTCTAAATCCCTCATCTGAGATGCATTGCTAGAAGAGGTCAATTCTTCAATGCATTGGTCTAGACACTTTTGACCATTTTTAATATTTGAAAATGACTGCTAACAAATGCTACATTCCAAATATCTTTAAGAGACATTGGCACTGTAATTTCACAGAAGAAGTTTTAAATCTACTTACATTAATTGAGCCCTTACTACACTGGGCTTATTTTTTTCTCAGAGGCTAGATTAAGACAAAAAGGACCAGAAGGTGAGGTCACATGCGTATGTATCAACAGAAATAAATCTGTGAAGTTTTTCAAAACTACAAAATATGATAAATGCAAAATTGATATAGGGATGGTCTGTTATAGGTTATTTTTTGTGTCCGCCTGGAACATTTTCATCGATAAAGATATGCGGGCGATTCACAAATGATAGTTGATTTACTTGGGCCTGACTTAGCATCATACCCTTAACAAATCATGTTAGCCTTTGACTCCAAGTGTGACCTTAGGGTAAGGGACTAAATCTTGAGCAAGACACATTTTCCTGCTATTATTAACATATGTGCCAAATAATTTCAAAACCAATAGATTACAAAAAAGTTAAGGATCAGACACAAAATAAACTCTATAACACACCGAGGTAAGCTTTGATCCCAAGTGTGACCTTGGTCTTGAATGTAGGGGTTTTATTGTTGCGCATTACATGTCCTCCATTTCTTGTGAACATTTGTACTAAATAATTTCAAAATACTTTGAACAATAAGAATACATTTTTATGTAATAAACAGACGAAAATCAATGCTGTGATGCCAGTATTTATTTGATGACTTCTTGGTTTGTTATGCACCACCATTTTCCTGTTTTTAAAACAAAGCCTCAGATTTTTATTACAAGTATAAAAAATTATGAAATCATTCTTACATTCCACTTGTAATAGAACTTGTATGGACTGGATCTGAAGACCTTTCTTCTGTGTAAATAAATTCTTCAACTGACAACTTACTGGACTTCTATCAATTTGATACGTTAGTTTAGGTAACTTTAGCTTCCTTGTATCAGCAACATCAGGTGTACCATATTTTTTGGACCATGTTGCTGTAGCTGTAGGATTACCATAATCAGATGTGGAACAATAAATACTCTTTCCTGTCTGACCTTCCAGGAATGGAAAACTATCATTCTTAATTCTAGGCTGTGACGGAGGCCCTTGAAATATTAAAAATAACACATTGATCAATATGTTGTCAATATTTAATATTTCTACAGCAATATAATGACTATTTCATGATCATATATATTTTTAACATCAAAATAACGTTCATGCAATCTTCAAGTAAAGTTGTGTTTGATTTTTATTCATGTTTTAAGTTATTCAGTTAACATCTTTACCTGTATATTTTAACTATATTAAATAAAAGGAATCCAACAAAATGAAATTCAGATTGGGTTGTGTGAAAAGGCATTTACTCATTTTAGGACACTCGCTTCAATAATGGAGCAAAATATGTAAATATATGCAGATTGATATAGGTGATTCTGTTTTAATTAAGTCCCACATTTATAAATGATCAACAACAAATAAACATACAAAAAGAGAACAAAAAAACAGCTTGATTTAAGGCAGTGCACTCAATAATTTGTTAGAACAATAAGGATTTATATAATGAATATTTTTTGGAAAAAGCTGAGAATTAACTTCTTGACATCTATAAACCTGATTTGATTAAAATCCTTAATTTGTTTGTTAATTTAAATACATTGTGTATACTGTTACAATGTATACATTTTTAAAAGACACCTTCGGTAGAACATTGTTGTTAAGCTTACTCCCCTTTATTTAATACACACATGTATTCTTCCCAAATTGCTGTTGTTGCTGTTGTTATTTTTTACATTAAGTAATACTTTACCTTTTAAAGTTATCATAACCATAACTGAAGACACAGAAATATAATTGTTTTGATATGTCACCAAAAATGCTATATGAATATAATTAAATGGTATATCATGTTATTATGTTATTTGAAGCCAATATTTATGTATCAGAAACAATCAGTACTGATAGCGTTATTTTGGATCAATTTTGCAACTAGGTTTGATCTATAAATGAATAAGTTACTCTTTGAACTTGAATAAGCAAAATCTTTACATGTTTTAAATGAGAAAATATGTATCAATGACATAACTAACAGTTATCGAGCACCGTTTTCTTTGTTTTACAAAGATGAATGAATTTAAATAATAAGCAAAATCAAGCGTATGACACGTTTTGCCTAATAAATTTCACTGGAAATTTCTTAAATATGGGTTGCTATTTACCTTATTCATTTACATGTTGCAAATGCTGGATATTGCAAACACTTATCTCAATCATAATTTACATGGACAGTCCAGAACATTGTCTACATCAATAAGCAAACAAAGCACATCTTAAATTAGTCTGACACAAACAGTCATTTATTCCCTAGTAAAAATTCATTTAATTGTCAAGTAATTGATCTGTCTCGCACCTCTGCAGTCTCCATATGGGCTGATAGTTAAGCTAATTGCACCCTCACATTTTGGGATAAAATATTTTTGACAAATTGGTTTCTCTCTGATATCTTGAAAGAACAAAAACATGGGAAACACGGCAAACACTTGCTAAACATTAAGACATTGGTGGTTACCTATTTAAGTTTAAGTTTAAGAGAGATTTCCGGTCCTTAAATATCGTTCAGCCACGGTAGGGAATCACGTGACTTTTACGGCTACGCGTACAGACAATATGGCGGCCTAAAAACCTCGCTTCACATGTGTTTTTCAGGTAATTCTTTATTATATCCCTTTTACTTACATACGAGACCTGTTGCAGCCTACGCGGAATAAAGAATTGTTGCCGCCTATACCTTAGTATCCACCCCTGTGCTCATAGCTTTTACAAACACTCAAAAATTCAACAGAAATTTTCAATGTGAACAATTATATTTCGGGTAACATTCACGCAAAATTTGTATTTTTTATGAATTTGATTAAACTACGTCGAGTTAGCAAAGAGAAAATGTTCATAGAATTTCTTTACTTGAAAATGTAAATATTAGGCATGTTAAATGTTGACTGGTCATTTTCTATTCCAATACATGAGAGAAAAATTATTTGGGTAACTCCCACGCGTACTTTTATTGTTGATAACTCCCACGCAATATTTTATGTGCAGGCAATATCTATGCAGGTTATAGCCTAGATATTGATTGAACAAAATCATGATTGATGCATTTAGCCTAAAACGTTCATAGAACTTTGAATAATATTAAAAATACCGCCAAAAGGTCCTGGATAGAATAAAGCCCCTATGGATAGCAGAATACATACTCACGCGACTATATTAAATGAAGTTTCGATATAGATGAATTAATCGCAGAAATTAAAATATAAGTCTCAATTATAAGAAGGAGGTCGATTTCAGTTTAAGCACAATTACAGTTGTCTTTTTTATAGTTTGCAGATATGGACGGTTCCAGCTCGGATATTGTTTGTGGATAATGTTGGACAACATTTGTCTTAATGACCACACAAACTGGCTACTCGGCACGGGACCTTGTAAATGTTGTGCCAAATCGAAACGTGACAGGTATGGCATTTTATGTTATTCGTTATATTAAGATTTTAAAGACATTCAAGTCATTTTATCACTTAGTCTTTTATGTAACCAACATTTTTCAAATTAGTGTCTGTATTTAACATTATAATGTTGTGTTTTTTTTAATCTAAAGCATAAAAGAAAACAAACTAAAGAATATTAGAATTCACAAACTAGGAAATAAAATCTAGAGGACTTATGTTTGAATGTCATTTAAATATCAACATTAAAACCCGTAACGTTTCCGATTTGCTGGGCTATAAAATGTTTTACCACAACATTTATATGGACCTGTGCCGTGTAGACTGTTCATATGGTCAATATTTGAGACCTATCCGTGAATGAAATGTTTCCTACATTCATCACAAACAATATCCGAGAAAGAACCTTCCATATCTGCAAAATATGAAAAATGACAGCTGTAATTTTACTAATAAAAACAGAAATACATAACCTCCTTCTAATATTTTAGACTTTTGTATCAAAACGCGACCTTATTGAATGATTTGGGTTTGGTAGGCCTTATGCGAAGTTATTGCTGTCCTTGGCAATTTATTGCGAAATTATTGCTGTCCTTGGCAATTTATGATTTTACAAGCCATGCCTTTTTGAAATTTATTTATCATATTATTGTAACCTATAAGCAGATGAAGTGTTGTTCGCCCCATATAATTTACGCCCCAAGACGATTCGTCAATTTAGCTGTATTAATTTTATATCTCAGTGATAGTAAAATTAAATGTGAATTAGTTTGAAAAATACATTAAATCCATTGCATTATCAAAACAAATATTGATTAAACTGTTTGAGGTTAAATAATAAAGATGAGAGTTAAATTTTAAGTTTAATTGCCGTGAATTTATGGGGAATAATAAGTCTATTTTATATTCTAGATACTGGTCCTGGCTGAAATTTAGAGTATTACAGCTGTAGCTTCTATACCATAAATTTAACATGGAAAGGACTCATCTTGGGAAAATGCTGACGTGACTGATGGGAGCAGTTTTTCTTACCAATCATAGACCAGACTTAAATAGCTTCTTGTTTAAAAAGTTTTTGTTGTTTTTTTTTGTACATAATTTACTGTCAATATGAAACTTCAGCTGTATCTTAATTTCTATGCTTTTTTCTTATGTAAATCTTAGAAGATAAGCATTTTAAGATAAAACAATTCACTAAGTTGATTAATTATATCTAATTTGAGATTGACCAAGTCAATTTTAACTACATGTTGTAACTTCTTATTTTATTTGCAGAAGCAGTAGAAGTATTCAAACACCATCATAAAACACTTAAGACATACCCAGAGAGCTCTAGAAGAAGTACTAGTGGTAGATTGGAACAGATTGTAGCTTAATTGTTAAACTAAAAGGACCTCTTAAATCGTTTGAATTTAAGCTACACTTGAACTGTAGTTTTGAAATAAAATAGCTGAAGTATTTAATAGTGTCTTGAATTTTTTTGTTAAACTCTGTTACAGTTAGAATTAAAGTATGTTGAAATGACATTGAAACTTCAACGTTGTGCCAACGTTGAACTTCAACGTTTTTTTAAACTTACTGTTTAATCACCCTAAGGATATGTTGCCTGCTTTTTAACTTTGTCTTTTGACCTCTTATCTGTGATACGCAGGCTTCATAACCTCTGATCCCCTTTCAAAATTCCATTTTATTTAGTTCCGCCCATTGTTTTCTCGTTTAGGGCACACGCTTTCTATAACTTGGGGACCATGCGCGGCTTTTCATGGAATGGCACAGAAGTGCCACGTTGAAGTTTCCATGATAACCGCCGTACGAACACATCTGCGGATGTTTCTTAATCCAAAATTTCACCATTTTCATGTTTAAATGTTGAATTCTGCTGAAGCCAGTGCTAGTGGGGCGGGGGCGTGGACGGTACATTGCACTTGACAACCGTCCATGAACAGGCTCAATCAAACCGAGCCTGCAACATTTTCAATTTTGCCGTGTTGGGCTTTCTTTAGGGATTCTGTATTTATCTATTTCAAATTCGAACATAAATCTAACGTTATTTCAACGTTGAAATCTGACCATACTTCAACGTTGTTCACCGTTGATGTGCCTGCTGAATTTCTTCTATCAAGGACCTATTGGCGGTATTTTAATATTATTCAAAATTATATGAAAGTTTGATGCTAAATGCATCAATCATAATTTTTTTCAATCAATATCTAGGCTATAACCTGCATAGATATTGCCTGCACATAAAATATTCTTATAATTGAGACTTATATTTTAATTTCTGCGATTAATTCATCTATATCGAAACTTCATTTAATATAGTCACGTAAGTATGTATTCTGCTATCCATAGGGGCTTTATTCTATCCAGGACCTTTTGGCGGTATTTTTAATATTATTCAAAATTCTATGAAAGTTTGATGCTAAATGCATCAATCATGATTTTTTTTCAATCAATATCTAGGCTATAGCCTGCATAGATATTGCCTGCACATAAAATATTGCGTGGGAGTTATCAACAATAAAAGTATACGTGGGAGTTACCCAAATCATTTTTCTCTCGTGTAATGGAATAGAAAATGACCTGTCAACATTTAACATGCCTAGTATTTACATTTTGAAATAAAGAAGTTCTATGAACATTTTCTCTTTGCTAACTCGACGTAGTTTAATCAAATTCATAAAAAATACAAATTTTGCGTGAATGTTACCCGAAAAATAATTGTTCACATTGAAAATTTCTGTTGAATTTTTGAGTGTTTGTAAAAGCTATGAGCACAGGGGTGGAAAATAAGATATAGGCGGCAACAATTCTTTATTCCGCGTAGGCTGCAACAGGTCTCGTATGTAAGTAAAAGGGATATAATAAAGAATTTCCTGAAAAGCACATGTAAAGCGAGGTTTTTAGGCCGCCATATTGTCTGTACGCGTAACCGTAAAAGTCACGTGATTCCCTACCGTGTCAGCACGACATTATTGTTGTGCTTGTGGTATTTTTAGTTTTAACTTTTCGGCATTTTCTAGTTGAGTGGTTCCAATATTCCTTGACTAATGTTGAATCACCTTTAGGATATGTTGCCTGCTTTTTAACTTTGTCTTTTGACCTCCTATCTGTGATATGCAAACTTCATAACCTCTGATCCCCTTTCAAAATTCCATTTTATTTAGTTCCGCCCATTGTTTTCTCGTTTAAGGCACACGCTTTCGATAACTTGGGGACCATACGCCGCTTTTCATGGACTGGCACGGAAGTGTCACATTGAAGGTTCCATGATAACTGCCGTATGAACACATCTGCGGATGTTTCTAAATTCAAAATTTTACCATTTCATGTTTAAATGTTGAATTCTGCTTAAGCCGGTGTTAGGGGGCGTGGATGGTAGTTTGCACTTTCCAGTACCGTCCATGAACAGGCTCAATCAAACCGAGCCTGCATTATTTTCAATTATGTTGTGTTGGACTTTCTTTGGGGATTCTTATTTTCTCTATTTGGTTAAACAGTAGAACTGAACTGTTATTTATTACAAAATCACAATAGTTTGTGCATGATTATATGCTTGAATTTTTATTTTTGCATGCTTATACGTGTGATTTCAATGATTTATTTACGCACCTAATCTGGAGCCCTGTAAAGGCATTTAAAACTTATTCATTCCATTTGGACTATAATCTTGTAATTAAAGTTACAAAATATAACAATATTTGAGAGGTTTTACTTTGATTTTTATAAGATGTGACATCGCCATTGGTTACACCAAAACCAGGGTAAAATAATAGCTTAATCTATGTGAAATGCAAATGTTAATATACAATTGCTCTGTTGATTGCATTTACCCTGAGCGGTAGTGCTTTAATGATTTACCATTAGAAAAAACAAATGTTCCCTATACTGATAACTGAAACTAGTCTATCAATACAAATAATACATTTCATGCCAGTTTACCTAGATATCAAGCAAATAAAAACAAAAAAAAATATTTGATGATACTTTGAAATTAATGATATTTTAACTGTTTTCTGCTATTATTTATACTGGTTGTCATTTTATCAATTGTAAGTGTCTTTTCACAAATGAGTGAATCAAATAACGGAATTCAAAACTTATTTAATGAAACTATAAAAAAACCAACATATATCAGATTGATTTTAAGAACGTTTGGCCTAAAAAATTTACTTACAATATACAGTCATCTTTTCTTGAGCTTTAACTACACTTTGACCAGGTATTGCAGTTTCACAATAAATTGTTTTGTTGTTATCCATTCGGTTGGCAGTAAATGTTACTATACTTGTTACAGATTTAAGATCATTTCCATGACTTTGTTCTGTATTATGTACAATAGTCAGTGTAAGAGTTTGTAACTTCCATGTAACTATAGCAACAGGTCGTGTTTGAGAGGAAGTACATTGATATCTTATTTGGTCGCCTTCTAATTTTTCTGATGTCAGGTCTGTGATTGTAGGAGTAGTAGCTAATTCTGAAAACGGGTAAACTATTACCAAATACTATTGTCAAAATGTTTCATGTTCTATCAATATCACATGTACAGTTACAGATTTATCATATATTAAAAACTAAACGTATCAGAACAACAGGGGAAGAACCTCTTATGGATCTCAAAATTGAGTTTCAGTAAAAACTATATGTGGTTTTCCGCTGATCCAGATGTGCTGTATAACATCAGTCCGTTTAGTGACATTTTCTTCATATGCATTGCATGCTATGGACATACCAAAACCCACGACGGATGTTTATGTCAGCGAGGACTGCATTAAAAATCCGGAACGTACCCTATGGTTGACTTTTGCCTCTGACACACATGTTGTTACAGTTCACATCTGGATCAGCGGAATTTCAATGTTAAGATCCATATGGCGTCCACCCCCGTGAGACTATATCCCATTTTTCCTCTTTGTTATCTTAATTTTTTATGTAGTATCTATACCATATTTTTTTTGGTAGTCTTACTTCATAATAAGCTGAAAGAGAGGTTTTGCTATTCATACAACAATATAAAATGCTGCATCAATCCTATTCTGTAATGGCAAACTCTTAATAACTTTTGCATTTGAAAGTTTGTATATCTTTCATGCTATTTATAATTCTTCTGCACAATACTGTCTATGAACAGGCTCAATCAAGCTGTACATACAACATTTAAAATTTTGCCGATTTGAGCCTGCTTTTGGTGCTCCCTGTTTTTCTGTTTTCTTACGCTATTAGATAGGATTGCATTTATATCACTGAACAACAATGCACATCAATTATACTTTAAATGATACCAAGGTAACAAAGGCGACATATACTGATTATCCATTCAAATCAACATATATTAGTGGAGATATTTCTTTGCTGTCAAGTTTATCTAAATGAAAAATATAGTAACTGTTAAAATGGCAAAGAAAATATTAAAATTTTACCTTTCACATAAAGAGGGATTTTATAAGAAAATACATCTGGATTTCCTGTCTGTGAAGCTTTACAATAAACGTGTTTGTTATGGTCGGAATTAACTGGAGTAAATGTTAATGTAGACAGTGTAACATTCTCCTTCTTCTTCACTTCATTTCCAATATACCAGCTGATTACAGCTGTTGGTCTACTTTCACTTGCTGTACATGTCAATGTTTTACGAACACTATTTGTTACTTCTAGTATTCCTGCTAGTATAGTGCTGCCGTCTTTTAGTGTTACATTAGCTACCTTAACTGAAATAAGAAAAAAAAGACAAAATCAGCTTGATAATAGGATTCAGCTATTAACCATTGTTAAACAAAGTATTCACAACATAGGTTAGATTAAGTAGGTTTAGATTTTCTTTTTATTCCCATTAATTTCACAGAATAATAGTTTTATTTATGCTTTGTTTGATCACCTACCCTATCGTTTACAGAAATGATTTTATTCTTACTTTATACGTGATTTTACATTATTTGGACCAGTAGTTACGTTCAATTATGAAGGCATGTAAAAGATTTCAGTGACTGAACAGTTCTCAACATTTTGTTCCTCGTTGATTTTTTTTTCTTTCTAGACTTAGGGGTTGCGTTCATTGAACGCCGCCCTTCCTTGTGGATCTTGCTTTACTTTTTTAGCTTTTAACACAAGGACGAAATTTTAATCAATTATCATATCAATCATTTGATTTAAATTACTTCGATTTTTGTTATTATATGTTGTTTTTCTCCAAACTTACTCTTCGAGTAGCTTGCTTTCAACATGTTTGTGTTAACGTCACACCAACACATAGGTCACATGGCGATGTTCAAGCTTTACTTGGGAGGAAGATCTCAGGTTCACTTCCATTTCCGTGCATTATTTCAGACTCTTTGACAAACAAGAAATATGTGATAAGGCATTCGGGTACTATATTTATTTGATTATGATTTATGTTTAAATGCTAATGTCGTCCTTCTTATTCTACAACATAAGGACAAAATTCTAATCAAATACCTCGATGATGCGCTACAGAGAACTATCCATCTTAAATAAGTTTAAGCAAGGTTTATATAATTACTGCATCGACTCAAAACTATATTATATTACTTTACACCATTGAAAAAAAAAGAATATACTTTATATATAATACTCGGGATAAATTAGATACTATGATATATCAGTTAAAATGTCGATTGATGTGTTCTGTTATATTTTGTCATAATGATATTAAGTCGAGAATATAAATCATGTTTCCAAAATATATTCACAAAACCATTTGCATTATTGTCGAATAAAATTAGCAATGATGATAAAATCGATATACATGTTTTATTCAAATAATTTATACATTGTGTATGAAAATATCAGCTAGAAAAAAAATAAAACTATTAAACAAACATGTATTATTGTTTTTGTCGCAACCGATACATGATTTATACCTTGCATGCGAGAAAATTCATAGATTATATAATAGAAACAACCAAATAGAAATATGTCAATATATTTAAGGTACAGTTCGAATGTTTTATATTAAATACTTTGTAATTTGTGTAACCTTTCAGAACGATTTAACATTTGAGGAAGTCGGAAAAACATAATTTTATTTCACTGAATGATGATGTGTAGCTGCATTATTGTTTTGTCTTTTTTCTTTGTTGAGGTCATCATACCATGATTTTCTATCATATTCCTTTAATTCAATACTTAGACAATTTATCAAGAAATATCATTGAATGTCAACTAAAATTTAAATAGAGTTGGCTTAGTTAGCATTACAGGACATATTTATAAAACGCATTGAGAGAACTAAGAGAGGTGAGCCGCATAAATGCATGCATTTAATAAATCCTCTGAAAAAAGGCTCCAACAAACTTATTATATAATAAAGTGAAGTACATCGTTGAAATATAGCCTAAAGTTTACGGAATAGCCATACCTTGTATATATATGACCACTGAGTTGCTGTTAATCAATTTTGGTAACAGTGTTTCAACAACACATTGGTATTTGTCTCCCTCATTTTGTTTAGTTACTTTCTTTATTGTCCATGTATATTGTTTACTTCTAGGACAACTGTACTCATATAAACTGGTGTCTACAGGTATTATAAGAGGTTTGCATTCTGCATTTATTGTACCAAGGATAGCAAAGTTACTTTCATTTGTCTTCACCCTCTTCCATGTAAAACTTGTTACGGTTTCATCACCAGTGTATGTACATGTTAATGTAAGGGAACTATTCTCTATCACACCAGGTGATGATGGTGATAATACGACTTCTGCAAACACAACAGCTGAAATAAATTTAACATAGTGTAAATTGTACAGATTATTGTTTGTTACTTAAGAAACCTTATAACCAACATACTCTTTTATCATATTATGTGTATGTTTTGTTATGTGTCATGTATATTTATTTAATAAAATGAATCTAAAAGGTCTTACCTGAGAGTGCTAAGACATATATAAAAGCTATTATTGGAGGGGACAGCATTGATTTATCTCCATATGACATTTTTTAAACGACACCTGACACAACTAATAAATCCTTCTTTAAGATAATCGTGTATATAATTTATACATGCAAATGTAAATGAATGTCCCACATTTATTTTTCTTCCTGTTTACTTGACTTTGTAAAAGGCGATAACTATATGGTAACGTTTGACTAAACATTTACATCGATTTGGAGTGGCTCTCTGTTTGCAGTGTATAGTGTTAAACTGTTAATGTTTATACATACGTTTTTATAGATGTCACAGGGATGATTGTGATATGACATATTTCATGTCAGTTTTGCGTAAAATTGAATAGAATGTATTAATGTAATTATGTATGCTATGCATCATGAGGGTCCATTCGCCAGTAAAGGGGTAAAATGCAGCTTTTGCTGTCGAGTACGAATCCCGAATATATCACCGATCATACCCATAAATGGTACACTTTGAAGTACAAGGTGGTGCTAATGTACTTCCACCTCATTTCTACGAAATGCTGTCAATAAATATGAATTTGGATTTACCTGAGACAATATGAAAAGAGGAGGTAGGTCTGAAAAGGGGTATTATGCCAGCTAAGGGCCTGCCTTCAAACCGTCACTCTGTTCTAGGGCTCACGCACCCAGACACAATTTTCTCGTCGTCCGTAGTTACTTTGTAGAGCCTTCGGCTGAAAAAGAACATCGGCAGCTAAATTTATACAAGTTAAATCGTGCGGCCTTAAGCGTGACTTTGTGCCGAAGTGAGCATGCCAACCGGCCGTCTTAAAGATTTACACATTGCAGTGGATCTTCAGGTGAATAGAGAATATTGAGTAGAAACACATTTAAACTACGTTTAATCTAGGAGTTGAAGTAGAACAACTTTTTAATAGCCTTTTTAGTGACAACCATGTTTTATTTTAATGTTCACATTTTAACTTCCTGATCTGAAAGTGGTGCAATACAAACGCTATTATAACCTTATAAATCTAGGTATCGTATCGTTCTTTTTCTACATCACAAATACAAATGTATTTTGTAAACTTCTAAATTAACTGTCAGAAAAGGTAATGTTTAATTTAGAGAAAACGTTGTTGATAATATAAACGTTATATTGATCAAAATATTGCACAGAACGTGTGATTCATTTACAACTATAAGATTTCATTTGGTTTCAGAGCTGAGTGCATTGTACCAAAAATGTATTAATGGTCTAACTGTTTAAAGTATGTAAGGTTTTAGTTACATTACTTTCAGAAAATCACTTTGAAACGGTATTATTTCTCTCACAATCTGCAAATTAACAGTTTGTTTCTACTTTAAATAGTCAATAATTTGACATAAACTTTTCAAATAAAATTGAGATAAAGTAGTTTTGACGCAGTGGGAAACTTAACTTATACATGTATATGGTTACAATTGCTTACATTCAATTTCACTAGATATAGATAACGAAGTATTCATAAACCTAATTCATCACAGTCAAATACTAGAGAAGGCTTAGGTATAAGAGAAATAGACAAATATTTATTTTATAAATTGTACCTTATATAATCAATTTTAAAGACTGTACTAATTGCTGATAACTGGATTCGTTTTCAAATTCTTTCTAAATACTTTTTACAAAATGATAAAAGCACGCTTAATTGGCAGGATTGTAGCTTTAAATGGTACATGTATATTATCCTTATTATGTTTATAAATTATCAGTTATGCTTAAATTGGTTAAAATACAGTTTAACTACCTCTTATCTAGGGGTTAAAATATTTTACTGAAAGCTATTTCAAATTTGTTTTACATGCATAAAAGAAAGCTCAATTGACTACACTTCAACTTCCTGATCGCACTGTTGTAAAATATTAACGATAGTTTTTTTGTAAACAAACTTTTCATTTTACCAGTGCATGTACCGTTTATAGAAATGCTACGTGCAGATCACTGTTCATTTATCTGTTTTATTTATGTGGGATTTTTGAATACACTTATAGGTAAGTTCATTTACTATATTCACTTTTTACACATTTATGACATCATAAACATTAAAGTTTTAAATAATAACGTAAATGATATTCGAAAGCACAACAAGTAAGGTAAGAATATAATAAGATATCCCCGTCATATGAATTTACAATCATTTTATAGTAAAGTACATTATTTTGGGATATAATGATATTCATAGAATAGTTTGGCTGTATATGTAATGCCATGTTGATCAGTCATTTAAATCTATACAAATTACGATTTTAGGATTTAAGGTTAGTGAAGACATGCACATTTCTGTTTCAATTATTAAATTCATTTAATATAATTAGACCTTGAATGAACATGGTTTTAATATCAACACTGATTGTTTTGGCAATGCTGATTATGACAAATTTGATAAAAGACAAATAAAGAATGTCCAGTCTATATTTGGCTCTGCATACATTTTTGGTCATTATGATCATATTAAAGATCAGTACTCAATAACACACATTCAGACTTTTATAGACATCAAAGATTTTTGGGGTCTTTTTTAATATGTTTTGAGCCATAACTCGAAAATGCACGATCAGATTTTGAAGGTATTTAATGAAATGTTTGTTTCGTTACAATTAAACTTAACTTTTGCAAATACTGAGTATTATTCAAGTTGTTGCTTGCACTTTTTAATGCTCTAAGCAGTTTAACTTTTGAAACAAATATAAATTCGCAAGGCTTACTATTACAAATGCATAACAGAATATTCAGGACAGTTTAAAACGTCGATGTGAATGACGTTTTCCATACTGAGGGCTTTACTTTCCATTTGATAGCCCTTGCTTATTAGAAGAAAGGAGACTATTTGTGTTTCTAAACCATGAATTCTCTCTTGTTTAGTCATTCACACATTTGGTTTGTTCAGGCAATGTGTTTTAAGAATCTCTCGCTGTTCTTTTATCGAATACATGCAAAAGTCTCTAAGATATGTTCAATTAATTTTTTCATCATTTGCCAACAGCGAAGAACTCACCAGGCACACAATTCTTTATTAAAATATCATCTAAGGCTACAATGCCAATCTTCCAAGATAACGTTGTATACCTGCGTAGCGTTGTTACTATTATAGACAATTAATTGTTTATACTTTTTCTGTCATAAAAAACAAATACATGTCTAGCTTAACTAGCGGATTGAAGACTTATTTTAAGTCAAAAGGGTTCTATGATAAAGCAACCATCATTTAACCAAATAGTGTTTTATATGATTAGAAAAGCAATATTTCTATTAGTGATAAGAATGGTGTCATCAGCATGGGGTGTTCAGCAAAACTCTGTTATAAAAATATAGCGCGAAAGTAAATTTAATAATATATTGTATAATTGATATATCATAATATATATTATATATTTAATAACAGGTTTTTTATGCTGTAAACTGCAGTGTTATATTGTCAACTTCTCCTGCTACAGCCGCTGATGGAGAATCCTTTACATAAACATGTACATAAAGTGGCAGTGAAGGTGTGACTGGTTTTGCATGATTTTAAATGGTAATACAGATGGTGTTATTGTGCTACCAGCATGTACACCATTTGCCAATCCTGGTCCTCCTGATCCATTATTGTTTGAATATGCCTGCCTATCAGACAACAAATCATCATTTACAGTGAAACGTATTTCACTCAAATAAAATGGCGATAGATGGCAATGTGCAGTTGCTGCTCCTGGATATTTATACAGTTCTAATGTGACTATAACTGTGATGTTATGTTCATTAAACTCATGATGTTAGAAAAAGAATATATTATATATCTTACAACTATTTTTCCTTTTTCCTTTATGATCATTTTTGTTATAAATAGTATGTTCAGAAAATCGCTAAAGCTTTAAAATATCAGTAAATGAATTACAGAAAAACACATAACGTATTTACAGTGGCGGTAACCAATGTAAGTCTACAGTCACCAAGCGGCTCAATTACAGAACATATTAAAACAACGTTTTCCTGCAATACCTCCCCATCAAAGCCTACAGCAAATATAACCTGGTACAAGGAGTCTGACGGCGGTCAAAAGCAGACGATAACAAATGAAATATTTTCTACAACAGAGGATGTTGGCGATCAATTATATTAAAGTATAGCCCAAATAGGAGTGACAATGGATATGAAATATTTTTCTGCTCTGCTATTAATATTGGAGGAAGAACACCAATTACGTCAGCAAAGTTTAAAATGCTTGTTCAGTGTAAGTTATATCACAGTAAATTTACTTTCTTTCTTCACATCACATTTCTTGCAAAAGGTAGTTGTTTATTTTGATTCATTTTCAAAAACGCAATGTAATTTTACTAAATATGTATAATATAATGTATGCCTTTAAACCACATATATATTAAAGCAAAAATAAGTATGTCTTAAAAATATCCTGATAATATTGCGATAAGATAACACGTTGTTTACTTTACTTAATGAACATAGACTGCACTTGTTCAATTAAATGTCGAATATGATCAATTAGCGACATTGACAAGGGCCTGTTTTAACAATGGATTGCCTACAGTTATAAATGGAACCACAGTAACAAAATCAGTATTATGGATTGCTACAAGAGGTCCTGACAGATCGTGTACTTGTCAATGCTCACATCCTGTAACAGGGGTACAAACTGTTATTATCAACGTGCATGTTTTGTGATTTTATTTCTTTAGCTTGCTTGATTTATGGTATTCAAACACAAAGCCTCTTGTGCGACAGATTCTTGGCTTTTAGTGTTATACAATCTTTCCATGGGGTGGAGTTTGTTTTAACGCATTTTCTTCCTTCAAACACAAAGCCTGTGATATTCCAGATAAAAAAATAATCATTGTCGATCAGAACAAACTTAGATATTGAAAAGAAAAATGTTCAAAAACATATTTTAATATTCTAGATAAACCAGATATACCAAGCTTCGAAGTTTCTGGGAACGAAATTGATGGTTCTATCAGCTTTATTGAAGAAATACTAGGTTCTGTGATGTGTGAAAGTAATGGGAATCCTAGCCCAGACATTTATATCTCGACTTTTAAATGTTATAATGTATATACTGGAAGCACACTCACATTAAACCCTGTCCGGAGACAAGATGACGGTCAGTACACGTGTACAGCAAACAACACAATGGAACCATCAAAGGGATATCTCCAAATAGGAAGCAGTAGTTCTAAAGTAAAAATAAATGTTCTGTGTAAGTATTTTGTCCACTGTTTCAAAACCCTAAACACTTCAAATTTAGCTTGTAAACAGATAAATAAACTTTCAGAAAACGTAATGTTTAATTTAGTAAAAAATTGGTTTGGTTGATAATTTGTACTTTATTTTCAAAATTGGTTTATCTTTGAATATGATTGTTGTTCAATTACAAGTCACAATATGATTTAATCATTAAAAGACTAATATAATTGAATTATATAAGGAAAATGTTACATTACTCTCACTGATTGTAATCCGCATATCAACATTTTGTTCTTATTTTAAAGAGTCAATAATTCGATGATAAACTATTCAAATAAAATTAAGAAATAAAAGTTTTGACTCAAAGGGAAAGTAAACTTATATGCTTATCATTGAATGGCACTAACGTGTCTCATTGAAGGTCCCATGATAACCGCCATATGAACACATCTGCGGATGTTTCAAAATTCAAAATTGTACCAATTCATTTTAAATGTTGACTTCTGCTTAAGCCGGTGCTAGGGGCGTGGACGATAGTTTGCACTTCCTTCACAGTACCGTCCATGAACAGGCTCAATCAAACCGAGCCTGCAACATTTTCAATTATGTTGTGTTGGACTTTCTTAAGGATTCTTGCTTTCTCTATTTTATACATTATGAAATTCAACATGGTCCACAGTTGCTCTCATACAAATACACGTTTTCTAATGTAATTAGATAACAATTATATGCTATTCACAAAAACTTTATTCATTACAATATGATAATAGCGAATGGCTTTAATGTAAAAGAAATAGATGAATAAATATTTCATAAACCGTACATTCTAAATTTGAATTTTAAATGTAAAAGCTCCACTTCGCTGATAACTTGATTCGTTAATAATTACTTTTAGTTTCTTTTTTCAAATACACAAACAAAGATGTAATTCTATGTTTAATATGTTTAATGCAAGTACTTAACGGTAGGAATAATAAAATACTACTGTTCATTACTAAGTAAAAAGTATATGACTGTTATGTATATCTGCGATCTAATTGTTTTTTTATTTCAAAATCACATACAGTTACAGTCTTATTACACTCTGTACTACGGTTTCTATACTCTATACCGTTCGTTTCCTAATTCACATTCTAATGCAGACATATTCTGTTTAATATCTATATATTCACCATAAAACATATATACATATATATCTTAACTTAAAATATTAAACAACATATTTCAGGATCATGTGCATTTCACTTAATGTGTATAATATTATGTATGCCTATAACATAGATAAATACAGAATCCCTAAAGAAAGCCCAACATGGCAAAATTGAAAATAATGCAGGCTCGGTTTGATTGAGCCTGTTCATGGACGGTAATGAAAAGTGCAAGTTACCGTCCCCCTAGCACCGGCTTAAGCAGAATTCAACATTTAAACATGAAATAGTAAAATTTTGAATTTAGAAACATCCGCAGATGTTTATAAACCACATGTATTTTTTAATCAATCATTAGTATGTTTTCAAAAATGATTAAACGGTTTTGTCTTATTTTATTCTTTACAGATGGTCAAAAAATAATTCTCTCTGAACTTGATAACAAAACGATTCTTGCTGGGTAAAGCTTTAATTTCTCTTGTCCTGTAACAAAGGGAAATCCTACATCTACAAGTTTTAAATGGACAAGAGATGGTGATAACAGAACATGAAACACACAGACACTAGACATTTATAATGTTACGAAGAAAGATGGTTTAAAATACACGTGTACCGTGCTTAATGTTCTAACACCTAGTGAAGGTCTATGAAGGACTCGTACTGATAGTGGATCATTTGATCTTAATGTGTTATGTAAGTGTGGCACTTATTATTACAGATCTACTTGAATATGTATATTCATCAAATTTGCTCTTATAAAATGATACATTTTTATTCATTATGTCTTATTAGAATTCTATTATAATAAGATACAAAATTTGAAAAAAAAACAAATAAGAACTAATCTAAGTTATCCATTAAAGATAAAGAAAGCGGATAGTGTATCTTTGATTCCTACAGCTTAACTCGAGTGTCGTCAAACCTCTCATATGAAATATATAATATTTTCAGTTTAATCTTATTAGAATCTAGAAAAATAAACAAATAAAAACTTAACAAAATGAGAATAAAACCAGGGTAACGTGTAATTGCTACGTTTATTTAGCAACATTCCTTGATATTATGCTCACAGAATCAACTTCCCGTACAGGGTTAACATTTCCATGTAAGTAGTTTATACTCAATTTTTAATTTATAATTCAAATCAACTTTTGTTTAACGAGTTTTCGTTCTTATCACATTTTAGTTATTTATTGTAGATATGTCAGTTGTATCATCATACGATCAAAGAAAATCAGAGTCAAGACCTACTGATATCAGCAATTGTGAACGAAAGTGCGAATGTACTGTTGACAGTAATCCAAGTTCTAGTATTGAAATAAATTTTAAAGACAAACCACTATTGAAAACTGACAATGCAAGAAGTTTAAACTACACACTTTTTGAGGTGTCTTGTCTTGATACAGGTGTTTATACCTGTACCGCAGAAAATCAATATAATTCAGGAAAGAGTTCCAAAATGGCATTGACTTTGTTTGTTCGATGTTAGTATTGTTCTAATTCATGCATTCTGTTGTATTTCAATATATGTCTTTAACCGGTTTTTGTCAGTGAACACTTTTAAAACGATATAGTTAAACGTTTCGTTAAATAGCAGATCCAATATAAAAACAAATCGAGGTCCAGCGTATTTACAAAAGAAACTAATTAGATAATTTGAAACTGAATTAAAATATGAACAGTAAATATAGCATATTACACGGTTCTATGTGATTAAATAGGATAACACTTTGTCCGTGTCATTGTCATTATAAATGATTTTAAATTGACACATTATTCGAACACACATTTAAAAACAATCAATAAACGAGAATGTTATTGAATAGACTCAGATTAATATCTAAATTGAGCAGCGGATTGTGATGACAGTTGTCACTTCAAATTCGATGTTATTTACGTTTTCATTTAGTTACTGATCGGTTTTAGTTAAGCAACGTAGCTTGATTTTTACCTGCACTTTAAATACACAATAATTTAATTAACGTTAAACAAATTTGTTCAAATATTTTCAGTTTTATATGTATCTTTAAGAATATAAACAATAATGTCTTTTCTGTGTATAAATCGTATTGAAAGGTTTTATTTCAAACAACATACAGTCTTTGAATGTAGAAGTTTGCTTTGTTTAAGATTTATGTTTTCTATATGTCAACCGGCTCACCACGACCACAAATTCACTATAAAGAAAATGTTAGTAGTGCTCTTGGACATGTCATTACCTTGGTGTTTAAGGGTCTTGCATACCCTTGTCCATCGGAGAACACTTAATAACAGTTCCAATGTCATTATTTCAATATAAGGAACGGATTCAAATCTAACAATTAGAAATGTGTCACTATCAGATTACGGTGAATACCAACTGAAGATTGAAAATGAAATAAATTATTTCATACAACCATATTTTCTGTCTCAAGAAGGTGGGGTTTTTATTATCAAATTATTACTTTATAAATAATTGGCAGCTCTGAAATAGCATTTCTCTTTACGTGTATTATTCATATGACTAAAGAAACATTCCTTAAGGGATTATGTATTCTGCAGTATTTGTATAAAACATATGATATAGCAGTTTTAGATAATTAATTGATAAAATGAAAAATATGATCAAATGATTGATGCTGCTACTTTTCACTTCAATATTGTACTTTAATTTGTAATATTTATAAGAGATATCTTCTTATGTCATATTTATTTATATAGATATAGCAGATGCACCTAATGAATTTCAAGGGGTTACAGAGCATATTTCGGACACTTTCGCGTTGTTTCGGTGGAAACCATGAATCAATGGGGAACCAAAACAGTCATTTGTATTATTATATAAGAGACCATCAGACAGTTGAAGACACCCGTGAGACCCTGATGATTTATACGTTGCACGAGTTGGTCAGTGATTCGGTGTATAGAGTTGTACGTGCTGTTGGCAAGAAACAGTGTCGGCGATTTAATAAACTCTACAAACATGACATTTAGAACAAAAGGCATGTTAAAGGTACCATAATTGTTTAAATTAATGTTAAAAAAACTTTTTTGACAAACATTTTGAAAGTAGCATTATTCAAAGGTTTTAAAACTACATCAAATTGTTTTAATGAGTATAAAAACGGTCAATTGTAAACATTAACTATTTCATCTACTTTAAAGCACTTACAAAACAATTAGTACATGTTACTTGTCAAAATAAACTTACAGGAATCTTACTTTTATATCGTCCATGGTTTATGCAATAGAATTATAATCATTTATATCTCTCAATTCGTTATGATAAATTTATTTGAAAGCAATTGTGAAACTTTATAACGAGCTCTGCATCAGGGGCCGGGTTCATAAAATAGAGGGTATTGAATTAGTGTAGGTTCAATTCTGAAATGTTTGTCTGTTGCGACAAAGATTGAAACGTCTGGTCGAAGCAAAATAAATTGGATTACAAGCAAAATTGAAATGATTGGTATACTTAAAATGAATTGAAGACAATATGTGCCGAGAATATGTCCATTTAAATATTGGTACGAACTTCATAATGTTCGAATGATTTTGAGAACAAACTGTTCTGCAGTAAGCTCCCCTTACTGGCCGTAGTGTAAAAGTGCGTAGGGTTTGGTGCACTTTCTAAACGATTGAGGGAAAACCGCCTCTCTGATAGTGGGTGTGGTTTAGGCTTTGTAACTTGTAATTTAATGATAAGACAAGTGATATTGATCAAAGTTGTCCTGGCTTTCTTCCGCCCCGTCAACGAAGACTAAATGCTAGCATACGGAGCATCATATTTAATTTGGCGACATCTTAAGGCTGAGCCGAACTTCAACAGAGGCGGAGCAAATGAAGTGAGTGAAACTGCCTCAGTCGTTACCTCTCTCATCGGTTAAATTTTAGAACGATCGACAATAGACTGGCTAATTGGCACATATTTATTATGTTGATAAAATTAGATAATGATAAAAAGAATATGATATTCAAATATGGCACTTTCACTTCAGTTAAAAGTTTATTCTAATCCCTTAAGGCTATGTGACATGTTTTACATCAGATAAGCTATTTATTAGAAAATTTGAAAACAATGTGATTTTTTAGAAGAAAAACAAAATCAAGTCTTAAATTTTCCCCATTTCTGTATGGACAAATGCATATCTACTAGACGCCGCATGCACGCGGCGTCTAATAAAAACTTTTTTTAAACTCAGTTGCTGTGCGTATATTAAACCCTCTGTTCATGTAAACTGTCAAATAGAAATATGGGAGTATTGGGAGAGGTTTTACGCCAGTTAGGGAAAAGGCACAATTGTGTAACGTTTATTTTTCTGCTGGGAATTGAATTTGTTGTTTTGAAGGGAGATTTGTTGATTTGATGAAGTTGGTTGAATATAATTGTGGTGATCTTAATTGATCAGGGTCCATTGGTTGTAATCAGTTGTTTTGGTTGTAACATTTTATTTGGTTGTTGAGAGTTATATCTGTTTGGTAAGATATACTTGGTTGATATTGGTTGAATTTTTTGAGTGATTTTGTCTTGTCATGATTATTTTTAGTTGATGCTTTGTTTGTGAAAATATTTGTAAATATTGGGGGCTTTAGCTTAAGTTGTTTTTACATGCTGATAAGATTTTGTGAAGTTAATATTGTTGGTTAAATAATTGTGTTTATACTGTATCTTATCTGTATACGTGAAAATATATTTCGTATGAGTGGTTCATAAATGATGTGTGTTTGTTTTGGGTGTAAATATGATCAGAGTTCTTTGTTTTGTGTGTAAATAATAATCGGAGTTTGTTGTTTAAATGTATATATGGCTTTGAGATAGAAAAATATGTCACATTATGGACTACGGTGGAACACAGGCTGATCACAACTATCATACAAAACAAAGCACAACTCAGTAGAAACTATTTAACAGTATATTTACAAAAATAAATGATTATTTATAAATGAAATTAAATGAATGAATGAGAAAACAAATTAAATAAAAGTTCCGTGTCCTGTCGAATAACACTATGTCACTTTGTCCCGGTGGCTTAACTTAAAATAAATACACTGATGCTCGGGATGTGACCCATCCAAAGCAGAAAATCGATTCTGTACTGTCTACAGAGTGTAGATCCAAGACTGTGGATGTGGGGTCTCTACGTCACAATCTCCAGATGTGGCCCATTCAAAGCAGAAGATCGATTCTGTACTGTCTACAGAGTGTAGATCCAAGACTGTGGATGTGGGGTCTCTACGTCACAATCTCCAGATGTGGCCCATTCAAAGCAGGAAGATCGATTCTGTACTGTCTACAGAGTGTAGATCCAAGACTGCGTCGTTACGTCACAATATCCACTATCGTCGCTATGTTGAAAATATGCGGGATACAAAATTGAAGGTGAATCCTCCAAGTAGAAGCTACAAAATATAAAACATGGTAAATATCCATGGTACACAAATATAAGGGTATAAGTATGTCCCTTTGAAATAGCCGGACCTTTGTCGGATTCCTATAAACTGATAAACAAGGCTTCTAAATATATAATGTCCCTTATGGAACGCAATACACACTGGTGTAATAAATTCAACGTTGATTATATATCGTAGCACGTTGTAAGATATAAACCGGTTGCCACCTAAATATCGACGAAATCCTTCCTTGAATCGAATCCATATTATTTCGTACAAACAAAAAAAAATAATGATGATGATGTGATAGGAAAATTACTTAAAGAAATAAGAATTATATAAAAAGAACATCTGCAGCAGACTTAAATATAAATGGCTTTTACTTATTAAACAAGAACATGAAAACTTATGCATGAAAAAATAACGTGCACTCAAGGCGTTAACGGCCTTCCATACATACAACAACTATCAATGATAATAAACAGATTACAAATATTCAAGAAATTAATGGAACACTAGAGTCATAAATCTACAGAAGACGAAAAATTAGAGAACGAAAAATTACTGTCAAAATGCAAAATAAAATTTCTATAAAACGAATATGTAATGAAAAATTAACTGAATTACGATATTCTGAAATAACAAAAATTTACTAAATAAAACAACAAGAAAAGAAAAATTTACCTTGCGCAAGCTTAAAAATTTACACCACAAAAATAAATGTGTCTGTCATAATGACCTTGTGCGTCTTTACACGTCTAAATGTGAGTCCCAAAGAAGATTTAAAATCGTTCAATATATATATGCATAGCTATACTGAACAGAAAAGCGTGAAACATAACTTTCACGATTTTCTTGCATTCCAGTGTGCATGTATTATAATAATAAAATATACAGGCCCGTAATATCAAATTTATAGCCCATAAAAAAATTTGCACTTTATCACAAAAATCTAACTTTCTTATTACATGTACTGGACCGAATTTTATGAAAAATATATCAAAATGTTTGGAATGATATCAAGAAATTTAAGCAATAAATGAAAAGAAATAAGTAATATCACTCGATAACTCTGAATTTTACAAAAAGATGATGCAATAATTTACATTGTAATAAGTATAAACCTGAGGTTCGGCATGAAAATAATTTTCTACAAAAATCAAAGTACTGAGAGTACTTCTGAGCATTTACGAAATATGTAAAAATCAAAGTACTGAAAGCACTTCTTAGCATTTACAAAATGGTTTACTTTGTGACAAAATATAAAAAAACACCCAAAAAAGTGTTAACTTAACAATTACATGCTAGTTTTTCCAACTGAGAATATTTCAATTTTAAGTCAGGCAGTGCTGCGCAGCCTCCATATCTTGGAAATTGGTTCTAGTTTTTATTACTAAATCTTTCCTCAGATTAAATAACATCAAGGCAGTCATTCTCCTGACAATATATAGTCTCAGAACTTCGTGAAAAAATGCCGCTCACAGACTTATAGATAAACATAAACTTCACGATAATATATACTGCTTTTTAGTGTGTATTCTTTGAATAAATTTCAAATAAATGAAAACATGGAAACAGTTTGAAGTCAGTTAATAATAGGTTAAATGAATAAGGGACACTGATTAAGCTTATAAAAGTTATTATTTTTAAAAACTGGCAAAATGTTGAACCATGCTTAGAATAAATTACTAAAACAAACATTTGTAGGCAAAATTGCGAAGAAATATTGCGATTGCAATAATGTAACTAAAGGTTTTCGTAAACGTGTTGACCGTCATTTGGCGTAGACTTCAGTTCTGAAAAGAAACAAATTAATTGCACGTAAGTCAAAATGCAAGAATACAATGTAACAAGAAATATAAATAAACATATTCATCCAACCATTTAAAACCCGATTTAACTAACAAAACGATTTTAAATTTCTGAACTATGCTGATGAAATTATACAATCAAAAGATATTGACGTATCGTTCATTCCTTTCTGTCGTTCAATAATCGATACACATTTGAAAAAAATCGATAATTTGGAATTATTTGTTAAATGTCTTAAAATAATGAAAATGAATCCAAAAATATACGGTAGCCAACGTCTTTGTCTAAACGTATGATGGTTCTTTTTAATAAAAAGATATATGCAGCAGTCAGATGGGCATTTGATAAAGTAAGACTTATTGTATGGAAGAACGTGTATTTTCCTAGTCATTGTCATAAGTATGAAAGCGATTGACGGAAAATTAATTATTAAATCAGATATATTGTCATTTTTTTCATCTGATGTCAGAACATAGCCGATAATCTTTGCACTATATTAATGACAGCTCTAGATGGAATTTATACATTAATGTCCTCAAATCTGTAAATTAATATAATACAGGTATTTTCATAGTATTGCAACCAATCCATAAGTCCCCTACCGGTTTGAACCCCAGCAACATTCTGAAGGGCCATTGGTCATTGAATTTTGTCATTGAATGAATAAATGACATAAATTAACTTAAATCTTTTGAGTTCTTAGATTGTCTGTATCTAAGTAATATGTTATGTTTCCCTTATTATGTTTATAGATCAAATAATCAAAATATCCAATTTTCTCAGGATGAATATGTATAAGTGATGTTTCAACTTTACTTTATTTTAGGTAAATTTGTTAGAAAAGTTACAATGTCTTTAAAAGTGATCTCAGGAAACAGTTTTTAGAATCGGACAGAAAGACCAACTGACGCAAATTTCGAGGATAAATGTTTAAACATCACTGGTTGTTACCAGAAAATAACATTTTTAAAAGCAAAATTCTTTAACTAAGAGGAGATAACTATTAAAATAAATATGTTAGACTTATGAACATTTTCATACATGATGTGAGTGTAACAAAAAATAATTATCTCACAGAAAATTGTCATGGTAACATATGTCTTATATATCTAATCACACATGAATTAGGTCTTGATAATGAATGTTTTTTTTAAATTTTAAGTTAATCCATTGAGAAATAAGAAAGTTAAAGAATCGAGTAAGAAAAATTCAAAGTTGAAGAAGGAGATAATTCTGGAAATATGGACGCTAGATTTATAACCCTTGTCATGTTATTATGATTTGGGAGTTTGAAGGATATGTCATAAGAAATGAAGAAGTTTGAGTCAAATAAAATAATTTCAAGAAAAAAAAATGTTCAAAGGGGACAGAATTCTGGAAATAGTCAAGCTAAGGTATTGAACCTTCTCCAAAATGAATTGAGTAAAAATTAGCACATATATATGACGGTTATAGTAGATACATTAGTTATGTAAAAAATCATCATTTTTTCAAGGGGTGGGGGTGGGTTCAAAAATATTGTTATATTTGCCATATTTTAAAATTCTGGAAACAAAGTGATCCCTCGGAAGCATTAATCACAACAAAATAGCCTTTTTGCTGCCATAGCAACCAAAGTTTTCATCATAGGAAGAAGAAAAAGACGTGCATAATCTCCATGATCTAAAAGCATTACGGAATGAATGACATCAAAGAGGAAGAACAGTTATCTATTGTCCCTCTAGCCACATTATAACTGTCCCGTGAGAGCGGACGTTCCAACATTTTGGGTTCAGGGGCTATTTTCTTTGTCATTTTCTTTGTTATCTTAAGGGCTACTAGCCCATAAACCCTTTGATCACGGAATGAACCTATTGTTCTCCTTTGTTCTCTTTACTGTTACATAGCCCTTAAACCCAAAACATTTGCTCGGACGGACAGATGAACGGACAGACAGACGGACGGAGGGTATACATAATGTCTCTTCCGGTAAAACCGGTAGGAGACTAATAACAACTACGATAGATTTCATTCTTTTTAATGCTATACAACAGTTTCAACAACCTGTAAAAAAATAAAATTGATAACAGCCTATATTAAAATGTACCGATAATCATACTGATATAAATATGAGTAGGCAAATGTATATACGATACATGTAAGGATTTAAAGATTAGAATTGCGTTTACTGTAGGTACAAGCCATTATTGACATCAATTTGAAATCTTTAGATACTCAATAAGAGCACATTATGATAATTAACACGTGTAAGAAATCCAGCAACATTTTAAAGCTAGATAAATAGTAAAATATGTAAGAGCAGACATTTCTTAAAGAGTGTAAAATAATATTAGTATGTCCAGCTATTTACAATGAGTGAATTGTTCTTGAAGTAAAACATAACTGTGAGGAATGAAAGTCACTTACCTAACTTTTTATAGATATGCTCCTTATTTTCATCGACATTCGGCTCTAACACTGTATACACATTTGTGTCGCTATGAAAAAAAAATATTAAAAAGTGGTTTATGATAAAAGAAAATAATTATATAGCATGTTTCGTTATTTAAGAAACATGTCAGAAAAGATTAATTGCCTCAAAAATTAAAACATTGCTGATATGAACATGTATTTGACAATGGGGAAAGAGAGGATATTTTGGATAGAGAATGACTTCTCATCCAAAAACCCTGTCCACTTAAATATCATAACTTGAGAACCATTCGGCTTATATTCGCAAGGTTGATCCTGGCTTGTGAATAACCCCTTTGTGAGATTAGTAGGTTCTTTGTCAAGCTCATAATGACCTTAAATGAGATTTCGTAAAAACGAATTAATTTTTCGTAATTACGAATTAATATTTCGTAATTACGAAATAATATTTTGTAATTACGCATTCATATTTCGTAAAGACGAATTATTATTTCGTAAAAACGAATTAATATTTCGTAAAAACGAATTAATATTTCGTAATTACGGATTAATATTTCGTGAGAACGAATTAATATTTCGGAAGTACAAATTAATATTTCGTAAAAACGAATTTCTATTTCTTAAAAACGAATTAATATTTCGTAATAACGAATTAATATTTCGTAAAACACGAACTAATAATTCGTAAAAACGAATCATTATTTCGTAAAAACGAATAAATATTACATAATTACGACTTAATATTTCGTAAAAACGAATTAAATGCCGGGAAGAAAGTGTCGAAAATGTCACCTTAAGGGCTCCGTATTTTTTAAATTTGAAATAATCCTTTTTTTCAATAAGGAAACCTTTTAATTTCAAATATACGTCCATGAAACAGAATATGTAATTAATTTTTGCAAAAGAAAGGAATATTTGTGGATGACAAACGATCAAGTACCTGTATAAATGATACTTTTAATCACAATTACGCCCGACCAATCATAAGAAATGGCGAACTCACAATACATTATTAATGTGAATATTAACATGATGTATAAGATATAAGTTCCAAAATGTAACATAGACCATTGTAGGTTCCTTTAATGTCAAGTGATTCTGTATTTTCTACAGAAAACAACAATTGTGATCATGTACATTGCAAAATATTTACGCGTTAACAAAACGTTTGTCTTTTGTTTTCGAAATTATTGACAGTTTAAAACATTAAAGAGTCCTGAAATTTCATGTGAACATATCTATACAGTGCCGTATATAATCTCATATTACCAAAGCTTATGGAGATTATAAAGCGTTCCCATATTTTCCAGAAAAACGTGTATTGCACTAAAGCTTCTATTTGCACTGATTTAAAAGCTTCTAAGCAATATTTTCTTATACATGTACCAAAACCTGATAGGGAACATTTACAAGGCTATATATTTTCAGATATAAATGTATATAAAACTTTGCAAGACATTTAAATATTCAATAATTTATACTAATTGTTCGTCATCCTGTTTTTGTGTGTGTGTATTTTAACAGCTGCCATACGGTGTTCGATTATTTCAGTGACTCATAGTTGACCCGCTATTATCAAGCTATGATCAATATTTATATTCCTCTATAGTATTACAATTGAAAACTTGTTTGTGATTTTTTAGTTATTTCCAATTTCGACCTTCATCTTGTCAATTCGATTAATGATGACTTCGAATGATGTCCGTATTATTTTTTTTATTATTTAAAAGTCAGTTTATCCTTAGTTCACATAATTTCCAGGGAACATTTAAATACAAATGATCATAAGTTTCTTGAGAACAAGGTGAAAAGTTATCAAATTATATCTGTAGCTAGTACAATTGTATATATGTTCTGAAGCACATATTTTGCAAAAAAAATCGATATTATATCTTTTAGCTTCTAGAGGTATTAAGTTTCCACAATTAAAGAAGCAAAATGAATAATTTCCATAGTTTCATATAATAATACGTGTATAATACAAATTAACCTTTTTAGGTAAACCCAGGCAAATTAATGACACAACTATTAAAATGATTTAATGTATGCAACCACGCAAAAAATAATAACATTTTTCACAGTTTCTGTATAAATTCAATATATTTTGGGGTTGAAGCGAAAATATATCTATAAATGTAGAACGAAGTTAAGACGCCAACAGATTCAAAGATTAGTTTTAAAACAAGTCGCGTGACCCTAGAACAGGCATTGTGGATATTGTATGATTGAAACAAGTCTAAATCATTCATATTGACATGTTCTTTAACGTTTCCATAGTTCACTGTGACAACTCTTGTGAAATTCTAAGCTTTAACTTGACCCACGTGGTCGACAAGGAAACCACGATTTATTTATTTTTATACAAAGAGAAAAGTTTTGTTCCTGTGTCTGTCTAATGTACTCATTTTCAGGACATTTACAGAATAATAAATGTGTAATAAGACGGATAAGAACCCTCTAAGAACGTGCAAAACGGCAAATTTGAAAAAATTTCAGGTTCGGTTTGATTGAGCCGTTCATTGACAGTTCAGGAACGTGCAAACAACCGGCAATGTCCCTTAGCATTGGTTTATGCAGAATATAATGCAAGCAAGTAAATAGTATATTAGATATGAGATCAAATAAACTATAAGAATTGTTCTTAACTACTGTGTTGTTTATATGTATACGTACTTTTCACTTGAACTGTGATCTGAAAATGGAAATCATTGCATTGACAGAAATGTCATATTCCCGTTGTTGGCATTAAAATAGACAAACTTAAGAATTGTAAAGTTTTTTTGTTTGTTTAGAAACAAAATCTATATATATATATAACAATAAAAAAATAACTACCTATTGCAGAAAGTTTATCAACCTCTAACATAATGGGTTTTGTAGTATATGAGTGCCCTTTAATATAGTCGGTTGTGCTCGTTTGTATTGAATTTCGTGTATTAGTTACATAAATCAAATATGAAGGGTAATTTTTTCAAGTCTTGGTCGTGTGTTTTACTGCAATATTAAAAGGATTTATAATTGAATGTAAATGTAAATATATTACAAAATATCAAAGCGTATAAAAGCTTATTCTCATGAAATAATTTGTAAACATTTGATAACAGTAAAACGAAGTTGTTTCCAGAACAGTATTGCCGTATATGAAACGATTTGTAACATTGAATGTTTATGTTATTTTATATACAATGAATGTTGTACGTAAACACAATAAAATTGGACGGAACAAAATATATTGTTTTATTGTTAAGATTCCATACATGTATTTCCCGCTTTTGATAATATATTTTATAATTCCTTTCATTCTAGGTATTCTTCAAACATTTTAATCATAATGTAAAAAATCATAGTACATTCTGTAGACAACAGAGCTTTATACACTTTAATTCACATGTTTGAGCTTTTTTCTTATTATGTTTACTTTTCCTTATGTAATTTAATTGTAATGGGACTTCACAGGCACATAAATCCTATCTTGTCAATCAAATTGCTTATCTGTTAAATTCCTTAATTAAATTCCTCCGTCTAGAACTGTTTAATGAAGGTATGACTTTTTTCATTAAATCAGTGATTTAAAAGCAGCATCAGTACATGCTTTTGCTTCTACAATACTGTTCCATTAATTTAAACGTTTGAGTATGACTTTTTTACAGTTGCTTGAACACACTATAATAATCCAGTCTTAAGTTAAAAATAATCAATTTTATTTACCGTGTGCCGTGTTAACGTAGTCAAAGTCATTGTATATGTGTATACCACTTTGCATATCTTGTAAGTCTGTGTAAGCATCGTTACCGCTGAAAAAAAATCGCAATACAGAAAAGGCATTTGAAATGTGTTATACTTAGAAAAAAGATATCAATTCTAAGTGCATTGTTGTAAAATAATCCACGGTTTGAGTTCAAATGCGTAAGAATATAATCACGAAAGCCGATAGGCCTGAGTGATTAATTACAAAATATTTGATCGAAAAAAATGTGCATAATTATACTACAATGGACGGAGGTTAAATATCTATTTCCATTCTAACACGTCACGAAAAAAATATTGTTGGACTATATGTTTGGTGGTGAAATTTGTTTTCGCCTCAGAGTTTCCAGTCGGTTGCAAAAAAACTGTCGTTTAGTCTACCGTTCGCAGAAACATTTTGAGAATAATGAATTTTTAAAACGTTGTTATAATTGTTGTATGTTTATTTTAATTCACTTTATATTTTTCAAGCGCAATACAGAGTATTAATAGTAAAATTAATGTGGTTTGCGGCATTGAAAAAAAGTTCAGCGTACAGCATTAATGACTGAATTAAAGATATTGGTGTTCGGATTTATTTTCTTAGTTAAACCATTATCTATCATTTCAGATAGTTTTCAGAACGAAATTCAACAAAAAGTTGCTTTTTATCTATCAGGTATTTCAATCAAAATGGCGCTGTCAATGTATCGGTTTAAAAAACAGAGGGATGAAATAAGAACAGTGAGTGTATTGTTGTGAAATATATATCTCGCTTCTGGTCTTCTTTGTTTATATAAGAGAAATCTCCGAAATCTCTTAGTGTTAGAGTTCTATTTTGTTAAAATGTTTTCATTTTTTATATGAAATAAGGATCGAGAATCATAAAAGCTATCATTGATAGTAAACGTCATTTTGCCTGAAAATTATTGACGTGGAGCATCACAAATTTGCTTAATAATATACCAACTTATCTGTATTGAACTCAATCTTTGATAAATAAACATAAATAAACAGGAAAAGGATATGCATTCCTTACAAACAATTTTACCTATGTCTGCTTTCACTTCTGTCTCTTTGAATTCCTGAAAACAATTGATCGAAAATATACAGATTAGTTCTATCATTACATAGAAATGTGATCATATTTGACGGTTGTTAATTACAGTAATCATTAAATAATGCTGACCAGAATTAAATAAAATCAAAAGAAGTACACGTCAAATGTGTAAGTACTTCGATAAATTTGACCTGACATCTCCAAAAAGGAGCCAGTCTCAAATGATATCACATTAGATCATTGGATAGAATTTGAAAATATGTCACATAACTACAAAATAACAATATACAATTATGCTGAATTGCTTATTATTGAAAATATAGTATAATCTCTATCGTAATACTTTGAGTAAGCTTGTCACGAATGGCTCATCTTTAATGTTTTACGTTTAATATACTGATCCAATGCAAATGATATTGTCCAAATATTAGTCCTGTTCATAATCCTACATTTTAACTTGATTATGTTGATAATTAGTTTAACTGATATCTTATGTTACAATTCACGTCACCCAAATACACTAGGATAAAATGGAAACGTCCAAGCATTAATTTGAAAAAAGGACCTCGTGGGCTCGTCCAAGCAATATTTCAGGCATGAACTGGCTCTGAGTAGAACCATTAATGTTTCTTATACAAAATTTAAAGACCCTTGGTAGTATCGAATCCACAACTGTAAGGGGTAAGTTGTTTGAAGATGAAGACCGTAACCACTCGACAACAGAAGCCCTAAAAAGGACATACTGTTACGCCTATGAAAATGAATCTGAAGAAAAGGCTATAATAAACAATGATATCATAATAATTATGTATTGTTGTTTATATTGAACGTTAATTAAAGAGAAAATTGTATACCTTTTTTCCAGTATTTTCTTCTCAAGAAAACACTAAAAACAACGACAACAGCAATAACGATAACTGAACCAGTAAGCAATCCTCCAATCAATGCTGCATTTATTCCAGGTTCGTCTGTTTTTCCTGCAATGAGGCAACACCATCACAATTTATATCTTGTTAGATAAAAACGTCATATATGTATTACATACATGCAACTTCGATTATTACAGAACGGATAATGGTATTATGAATTATCTTAAACAAGAATAAACAAGAAAACTATTTTAAAAAATACTCGGCTGAAGTTAAACTGGTTAACTGGCAAGTGTTATTCTTAAGTTTTCCAAACACATAAACGTGTTAGCAATTCTTACATGACAACAACGCGAACAATTCTTGTAGGATTATTAATCTCGAAAAAAATGGACACTAAAAGGAGTACAAAAATAAAATGATTCTGTAGTTTTTCGTAACTGAATACGAAAGTTTCTTAGTTTCTCAGTTTCTAAGAAGAACAATTACGCAGTCGGTAGGCAATTAAATTCATAAATACTTGATTAATATGCAACAAAATGTGTAATAGATTTATAGACATTATATCAATTGAACTCATGATATATTAGACCCTAAATGAACATCATAAAAAACTAGGTAAGTTCGGATATTTAGGTGTGTTTTTCGATATATTCATATGCATGAGTAAACATACACGGTCGTGAACGTTGTCTGTTATTTTGGATAAAATATATAACTCAGTAAAATATTATGTAGAAAAAAAACTCAGTAAGTTCTCATGAATGATAAACTGTTCAATAGAAATGTAGTCAGATCTTAACAAAGTATAAAATGTGTTGTGGGGGGAAGTACTGTTAACTTGAATACCTGAGTAATTTTACTAGAATGTTAACAAAACCTATCCTATTACTTAACTTTAGAATGGCAAATGATATTCCCAGATTTCTGTTTGAAATTTTAAAATGTTCAATGAATATACTTCTTATATTCAGTTTGTCTCTGTACATTTTAATATAGGAAATAATACAGAATTTAGACGACTGTCAGCAAGATAAATCATAACATAGCAGATATATATGTCTTGTTATCTATGAATCAATAGAGCGTACACGGTATTTTTGTGTGGGGCAGATGAATTCTATCTCATCAGATAATGATCAGAGGTTCGCTAAAGAAATAGGAAACTTCACTCTCAAAAGAAAAAAAAAGAAATATATAATCTATTTTCTGCTAGACTTCTCAGGAAAATGTCATTGATGCATGATATTTCAAATTTTATCTTGTAAACATGATTGTGCTTTTTAGTACAGTTATCGGTTATAAAGAAAAAAGTGGCAGATATGGAAGTTTCAATATACTTAATAATCAGAGATCTGCTACAGGTCAGTGTGACCATTTCCAAAATTGATCACGGTTATATAGAAATGCTTGTTTTTAGAATTTAATTAAACATCTTAGAAATATTGGCCTGAAATAGCGTACTCATGTTTATACTTAACAAGGGTATATGTGTGTTTGTTTTGGTATTATCTGAAAATACAGACTCATGAGCATGTAATTTACACATACCTCTTGTTGTAAATGTTAATATTTCTGTAACATCACTGCTTCCCTCAGGATTTCTTGAAAACATTTGAAAGACATAGGATGTGCCTGGTTCAAGACCGAAAAGTGTAACATTCATTCGTGTGGTTCCCTTATCTGGTATCGTTATTTCTTTCCAGCTTGAGTCACTCTGTTTTTTATATGTGACATGAAATGTTTGGTTTAGGCCTCCATGGAATCCCGGTTTCCACGTTATAATGACTAATGTTTGTTCTAATGAACCATCAAGGTAGTTAACATTTTCTGGTGGATTCGGTTTACCTGTAAAAATAACAAATATGTCGAATAATTTCTACAACAATATTTGATAAAAGGCAATGTAATAAGAACGTGTTTTCCTTATTTCTTTTTAAATCTGAATATATAATAATAAAGTTTGTCTAAACAAATAAAATATTCGACCATGAAAACTATCAGATATTTATAGACTAGCCATACTTTTTACCACAAATAACCCTATTTCAAAGCAAAATGCTTTAAACAATGCACATTCTAGGATGCTTTAAATACGTTTGGTCAAATTTGTTAAGTGCACCCCTTGTTCCGTCAGAATACAAGCATACCGAATTAGATAATATTTGATAATATTCAAATTATGTCAGTCTGATGTCTACAGAATATGTAAATATATTACTAAACACTGTTCAATAAAACTTCGTGGCAACGCAAGACAAGTTACAACAAGGAAAATGCAGTCTAAAAGTTTTGAAGATATGAATCTTTATCTTTTTCGGAAATGGTTACCTTATATATGATGATGATGGCATAGTGAAACTCAGTTATTTAGAATCCTGAGGGTATGGAAGTAAATACATGAAATATAGTACCAGTATTTCCTTAATTTGGTTATTTCAAATGGCCTCTTTTATTGTGAGTTATTAGTCGGCGTTAATGGTATCGTGTCGAGTTTGGTCCATACACGATCACATGACAGTCAGAAAAAGCTATATTTATATTTCGTTTGTAAGTGATAATTAATAATAACATTAATTCTGACTCTCTTAACAGGAAATAATCAGTTAACGCCTTTCGGGATTTAAGGTAATAACCGAAGAAAAGAAAACACTGTTACTTAAAATAAACATCCAGCAAAAACCATGGATTCTGTTAGCGTTCTTTCAGTCATAATATAATGATGAAATAACAAACAAGTTTTGCTTTGCATGTTCAAGAAGGACATTAATTTGCTATAAAAAGGTATACACATGCCGGATATGGAACACATACTTTTGCATTGCCGCCTGCTTATCATGGGCATAGTTTATAGGTCAACTTGCAAAATTTATCAAATGATTTTTATGTGGCCTTAGTGAATATCAATATTCACATTAGCCAGAGCAATGTACTTTGATATTCTTCTCTATACCATATAACTGTATACTCTTATGTTTTATACATCTTAGACTACCACATTACACTAAAACGAGGCTAGATACATTATAGTTTAATTTGATAACTATTGATTTCATTTACAGACTTAGGACAATAACTGACAATAAACACTTACAAGTACTGTCAATGAAAAAATTGAATCAAGGCGAGTCTTCATTTTTTTACTTTAAGCCGATTTGTGTTCTTTACAAACTCATTCAAATAATATCATTTCTAAAATTTCATTTATTTCATTAGAAGTGTAGAAGAAATAGTCTAAACAAATTTTACTTAAAAAAGATGTTACTATTAATAGCTCTGTCTAACATTTTGTGCAGCGGAGCAGTACGGTCCGGGAATATGCGTAACTAGGGATGGGACTGACCACTTCTGAGTAGTTTCATTGAAATCTGAGATTTTTCTATTAATAGATCTGGCGGCCATTTTGTGCAGCGGAGCGGAACTTGCCGGCGATATACACAACTAGGGATCGTACTGATCACTTTTGCGAAGCTTCATTGAAATCCGACAAGCAGTTTGACCTGTGAAAGCCGGACAAGATTTTTCTTTTTACAGCTGTGGCGACCATTTTATGTGTGCAAGTTGAATGTATGACCGATATGCACAACTAAAGATGGCACTAATCGCTCCTGTTAATTTTGTTTTAAACCCGCCAGCAGTTAGACCTGTGAAAGCCGTACAATATTTTTTCTATTTTAAGCTCTAGAGGCGATTTTGTGAAGCAGAGCGAAACGTGCCGGCAATATGCACAACTAGTGATACTTATCACTACTGTGCACAACTAGGGATGTTGCTGATCACCCTAGTGAAGTTTCATTGAAATCCCCTCAGCGATTTTGGAGGTGAAACGCGGACAAAATTGTTCTATTTAAAGCTCTGGCGGCCGTTTTGTGCAGCGGAGCGGAACGTGCCGGCGATATGCACAACTTGGTACGGTACTGGTCACTCCTGTGAACCTACTTTCACAGAATTTCCCCAAGCAGTTTCGGAGATGAAGCGCGGACTAGATTACCGGACGGACGGAAGGACGGACGAACAGTGCGATAACTATTTTGCGCCCTCCGTGAGCGGGGGGGGGGCGAAAAAATCTTTTAGCCTGAGAAAGTTATTACAGTATCTGTATTGTTGTTTTTTGTACAATTAGAAATTGAAAACAATTCAGACAACATCAGTTTGCTTAGGAATTGGATAGGCTTTCATCTTTATCTCCAGCTTTACTCTTTCACCAACAGCACCTCTTACCTGATTGTTAAAATCTTCTTCTGAGTAAAGCCGAGGAGAGCCTAGTATAATTTGTAATTAAATACATTATAGACTGCATTCCATTATGACATGTTTCTCAATTGTTAAAAAACAAGGAATTAACACTCGTTCTTTCTGATTTTATTGAAGTAATAAGTAATAATAAGTCTTTATTTACTTCACATATATTGTATAATTGCTAGATAAAAGTATGACACGATTAATAATTTTATCATAATTATATCATATCATATCAAAATTTTTAAAATTTCAACAGTTAAAAATCAATAATTTGGATTATTCATAGTACTTGATTGAAAATATTTCAAACTTAATATAAAGCTACTTCTGAAAATAATTTCTAATTTCATCTGATATAGCCAAATGTTTCTTATCTATGACAAGTAAGGGCTCAGCAAATCTAAAAATCAAATTAAATCCATTTATGTAGAATTCTTAGTTATCAAAACCTTTGTAAGATTGTAATGAAATAGATTGTTTCCGTAACAATACTATTTACTCTTAAAATTCGTATAATCCGGTTCCATGTGAAATAATTCAAAGTTAGGAAACATAAGTTACATTTATAATTCATCATTTAAACATTGTATTTATACTTACATGTCACATACAGGCGCAGTTCCTTTGATGGTCTAGTTTCACCATTATAATCATTGTAGGCGACACAAGTGTATAGCCCGGCAGCATCACATGATATCTTTTCTTTCTTATAGGAAATTTGCTTTGCTTTGACCACGGATGCAATATTCTCCCTACTTTTCAATATAGCAATTGTAGAACCTGGATTGCTATCAACTGTACATTGAAGGTTGATTGAAGAGTTCTCATGTTTTGTGACGTCAGTCATTGTAGGCTCACTGACTTCAAAAAAACTCATTATAGATGTTTCATCTGTAAATAATCACAAAAGAATATTTTATAGTTTAAGGTGAAAGAGGGTCACATATCTATAAGATTATTAAAACAACATTCATTTCATTATTATCATGGAAGTATATAGACAGAATGTTTTTTAATTGATGAGGTATTCTAGAGCGCATTTCAATTAATGATATATCCAGAAATAACTTAATGTTCGTTTGATTTGTGTTTGTTATCTCAACTATCTCTAAAATTCTTTTTCATTTGATTTAAAGCCAAACAATAAGTCTTCAGAACTTCCAGTCTGGCCACAAAACAGGTAGACGATATAGGCCTTCATTTATTTGATCGGAAACATCCATCCTTAATATTTTACTTTTTTTCTATATAGACATACCACAGTAATACAGGTGTACATAAAGTGGTTAAGTAATTTGTTTTTTGAACCCAGCACATACGAGGAGCTCTATTATAACATAATTCAATAAATTTAATAAAGAATATTGTCCAACAAGTGACATGTTTTAATGGTTATTAGAAATAAACTTCAAATCAGTTCTTTGACATGCTGTCACAGTAAAAAGTACTCGGATTTCAAAACACAATTTTATAAATTTAAACCTTTAATAATACAGTAAAAGTCGATGCTTAATAGGAATAATTGGAGTATCCGCAAAGCAAAATTTACTCTTTCTTGTTGCTCTTTTCCAATAAATCTTTATATTGAAAGGAAGATATAATAATTTAATACCCGTAACATATGCACAAGTTTTTCAAAGTTATAAAAATATTTAAATTGTGATTCACAAAAATTGCAATACAATAAATTTGATAATCAGTGCTAGTAGCAACTTATATTCTTCAAAATTTGTTTGAACTTGAACATAAATTGATTGAATCTGTATTATCAAAATGCGTAAATGTTACTGCGTCTATTATGGCTATGGAGCTTGATTTATTACCTGATATTTAAAATGTATAGTGAGTGAATAGATAAAGTTTAAGAATCTCTACCATTGCTTTTATCAGAGGTTACGTTTTCGAGGTTGAAAATACATCTGCTTCTCCCTTTCATTGATATAATAATTTCACTTAATGACAGAAAGTCTGAATATTTGGCGTGTTTATTACTTATATAGACCTTCAATTAAAGATTTTGTTTGAAGGTACAATGTCTGTAAAGCTGAACTTATAGTTTATATGTTTTAACGAAATATGTTATCTGTTAACTTTGTCAATATTGACTAATTCTCCAGAGCCATAATTTTTGATAAATGACAAAAATATTTGAACATTTCATACATCACATTACATCTATGTTTAATCATATAAACTAGCTGAAACTTATACAGAAAGTTTATATTTCTAAATATACATACAAATATTACTAAACAAACTTTCAACGATATAGTATTTTAAATTAATTGATTAAATGATTTATTGTTTATTCAATTAATGATCGATTTTTGACTTGATTATATTTTATTATTTTACTTCATTCATTACTATATTTGTTCACTAATTTCTCTAATTTATTTGACAAATATTGAAATAGTTAATGTCTTTTTCTTATGTAAATAAAAGACGCGATGACAGGAATATTGTGACATGATGCTTCACATCATTGCATTTCGATTGCAAATGGTAAAGGATAATGTATATTAAGTTGATCTTATTTCTGATTTCTTTACGAGACAAATGTAAATTTTTGTATAAGAACAAATGATAAGTGTTTAGAAAAAATTATGAAAAACCTGTAAGAATTATTCCTGTTAAGTTTAAAACGGGGCATTAACTTGGACACTTCTGAAAACGATCGAAGCAGGTTTGTGTAAGACCTGTATCTCTCAATCTAACTATTTATCTAATCATCCAGGAAATATACACTTTTATTCACAGATGGCTTCGCACATTTTCAAATGTCATGTCGACGCTGGGACATAAACCGGCAAACATAAAAAGAAAAGGTTTGAATTATAGTTATCTTCTATTTCATTATTTTATCAAACTTTGAAAGATGAAGATATATGAAGAAAACAAAACGCATCTTTCGTTCAATACTTGTCGGTAACAAAATTGTAATTGCATGGCTATTTTGTGAATTGGGCGAATCGTTTAACGTTTTAAACATTCATTACCGCATTGATCTTTATAATGATTTTATAAAATCATTATGCGTAACCATGTAAACATCATTTACTATTTTTAACTTTAGAGTAATAGTAATTTATTGCGCATAATAGGCTCGGTTTCCAAAAAAATTGCCCTTGAAAATAAAACATATACATGGTTTTCAAACTTGCAAAGCTAAAAACTATATTTCGCCGATATCAATACATATTTACAAACGTTGTCTTGTGTTTTCCTGTTTCGTTATTAAAATGCATTGATTTGTTACTCTTGCACTATATTTGTTATTGTTTACTTAAATACCAGTATTGTTCTCAATATATAAACATAAAAAAATTTTCACTTATAGTTTATAATAGAGCGTCTTCTACATGTTACCATTATCTTTCTTTTCAATACTTATATATTAAGTACTTACACAAAACATCAAGAAGGAATGTCCGAGAACTTGATCCTATTTGTTGATTTTCAGCAGTTGGTTTCATAACATTTGATGCAGTACAATTGTATGTTCCAGCATCATTTCTATTAATGTTTTGTTTGACAAGTTTACCTTCATTGACAAAGATAATAGAATCTGGTATAATTTGCCAATTGTTCATAGATGAACTGTTTAATTTTCTCCTCCATGAGTATGTCATACAAGCGGGATTACCAGGATCAGCTTTACATTCAACAGATAGTGTGGATCCCTCAACAACCGGCTCAATGTTAAATGGTTTAACAGATGGACCGTCTGAAATGTTTTAATTGGGAATGAAACCACGTAGAGGTTAGATTTGCTGTTATCGTTTAATATACAGAAATATCTATGGAAAACCATTTTGCAACAAACACAAGATAAAATGTTACAATTTATCTCTCGGACTAACAAGTTATTTGGGAAAAAAAACAGATTGTAGGTATTTGGAGTTTAAATTTTACTTCTGAAAACGCAATTAGCAATTTTAGATCTTATACGCACATACCGAATTATGCAAAAATGAATAAAACTGAAAGAGACTTTGTTTTTTTCTTTGTTTGTTTAACGGCAGTACTGTCACATTGTGGCCATATGGTCATACCGTGCCTAATACTATAATAAGTTAGCCTAAACAGTTGCTATATTAAACGAATAAGGTTAATCTTAGAAAACAAGTTTATTTCTTTTAAGCAATTGATCAGGGTTTGAGATGAAACTGAAGCAAAACATAATTGTAAGTGAATTGAGTAAAACCCGTAAATATTCATGAAGGCTATACAAGATGGAGCATCCTCTCCTGCTAAAAGATAATAATGTGTAATTCAAGTATGCTCAATAGAACAACTTGAATAAGACACGTTCTGCAGCTTAAACTTCAATTGATATCTGCATTTGTAAAAACAGAAAAAATAAACGCGCATGTACATACATATTTCAAGGACATCAGCCTTTCAGAAATTATTGTATTTGAAGATTACTTTCAATTTTAGCATTGTCTATAAATTCAAATGTTTTGTTGTAAATCAACAGGAGTATCCTTATTTTACGACTTTTATATTTCTAATGATATTTTTGATTGCTTTTATTTCACGCTTAATCTATAGTGATACAAATTATTATCAATAAAACATTTTTTTCTAATTATTGTTATGCATGCAGATTACTCCTATTATATATCACAACACATGATGTAGTCAATTATAACAAACTAATATGTAATATAAATTTTATACAGTATTTAATGACTACACAAAAAATGTTCTATTCACAATTTTTGCTCAGAAATAAAATATTTGCTGAATACTATTTTGTGTTTGAGAACTACCCAAATTGATTTGTACATGCTTTAGAAATACGAGTCATTTGATTATGTGATAATGACTTGTTTTGAGGTTCGAAAAAACAAAACAAACAAAAACGAAAAATACGTACATAGAATTTCCATATGAAGGTCAGATGTGATTGTCACTATTTCTTTCGTTCCAAATGTTCTGTTCATATAATTACTAGCTGTACAAACGTATGTTGCATTACTTTGAATAGAAGTAATGGCCAATTTGTTGGTATTTGAAAAGATCTGACCTGACCACGAGAGTGTAGGTGTTGGTATTCCAGTAGATGAACATGATACACTGAATGACTTCCCTTTAATGGCTTTCAATGTTGAGGTAACTGGTGTCCTTTCTGACTGGCTGTAGTGATATTCTATTGTAGGACTTGTTACTGGAGCTTCAGAGAGTAGTAAGATATGCTTTTATAAAGGTTGCTTTTATCAAAAGGTGAGCATAAAACATCTATTAAAAACTGTTTTGTTTTATAATATTTTGTTTTTACAATCCTATACCTAAGCTAATTTTAAAATCTACTTTGTTTAAGACAGACATATAATAAATAGCTATGAAATATAAGAAATTAATGTTGTTAGATAAAAATCTAAAACATATTAAGGAAATCCACGTAACCTATTCATTACATAGATAACTATTTGGACGTTTTACACAACTTACATAAAACGCTAACAGACACAGTCGATGTAGAAGTTCGTGTTACATTAGCGTCATTTGTAGGATTCATTGTATTGGTTGCTTTACATGTGTAACTTCTATCTTGTTGTATAGATGAAACAGCTATAACTTGGTCACTGATTGTTCTTCCATCTCCTGTCCATCGGTAATTTGCAGTCGGGTTCCCAGTTGATGAACAATACAGGTTAAAGTTATCTCTTCTAACAACTTTAAAACGTCCAGTTATAACGGATCCACTTCGGTCATGATATCTCAGCTCAGGTTTAGATGGCGGGGCTGGTATATTATACAGATTCATATTTAGATTAATGTAGATATACACTAAAATAATGCAAATAAAGAACATTGCTTATTTTACTTCAATTGGCTAAGAGTTGTGTTAAGTGTGTAGATATATAAAAATAATAAATACTTACAAGTGAGAAATATATTGATAATACCAGGCTAGCAACAGAAATGTTTTCACAAATTAGGTATATATCATTTGAACAAAGGTATTGCATTGCAAACGCACTTACTTCTTTTTTATAGCATATTATAAAAAAGTTTAAAAAACAAGATCATTGTCAAAGTTGTCTGTTTTTTATCCGCCATAAATCAATGAACTGATCAATATAATATATCTTTAACAAAACGTCTTAGACTGCTACATTTTGCTGTTATTATTTTTTTCACATAAAACTTCAAATTATAATAACAAATTTGTTATCTAGCTAGCTTAAACAAAGTGCTAAAAGCGTCTTACTAAAATGGAAATAGAAATGATAAAATATGAAATAGCATTGTTATTCAAATTATATTTTCTTCTAATAATAATCAAATTTCTTAAGATATCTTCAGACATCATATGCCAAACTTGTTTTTATTGTGTTATTGTATTTGGGTTACTGTATTTGGTCATATTTTGTCACAATAAATTATTTTTACTTATATCAGTAATGTTGTTAAAAGACTCAACAAGCCCCAAGCGGACTACATGAAGTAGTTGTGGATGTTTGTATATTTCGTATTGCCAACGTGATTATTACTAATAGTTCTGATTTTTAACATGAAGTATTTTTAATTTTGTGGAGGGATAACGAATGGTCCTAGTCTCTTTTCTTTAAAAAATATATAATATACATTGTACAAAGATAAACAGTGGTTGTAGAATTATTTGATATCAGATTGAGAGGTGATTCATGTTGTTATCAGCATTGGCAAAAACTTAAGGTGTGTTTCCGATTACTAATATAGATCATATATTATTTATTAACATTTTATAATTTATCATTATCATCATCATTAATTACTTAATAGTTATGAATTTACATAAAATGTCTGTTATAACTAGGTATTATTCTAATCGTGTTTTTTTCTGCCTAGTTTGAATTTTTTATGGATACCAAACACTTACTCGTACACTAGAAAACAATATTACAAAATGTAACAGCAAAAACTGTTCAACAAAAGAGACATTGAGAGTATCAAGGGCAGCAAGGAAACAGCTTTTTATATTGATTTAGAAGCCGAGTCGAAGCATTAATAATTGTGATTATTTAATATTAGACCTACAATATTGTACATTTTTTATGAAATGAGATTTTGTTTAGTTATTATCAATAAGTCTTTATAACTTACACAATATTTGAATGTCAATAAAGGCAGAGCTATTTCCAGTTTCTGTACTGCCAAGAGACGGCGTCATTCTGTTTTGTGCATTACAGTAATAAATACCATTTCTTGTAACCTGAGAAGGATTTAGTGTTGCGTCTTGGCTAACTTCTGTTGTTTGTCCATTGTATGTCCATTTATATTCTGGTAGGGGAACACTTGTAGACGAGCAAATAATTGGCTTCGTGCTGTCTCTTATAATTTTAACTGTACTGGATGGTTGAACATTTTGTGAATTTAGCTGGAGCTCTGGAGATGTAGGTGGTACTGAAAATTAGTGTCATTGTCTTCTTACAAACATAGATACGAGTATATCAAAGACTGCAAATGTTTTCAATTCGTTGTAAATATATTATAAAATGTGTCATGATGGCTCTGGATTGCCCACCCGACATTCATTACTAAGATGTTATATTTTTTTATTTGTCAATATTAAAGTCAGCAATGATGTTCTTTAAAATCCAAGCTGCATAATAATTAAAATATCTGCTATGTACAGTAATATCTATCGTCGTGGCTTTGTAATTTCACATATTTTATTAAGAGTGTTTTACTATGTATTTATATGGGCATGATAACTATTGTACAGATATTGTTGTTTCTGAGGAGAAAATTTATGACATTTTTATAAGGCTCAAAAAGAAAGTTACCCCTGGGCAGAACCAACTTCAACTCGATGGGATTGATTTATATTATTTTGTAACGGTCCGATTGGCAATTCTATTTGCAAAATATCTTAGTTTATCTTATCAAAATTATATAAAAAAAATTGCAGATTCGATTGAGTGTGTACATCAGGGAAAATGAAAAAGTGCAATATCCCTCAAACCCTCTAGCACCAGCTTGATTGGTATTCAATTTGTAACACTCAAAAGCGCTGAACTCACTGATCTCGAAAGAGCAGAAAAATATAACACCACTAAAGTGAAGAAATGGGCAACTTTCACGTCTGCCACACGTAAAGACTACTTTTAGCTGCAAGACCTTCTAAAGCAAACTGGACTGGAACAATTCAACTTTAATAGAGGACTACTTAAGTACTATTCATACGCATCAATCATTTAGAAGGAAATGTTGTAGAACGAAATTGTGGATAATAACGGACGACGGACACACTGCCATTACAAAATATGAAAAACAAGATCAACAAGGAAGGGCGACGTTCAATGAACGCACACCACACGCGACCCAGTAACAAAGGACCACTAGCAAGGAGCCCAGAATGACAAAAATTAAAAGACAATGAAATTTAAGAGACTATTAATTAATAAGCCTTAAAAGCTCACCTTTGAGCACTTTGTGGACTTTCGTGTTTTTCCATGTGACAAACCAAGTGGAATATGAAAATCCAGATCATCAAGGAAGAGCAGCTTCCAATGAACGCAACCGCCACACGACCCATCAACACTGGTCCACCGATAAGGAGCCCAGCTGGACCCGAAACAAAAGCAGGTCAAGGCAAAAAGCAAAGCTCGAACCGGATAATTATTTGGATAATCCTTAATAGGATATAATGAAAACCGACCTGGAATTTAGAAAGATGATTAATTAATAGGCCTCAAAAAAGGGGGTGTAGAAGAAGGGTCTGGAGTATCTGGAAAGGCGGACGGGGCAAAAACAAAACAAAACTAAGTGAAAAAGGGAGACACTTACCGTAAACGAGAAAGCAATAAGAAGGGAAACGAAAGTTTCACTCTAATATAATAAATAATTATGAAACAACTAAGACACACGACTCTACAATAAACGGTTCTTAAAACCTTTTGGAATGAATTGTTTAAATTTTCACGTCTTCATCGGGCCCTTATAGAGGACTTCTTTCATTCAAGTCGTTGGGTTGTATCTTTCTGTATATCTATATAATCATTTTTTTTCTGTTTCATATTTTGTGAACAATTGTTAGAATTTGCCTCGATGGGGATAGTTATTTACGGAAAACAGAAAAATACAGAAAATACTGCGGGCTCCATTTTATTGAGACTGATCATTGAACCAATGACATATTTAAAATCAAAAGAAAGAATGCTTAAGTCAGTGGAATCAGTTTAAAACATTAAAATAAGAGGGCAATGCTGATCATATCGCTTACCTGCTTATTGAGGCGTTTAATAGAATAAATATGAATGAAAAAGCACATAAAATGTCTTCTTCATTGAACGCAATCTTTCCTTGTTGATCTTGTTTTTCATATTTTAATCTAAAATTTATCAGAACGTTCATATCAGCACCTTAAGTATTACAAAGCTACCATATCTGTACAGTGTCACGTACTTTAACCCACATTAAGACGATATTCGAGTATATAGGTTGCAAATATTATATATATATTATTGTAAAGGTTTCTTCATATTTGGGGTATGTGGCCTTGATATTATCCCGAAATGACCGATATTCAAAGTTGAGCTATAAATTAACATAAAAACCTTTCTGACAAATTTTAAAGATTTTTTAGCTAAAGATATTGCCTTTACAGCGTTTTTGTTCTCTTCATCATTTGGGCTATGGGAACTAGGTTTTACTGGTTTTTTTGTTACTGGATCGGGTGGGGGCTGCGTTCATTGAACGCCGCCTCTCCTTGTTGATGTTGTTTATCATATTTAACCCATTATGACCAACATTCAAACTTGACCTAGAAATCACAGGAGTAACATTTTTATCAAATTTTAATTACATTTGGAATGACAATATTACTTCTAGAATATTAACAATGCATTTCCCAATTTAGATTGTGTTAACCAGTTGTTGGCTTAAATCAATTGATGTTTTATTGCTTCCAAGGGATCACTTTTTTCCAGATATGTATTTAGATGAAACATACTCAATCTTGAGCTAGAAATCACGAGAACAACTTTTCCGACCAATTTCAAGGATGTTTAGGTTGAAAATGTAACGTCTAAAGTGTAAACAAAGTTTTTCATATTTGGTATGTGTGAGCTAGCCAAATGAATATCCAACGCCCCTTGCTCCGGCACCAGCAGTTTAATCATTAAACACAAAATGGTAAAATTTGGAATTTTAAAACATCCGTAGATGTGTTGATTCGGCAGTATTCATTGAACCTTCACGAGCAAACAATTGGCGAAAATGAATAACATAAAATTTTGAAAAGGGATCAGGAGTTTTGAAACCTGTATATCACAGATAAGTTGTCAAAAGACAAATTAAAATAAAAACAACATTTGTTTATAATGATATGATTGTTTGTTTGTTTGTTTGTTTGGGGGGATAATTGAAAAAATCATTCATTATTGTGACAGTTTTCAATAGAATGTCCATGTATTCCTAAACACCTAACCACTAGTCACTTCTTATTCAACTATTTTAAATAATGAAATACTTTTTCTATCTTGGACAAGACAATTATAATGTTTGAAAACTTTTGTTCTATTCTCTTAAGAATTAAAATTTACATACATAAAAGTCTGACGTTTAGAACAACCTCACTTGCAGCACCCATTTGTATAGATGTACATTTACATGTGCCATTTGTTGATGCTGTCCAAGTCCATCTCTTTGTTATTGTCTGTCCAGAACTCAAATCCTGCACGGTTCCCATAAAACACGCCCATGATAGTGATGGTGAAGGATATCCACCAGTAACTGAACAATCAAGTGTTTGTTGTCTAGTTCCAATGGCACGAAATATTGTGTTATTTCCAAAAAGCTTACTTGAACTCTGAATCAATGGTCCAGTGTCTGGCTTGTCTGAAAAATGTGCAGTTGACATGACTTCATTCAATTTTGAAAAAATGTAAAATATTCTCAAACTTTTAGTGAAGATAATGATAATGAAATCTAATTTTCCGTGGAAGTTTACTTGAATGATTAACTAAATTTACAGCATCATTTCATTTAATTATTTAACTTTCATATTTTCAATTACATAATAATGTTATATAACAAATTTGTTTTTTTTGTTCTTTATTGAAATTAGAATTATTTAACATAACTGATGTGGCTTCATTTTTAGTCAAACACTTTTCAAACTTTAGTAACATCATATTTTTTAACTTGAAATTATTAATTGTACTTACAATAAACATCTATTTTTAATGGATCACTGATAGTAGATGTATAGGCATTACCGAGATCTTCCTTTGCTGCACATGTAAAGTTTTTGTTGGCATCATTTCTACTAATGTTAGAAATTGTCAACTTGTTCCTTGTATTTGAGTATGTATGTCTTGAGTCACTTGGAATGTTATTATTATCAATATTCCAGTTGTACACAATTCTAAGATTTGGGTCTCGAGGTGTTGTAGTTGATATACTGATACATGTCAATATCGCAGTCTCTCCTTCAAATGGTAATTTGTTAATGGTGATACTAGGCTTTGTTGGTTGACCTTTTTCAAAAGACGGAAAATAATAATTCTAAGGAATGAATGACCCACAATAAATATAATTTATTACCGGACATTTAATCTCAGACAATAAATTTGTAAAAGCTAATTGATTGACAAACATTGTCCATATTCGTTTACATTTTTAAATAATGAACAGGTTTGTTCTAAAGGTATCTGAAGATCAAAACTGTATTGTTTTATTAGGAAAATGCTTTTTCAAATGTTTTCCTTTTTTATCAATTCATCAGCCTGATGGTACAAGAGGCATCCGATCCATAGACTGTGTAAAACATAAAATAAAACACGAACGTGATTGTTAAAGACAAATGTCCCCGGCTCAGATTCGTCTCGGTAAACGAGTTATCAACAACTGTTTACCCATTCACTGGACAAAGAAATTGCCAAAGCTAACAATGTAAACATAGTCATTTAACTTGACAGAGTCATGTGAAAAATATATAAGTCGGCAAATCATTGCTATGACTTGTGATGAAGTTGAACAATATTTAACTTTATCAAATATTATAAATGCAAGACTTAACATTGAATCCAGTGAACAAAAACTCCATCAAAACTTAAAGAACCACCTTAGGTATGTTTCCTTGTAAATATTAGACATTGCTGAAAAACAGCTAAGGCTGTATAAAAATGTATTAAAAATCTATTGAAAAACAAATGACATTGACCTTGTGACTCCCAGCACTGGACCACCCAAGGGATGTTACTTCCAATTATGACAAAAACACCAGGGAAAACCCATTTAGAAAATATTACATACTATTGTGTCAAGTATTATTTTAGTGTGTACAGAGGCCATGAATCGCATATTAAGAAATTAAATGGAATTGGATATATACCAAGATTACTAGCAATAGGGTCATGATAAGCAGAAAAGTGAACACTCACAAAATAGTTCGGATCAATATAACAGTGTGGGTGCCAAATTTAAATAAAAAGAATCTTGAAGAAAATGTTATACAGTATACAAGAGTTGTTCAACACACTAAAAATGTATGAAAGTACATTGTTTGTTTAAGTAGCGATGGCTCGAGCCATTTAAAACTACAACAATCTGTTACCAAAAGTAGTCCAAAATATTTGAATCTGGTAACAGTAATTATTTGAGTTCAATTCGTTCTTTGTAGCTGATCACCTATTTCAAATACGCGAACTTTTGGGTTTTACAATACTCACAAAGCCTTTACGAAATTGCTGTAAAAAGTTTAATTAGTTTGCAAAACGACGTTTGTATCTGAAAGAATGAAGTTTATTTGTGGGGCAGACAGAAAGGTGACTTTTATTTTCGCCTTTAAACCAGTTGTTAAGTTTCTGTGCTTCGCATGTATAGAACTGGATCCGGCATCTAGTCATAATTTTCCTCAGGCCTTGAACTGCACAATTATCTCTTTATTGGCTCAAAAATATGCAGATTTGACATAGATTTGGAGAGACCAATGTATTATTATCCTATTCTGACATTGTTGAAGCATACCGTCAAATATTAAACCTACAAAACGTTTACCCTTCGTATTTAGAACATCTACGAAGTAAATGACCAGTTGAACCTTTTGTTTGTCCATGTTACGCGTTAACTTATTTAAAACAACAATGTAACAGTATAGAGCGAGGAAAATTTCCCAGAGTTATGGTATAGACTAAGCGACTTGGGTCCCATTTTGTTACAGTTTATACCCAGATTTCGGATACAGTTTTGACCCCAGATATTTACAAAACCGTTGCTTTTTTATATACGGGGTTAAATGTTTATTGAAACGTCGGATTGAACGTAACATGTTTATGGTGTACCTGTCATTGTACTAAGGGTTATTTTATAATTTATCCTACCTAAGATGTAGACAACGACACATTCTTTTACTTCCCGGCTAGCCTGAGTCACCGCATGTTTGTATGTTCCTCCATCTGATTGGTGTAGGTTGTCCAGTCTAATAGCGAGATCTCCAGTAGCAGCATTACCAGTAAACGTACAACCAGTACAGTTACCTATGTATAAACTGGTTGAATTTCTATACAGTGCTATTAGTAATTTAGAGCCTGTATTAGACAATATCTCATTGGTTACAGATAGAGTAGAATCTTCAGTGTTCTTCGTTATTGCTTGAAACTGAATAGTGACATAATGTCTAGGTCTTTTATATTGAGTTACTGTAAGGGGACAGCCAAATGCTGAAAGGAAGATAGGGTTTTGCTATACTTAAGGAAGACAAAGAAGTAAAAATTATGTTGTTTTTATAATTAAATGATGAACATATTGAACAAATAAATGTCCTTCAATAAACACTTTGAACCACTTCAGTGAGTTTTTATTTTGATCAAATGTAGCTCACCAGTGATGAAGGCACAACATACAATACAAAATATTTCAAAAGGTACTTGAACAATTTTGGAAACTCAAAGCTATACATCAAAAATATTTTTCAAAAGCTTATTCTATACTTGTGTGACATTTTTTTATTGATTAAGATTAAATATCACATTACAAACACTAAATTATTACAAAATATACCTTCTTAACAAGAAACCAAAGATTAAGTATATTACATCAAAATCACATGCACATGTACATGTATATCTAAGCAAATATAGTAATATACGGAGTTTATATCCGCCAAAGGTATATGTACCGTGATGACAAGTTTATATCTGAATGTTACAAACCCATGTTTGTTGACTGCATTTGTATTCACTGATTTGCTTACTAAATTGTGAAGATCTCAAACTGCTATATGCCCATGCTTCATTGCACATTGCTGCTTTTTTAACTGGCATTGCAAACAACGAAAATTCAACATATTTTCGAACAAAAAATCAAAATCGCAATTATGTTAAGTGAGAGTAACATGTATGAAGAAATTTATTTAAATGTGACATACACAACTACATTCAGTCATATTTTGAATCCATGTGGCGCTTTGACTTGAATAACGTCTCCGGTGAAATGGTGACACGAGTAAAAAGTGAAAGCCGGTGTCGCGTAATAATCATATGCGCGTAATTTTACCACGGTTAATACATGTTTTTTTAAACTTGCCTATGGCTTTGTTTACCAACAAAGCGCTTAGAAAATTAGTATAAATCTTCAGCAAAGAATAGTTATTTCGGAATTGAATATTCAGTCTTCAGAATATATGTGTGAAATTGAGAAAAATCGTAGAATTTTTCATCTTTCGTAGGGCATTTTGAAAACCTGCAAGGTTCTCAAAATATTAAATTCATGAAAATACAAATTTTCAAGGGTGTTAAGCTTTGTTTCTTGTTAATAGTTTAATTTATAAATGAGCTAGAATTGATCGTATGATGTAGTTAAAAATGGTCAATTCTCCGAAAACTTAGACAAATTAATGGGAACTTTTGCCCAAAAGGGTACTACAAATGTAAAATTTGTCACTCATACATTTATTCTTGAAAATAAAGTTCAATATCTTTTCCCGTATTCTTATATTCACACGTCAATACCATACCGCGGCTATACCGACTGAGCTATCACGCCTCTTATACCTCTTCTTCCCTAAATAGTTAACAGATCTTAAGTGCGATATACTTTCCTGCCATATTGAAACTCATCCTCAAATTTCTCAGGTTACAGAGCAATGTTAATAAAACTCTGATCTATATTCAGTTACGGCCCAAAGTTTGGCTCCAAAGTCTCAGGTTGAGAGAGAGGAATGTGCATTATGGCGGAGATTCGAACCCGAAACCCTCACAATACCGTACCACAGCTCTTACCGACCGAGCTATTCAGCGGCTTACACATCAACTACCCTAAATACTAAATAGTTTTGAACCGTGACACACAAATGTAATATTAATTTGCCTTTTTAAAAAAAAACTAATTAAATACCAAATACAATGTTAATTCAACTCTGAGATATAGGAAGTAAAGGCAGCATTATGTGTGCCAATTGTAACAGGGTGACTGGGATTCGAACCCGGGACCCTAAGAATACCATTCCGTGGCTCGACCGACTGAGATTTCCGGCCACTTAAACATTTTCTCCCCAAAACAGTGAACAGTTCTAAACCATGACATAATCCGATCAATTAAATACAAAAACAATATATCTAAAATCTGCAAGAAAAGTTCTGTTATAAATGAATTAATACAAATTAAGTAAATGGAAATCTTATCCCACGGAGTTGATTTGATGTTGAGTTGAAACATCCCACCTTAACCATGATAAATGTCAACAATCTTACAGATGAGACCAAAGTCCCATATGTTCAGGACTGCTAGGACCACGGTTGCCTCTAAAACAAGGCAAACTAGGAAACTACTGTCTCACTCCTACACTTTATATAGATCTTTTCTCTTAAAATAATGATATAAGTGCCAAATCATGTGTTTTACTCTATTATCATATATGATGTTTTGAAATTTACCAAGTTATATTAAAATTTAAAATAATAAATTTAAATAAATAAGTTTATTCATTCATCTTTTTTTTTCTGATTTAAAGTCCCATGAATGGTTCAGTTCAAATTTTGAATCATTTAGCCAAGGTCAACCATAATGTCTCTGATTTGTACTCAACTACTTTCTTCTTAACAAACCAACTAAGATATTACACGGTCAATAGAATTAAAGCTAATAAATGTAAATTTTAATTGATGCTCACTTTGAAAATAAGTATATGAACTCGTATCGAAGATTTAATATTTTCTTTTTTTAATCCTTGATATTATTGTAATAAGTCATTAAAAAACTCAAATCAATCAGGACAGTTTACAGGATAGTATCTCACAATCATTTCATGTTTGAACTTGTTACTACAAGATTGAACTTCAAGTTCCCTATTAATTCCATAATAAGTGCAGCATAATTACACAATGTATTCTATGACCACAGAATACAGTGTGTGGCATAGCTTGATTAATTTGTTGTCTATTTTTGAGCATCACCATCAATAAATCAATCATCACCATCAAAGCACTGCTGCTCATGATAACTATCATCATAATAATCATCATCATCACAATCAACATACTTCTGCTCATAATAACCATCATCAATATAATCACCATCATCATCACTATCAAATACTTCTGCTCATGATAACTATCATCATAATCGTCATCATCACAATCAACATACTTCTGCTTATGATAACCATCATCAACTTTATCTTCATCATCACAATCAACATACTTCTGCTCATCACAACTATCATCAATATAATTATCATTACTACCAAATACTTTTGCTCATTTATAACCATCATCAACTGAATCATCATCATCGCAATCCACATACTTCTGCTCACCATCATATTTATCATCATCATCATCATCAATATTATCATTATCATCACTATCAAATACGTCTTCCTATGATAATCATCATCAACTTAATCATCATCATCACGATTAACAAACTTATGCTCATCATCATCATCATCATGAATACAATTATAATCATCACTTTCAAATACTTCTACTTATGATTACTATCATCATCATCATCATCTTCACAATCAATATTTTTTTGCTTATGATTACCATTATCAACATAATCATCATCATTGCAATCAACATGCATCTGCTACAATATAATCTACATACTCATTATTATTGATATCAGCATCCTCCTGCTCATCATCAATATTATTATCATTATCACAATCAAAATACTTCATCATCAATTTAATTATAATCATCACTATCAAATACTTCTGTTAATGATTACCATAATCAACTAAATCCTCCTCCTAATCATCATCATCCACATCACAATTCAAATACTACTGCTCATGATCATCATCATCGATATAATCTTCATTATCACAATCAACATCAACTTCCACTAATGAAAATTACCATCATCAACATAATTATCATGATTGCAATCAACACACTTCTGCTCGCCATCACCATCATCAATATAATCAACATATACGAGGGTTGTTCAAAAAGTAATAGGACTAAGAGTCTTGCATCTTCATATTCAGTTCAATTTTGCAGTCCTATTACATTTTGAACAACCCTCGTACGTGTGCTTAAAATTATGTCTTTTATTTATGAGCTTTGTTTTTATTTAGTCCTACATAATAGGTTTAAACATATTTATTTTTATTAAGTAACAATACTACACATCAAACACAGAATTATTTATAAAAAATCATGATCAAGTTGATTGAACTGGAAACTCAAAACTTATTGTAATTCTCTCCACTTCTAGTAAGACATCGGTACTTATAAATAATTGATTGAATAAATTGTTACATCCAAGATAAAATATGTTAAAATTAAAAGAAAATAAGACAAAATTAAGTTAAAACAAACAAAGAAAATTCGAGAGAAAAACATAAAGAAGTGTTAAAAAGTTTGAATTAAGAAATAACTCCGAGTAAAGAAGAAAAAATGAGAAAATATAAATAATAAAAAGAAGTGTGAAGCTATAGAATTGGGTGAAATACAGACTTGCACATTCATAAAGAGGATGGAACTTTTTTCAGATTAATCAAAACGTTTAGATTTTTCAATATAAGTGTGAACAGCTTTGAATTTACATTCAGTCTCTCCAACTGATAAAGATGTGTTTCCTGAATAATGTTTTTTTAAGAGGAACAATATAATAAGAATTCTTGATAACATTTATCAAGGAATGTCTGATATTTTCATACTGCCTACAATGCAAGAAGAAGTGAGCGGCTGTTTCGCGTAACCTATAGCTTCGAAGAGATGATGGGATAATATGTTTTGATAATAGATCGTCTGCAAGTAAGCTACAATGTGTACGAATACGGACGAGAATAATTTAATTTTTACGTTTTCCAAAGTAGAATTATTGCGGTACAGTTTTTGTTTGTTTCAACGATTCTTTCTTAAATTTGAAACTGTTGCTGCCTTTTTAAGAGATATAGAAAGTTCATTAATAGCATCTAGTTGTTGCAGGGAGAAATGAATCATAATACAGCGATGTTCTAGCTCTTGATCTTCACGATTACGGAGGAGATAATTTTTGTTATCAACTAATGGCGGACATAAATCTGAAAAATAAGACGGTGTTAGGTTGGAAATGTAGAAAAAAGGTAGCTTATGTTCTTTTCTCTTTCATATGACGAAGCTTTAAAAGCTTACTTACAAAATTACAGAAAAAAGTGTTGGTTTCCGAACTCAACCCAAAACAAACATGAAAACATTAACTACATTTCAGAATTATTGATAAGAAGGACAGAATAAGTTTATTTTGTTTATATATTTGCATGATATTGTTCAACAACATTGACCTGGCACTCTTGCATTTGACCCTATAGCCGGTAGTTTCCGTAAATGTTACACTCTACTTGTACATCGATAAAACATGTATATTTACAGTTGTTGGATGTTGTAAATTCAGAATCTCTCATGACGCAATCGACCTTACATTTATAGGCTTACACTCGTCGGTTCGACCACTTTAATTTATTCTTATTTATTTATTTTTTATTTTAAAAATGCCATTCTCTTGAAATCGTGTGTATGGACTGTATGACTGACACTGCCAGTGAACTCGACTACATTTTGTAGACGACTGATTGATTTTTATTGTTTACTGTAATAAAATTAAATATAATTGTTAAAAAAGCACCACTCAAATGGAATCCTAAAACAGATGTAGTAGAACATTTTTAAATAAGTAAATTTAAAAAAGGAAATATGTGTATCTTCATAACGTGGCGTTGGTCAGGAATCGAACCAGAGACCTTCAGATCGGTAGCCCGACATCTATACCAATTCACAACACCTCACTAATGAGTAATAGTAACAATCATAGCGATATATCCGTAATATACCAATGTTTATCTAGTGACCTTTACGAATTTGTTGTACAATATAACAAGTAGTAAGGTTAACATTGAAAAAATTAAGAGAAGAAGAATTATAATAGTTCTGCGAGCAATAACTTAATTTTGTATAATTACCTTTGTAATTGCAAATAGATATCCAAAAAGTCAGATAGAATATATTATTCAACATGACACTATTTTTAAGTTTATTTTGCTCAATTTTAAATTGTCGTGTTATTTTCTAAACCAACTTTATAAGGAAGTAAATATGTCGTGTTTTGCTAATATACATGTCTTAGTTATATCTGAATGTTTAAACGTGCGTAAAATATAATAAATTATAATAGGAGTATTTAAGAGAGGTTACGCAGCGCAGATAAGTAAGTAATTAATGATTCAATGAATGCTTGGAATTTGATTTAGCATTAAAACCTTAAAAAATCAGCGCGTTATGCAAGACTTACAAACCAATTTTTAAAACACAGGAACAATTATAACGCCTATAAAAGTAAATAACACTGCACATGTAATAAGATTGGAATGAAAAAAATCTTTTGACACAATATCTTATTATATATAACTTTTATTTGTTACTACATTTGTTTTACAAATTAACCCTTTAAAACTTAGCAGATCGATGGAGTCAAAGTGCGAAATTGGATCACTGCACTTATATTAGAGAAATACATGATGAAAAACAAAACCTCCTTACCACGTTAATGTTTGATTTGTTGATTATTTTTGAAAATTTGCTTATAAAATACTAGGTATTTTAATTTCATTATCGCCGTTCCTGGACGGCCATATATACAATTAACAAGATTTGAATAGATCTACCTGTACACCGCCTGTCTTTTGTCAAGCAAAGCGAATAATCTAATATCACATGATAGTCAAAAACTCCAACAGGGGATGCGACCTAAATGGACTCGCCCAACCGCCATGTTTGTGGGATAAATTATTCGTAAAACTGAAAAATACCATTATCAGTATACAAACGCAGTACCGTTCTGTAGGCTATTGTAAGAAATGTACTGAAGATTGTAATATGGTTTTGCTTCATGTCCTTTCTGATTATAGAAGGTAGTCTAAATAAGAGTATCTTTTGTTTTCTTTCCTAAATTTGCACTTACAGAAAACAACTTCATAAATGTTTTCTTTCTAGCGAGTTTAATTCTATGAGAGGTTTTATTGCATCATATCTATAATAAAGCTTGTCACTTATAGTCCGTTCAAAGCAAAGCCGTCGGCGGAGTATAGAACGTTAATTTCATTTATAGAACGCATGAATCAAAACAAAGTTTTGAAAACTTTCGCCGGTAATATTGCAAAATTGTGGGAAATTGACTGATTGCAACTTTTCGAATTAAAGATAAAGATAAAAGCCGACAAATTCTGATTGAAAACGGATGCGTAAACTTGTCTTACGTGAACTTCTACTGGAACCATAATAATTATGACAGGGAACCAGAATAAACGGCAGCAGTTCATAAAATACCGAATGGCAGTTTAAAAACGGAAAATTATTCTAACCGACTTCCCCTTTCATAGGATTTGCCTAATTTCATATAACCCGAGGGTAAATTCTTTTTAGATATCACATAAAACATGAAATGGCCGTATATAGTGTGTGTTGAGTGCAGCCGAAAGTATGCAGTTCTACAGTTCTAAGTGTATTGAAATAATTAATTGTAGCCACCGATGGATTTAAAAATGTTATGTACGAAAGAGCTTGTTTTGACATGTTTGAGGCTTTGCCTTATTCAGATCAGAGTATCATGGCAGGAGTTGACCCCTAAGCGGCTGTGATTAATTAAAGCCATGATTCTAACGGCCACGTCTACTACGACTTCATAACTACGACAACGATTTTACAATGTTAAGTAAGTTTAGGAATATGACTACTTGAATTAGGACTTCTTCATCAACTCCGTCAATAACGATAACCAAAATACCGATCGGGGTCATTTTCTGATCATCACTAACATCCCTCTGCAGACTTTTTTTCTTCTTTTAATTGATTTTAAATATAATGAATGTGGTCATTTTTTCCAAACCAAGGTTTTATAGTAAGTGAACTGGTGGAAATCGAAATAAGTTTATTTTTTACCATTATTCCTCTCAATTTTATAATTTATTTCGCAGGAATGAGACATAACTCACGTTGGCCAAGAAAATTCTGTAAATATCCACCGGGATGTACCTATAACGCTCATTTGTAATACCGAGTGGATGGTCATTTTATATTTCAAGCATATTTATATTTTATCCTGGTTTTTTTTCCACAATCACTGTTAGCCAAAAACTACTATAACAGTCAATTAAAGTTGAGGTGAATTGGCTATATATTTCAATTCATTGACTGTTATAGTGTTTTTTGGCCAAGAGTGATATTGAAAAATGACAAACAAACATAGACTGTATCTTCAAAAATGTGGTTTAAAGATCGTTTAACGTAATAATAGTTAATATATTCATAATCTCAATTCAAAATTTAATTGTCGCTTCAGCTATACATCATTCAAAAATATTAAATTTTGAAAAGGATTCAACTTAATTATAACTATTAATAATTGTGTGTATATTTAGTAAATCAATTTCATCAATCAAATGTGATATGTATTTTGTTTAAAAAATAAGTAGTACCTCTTCCTTTAAATCAGTACAATTAATATTCGTAAAATGACAAACTAATTTCCACACTTAAGATTAACCTATATAATCAGGAAGTATCCGATACTAAAGGAAAACTGGATTGGTTATGTAAATAGTAAGTGCCTTAAAGTTACTTAAAACTTCAAACCATTTTCAAGAAAAACAGATTACATTTCAAGCAAAATTAAAATTGATTTAGTAATCAAAGAAGTCTACTTTCATTAACGGTGGAATGAAGACGGAATGGCGTTTTTTATTATTAAAGTCATTGACACATGCATTGATTTATCTTATGGTTGTATATACTGTTAAAAACACTAAATAAATTGTACCTTTGCTTCGCTTGACATTTTCCTTCTTCCATACTAATTTGTATACATACTGTCAATATATCAAAATATTGCCGAACTTTGACAAAACAATAATCTATACGTCCTCTTCCATAAAAAGGACAAAAGAAAATCAAACTATGATAAGATGCTACAGTCGTAGTTAGTAACACTCTAAATGCAGTGTAACATCCTGAATTTGGTAATTATTTTAGGATTATACGAATGTGTAAGACATGAATGTCATTTATGGAGGATATTGAATGAGTGTAAGTTTAATACTGAATTTATTGAACGAGTTGAATAAAATTATATTATGCGAGACTCTGGCGAGCATAATATTATTTTATTGAACGAGTTCAATGAATTTAGTAATGAACTTACACGAATTTAATATTCTATTTATTACATACATAAAATAAAGACCGTTTGAAGCGATAAAGAAACATGTTTCATTGACGCGCCCATAGTAAAACGCTTACATTTCGCGCATCTTTACGCTATGTTTATATAACGCAAATGACGTCACGTCAAAATATATGCACGGCCGTGCAATATCGTTTTTACGGAGTCGCGAAATCGGCACGGGTGTGTGATAAATTATTTTATCATTGGTACAACCTGTAAAAATGATTTTATGTAAAATCAAATAAACTTTCATATGTATGTATCTATATTGTGTCTGTGTATAACTAGATACATTTGACTTGAGAGTTTTTCAAACTAGGTTAAATTGTCTTTACCTTTTAAAATGCGTTAAGAAAGGGGAATAATCAAAGTAACTTTAATTTTTCTAGTTGAACCATGAGAACCAAACATATCATACACCGAGTCAACGAGTGACACAACTACTTACATCGTCTTATTCGCTGTGGTTATCTATATGTGCATGGATAATTATAGGTTTACTTGTTACTGACTAATACTATAACGTAAGACTTACTATTAAGGAGAATAAATCTGTTTAATAATAAATATTAAATATTAAGAAAACAGATGATATCCGTGACGTGTTATGGTATTGATTTAAAAATGAAATACTATACATGCTATCCTGGAGAGCTATATCTACTAATTAGCAGTGAGACTATACAATAACATATATAATGCACATAGTTAGAAACAAAATACAACTGATAATCAAGCGAACCATCGAATGGGTCACCCTTAAAAACCATGATAACTGACAATAGATAATCTTCAAACGACAGGGTGTACAATGGTGTTAACTCAGAGTCCTGTTTATCTTGTCACTATTTGATCTCGTATATCCGAGTATAGATATCTAGATACAGATACCGCTGTTCAGCGAATCAATATCAAATATATCATTAATACACTACTGTATATGAAATTACTATAGCGATATGAACAATAAGACTGTAGCCTACATTGTGAAAAACTGTTAACTCATGTAGCGTGTGTATAGCATCGACGGTAAAATGGATTAGAGTAATGGTACAAGAAGTATGCATGTTACTTGGTTAATTATATAGATACACTGCTCTACATCTCTAACTGTCCATACCGACATTTATCAGTTTGCAAATGTGATTGTTTAATTATTTTCCAGTGGTTACACTGGTCCGTATCAGGAATTAGGTTCTAACACATTTGGTCAAATAGCTTTAAATCATTGTTATTGTTGTTGAAAACACGTAAGCAGACGAACATTAGAAATGAACAAATAAGGCTAGTGTATTTAAATAATTCCAGACTGCTTTAGTCAGCGAGAGATGATTAGTCAAACCAACAGTGCTGCAACCAGAGACAGCAACCTTTCAACTTAAAGGTCTGACGCATCGCATACTTAATATCTAATTCACTTACACAATGAAAGATAGCTTTATAAAATAGAATTCAGCTAACCATATTTATATCGCGTTGAAAAATATATTCAAGTATGACTATGAAGTGTAGTTACCAATTACAGCATAGAATGTTCCTTATTTTTTTTGTAAGATTGATCAATATAATAACCATAAGTATATATATGCAGAAAATATTGTGTTAAAACAAACGGTCGATATCAGGCGATGACCCATGTAACAGACATCAATTATGTGAATTATTGTGCTCCTTAGAAGCTCATGGGAACTATACACTTAATCTGTCGTCATCTGGAAATTAAAGAATCCATCGTACAATATTACAAAACTATTATAACGCTTGTCACATAGCTCAAACTCTGAATATGAGTTGCGTGTATGGTTGTCTTGCATTTGTAAACGAGTTCTGTGTAAAGATCGAAGCTAGCAATTTCGAGATAAAAAATTAAAATCGATATAATCATGAATATAATCGCAATAGGAAGAATATGAATTGTCGCGTAGGAGGAGATACAATCTGAAGTTACAAGACCGACGAGATATGTGACAGCAGAAATACAATTGAGAGAAGGAGGTAGAAACTTGCCCTATTTTAAAATCTTTACTGACAATATAAAGAATTACTTAAAAATATGCCGTGACAGCTATTTGACTATGTAACTTAGGATACTGTGGAAGATCAAATATATTTACAATGTTACTTAGAGGTTTATTAATTCGGATTCATGTTATATTTGGCGTTAATTGTTTCTTTCTGCTGACAGGTAAACTATATAATTGTGTAAACATTTACATAATGACTTAATTTTAGATAATAATCATTATACAAAAAACGTTTTTATATTTTTTGTTTACAAATTATTGCATATAAATAGACTTAAAGGATATTTTCTCTCCGAAACAGCCCTCATTTTTAAAGGAAAAAGTGCATAAAAGTTTTTGCAATTTTAGGTTGGCTTGTTATTAAAAGTAGCTATGTCTGTAACAATTGCTAAAGAAAAAAACATGCAGTTTTCGTGATGATATTAACCAGTGTTCCAAATTTAAAATACCATCATATGTTCAATGTTCATCGTGTTTAAGGCCTGTTTTTCTGAAAATCTATTGCAGTTTAAATAAAGAAATACATGTATATATTCGAAACATGTCAATATTCAGCAGTACGTTGCGATACAATAATTAAAGAATAAAAGGCTTGTCTGCAAGCCAGCTTGATATACTTCTTTAAACTAAATGGACACATTTTAGCTTTCATGTCTGTATTATCGTTTTATCATTTATGTACCAAGTTAACTATTGTACGTTGATATAAATAAATGCAAATATGTTATGTTTAACCTTCCCATTCAACAATTTCAATTCTAAAATGAAAATAACTTTTGTGTGTACATATCAAGGCATTTATCAATCTTTTGTCTGATATATAATATTGAAGTGTACATTCAAATATAACTTAATGATAAATACGAGCAATATGAAAACTGAAACCACATTCTTAATAGATATATAACACAGCCTACAACTAAATTGACATTGACATAAAAGAATATTGTTATCATTATTATCACTGGCTTTACATTTTGAAACGATTTAGCTGTTATCTTCGAATTAAACTGCGGCAAAAGTATACAATACTGCACATTGAAAGAGTAAAGAGATATCTTTCAATGAACGTTTATTTTTAAATGCTACCAATTAATAGCATAATTACGAAAGTCAGGTAAGAACATTTCAAATTCATGAATTCGTCATTGACTACACAATTTCGTGATATTAAATTGACGAATTTCAGAATTCATCAACATGTATTCATGACTTGACCGTTATGAATGTACAATTTCAACATCACACGAATTTAGGATTTCTACTTCATAAATTCAACTTTATGAATTCTCGTTTTGATTTCAACTTTGCGGACTCTTTAATTTCATGAAATGTCGATTGTGAAATTCTTGTTTCAAATTTTACGATTTCTGCTTTGTGAATTCATGATGTAAACCTTACGAATTCAAGATTTCAATTTTCTTCTGGATCATGTGACTTCGGCACTGGTGACGTCATTGTAACTTTTTACAACAGGTTTTGAGAAGTTGAGAAAAAGATTGTCAAGTAGAGTGATATATTTTACATGTATTTATAAGTAAATCTAGAACTAATGTATTTTCGTCTAAATTTTTTAAATCTAGATCTGATATGTCCTTCACGGTGTTGTTGCTACATCTGCTTTGACGAATGGATGGATATGTTTCCAAAAATAAATTATTTTTTGTTCCGAAAGATAAGTCAGACGTGAAATAAACTTGGGTTCCTTTGTAATTTTGAATTGTACAATATTGGTTTTACGACAGATGCTTTATCATTTTCTTTTTATTTTCTGGTATATTATGACCAATTCAAACTTATACGCATTATACTGGTATTTTATGAGATGTTACCTTCGTTTGAATGAATCTGTAGCACAGTAAGTTTGTTTGTTAGTTTTGGGTTTTAAGTCACATCGACACGGTATAGGTCATATCGCGACGTTCCAGCTTTACTGGTGGAGGAAGACCTCTGGTGCCCTTCCGTGCATTATTTCAGGCACGAACGGGCACCGAGTAGAACCACCGACGTTCCATAAGCTAGCTTGATAGCTTCATCACATGAAAGAATCCAAAGTCCCTGTCGGGATTCGAACCCACAGCGGTGAAGGGCAAATGAGCACAGTAAGAAAGACTGCTTATATGAAAACTAGAAATCAGCTAGTGGCTTGGAAACCTGATGAAAACTGTTTTATTGTGTATTCAAGTCTTATTTCGTAATTATATTACCATACACACTCTTTTTAGAAATTATTAATGACGATGGATACAAATATTTATTAAATTTTCCCTGTATCACGAGTATATTATTCATGCAAAGTAAATTATATAATTGAAAGGAATTATGACAAGGTGTTATTTATGTCTTTACATGTTTTATATACCCTTTGATGGGCATATTGTTTCTTTACATGAGCCGGTGAAACTTCATACCACTCTCAACTCGAAACTTAACATTGAAAATAAGCCATTATTTGAAATAAGCAACTAACGTTATACCAAAATATAAAATTAGTAGCAACTTATTATCGAATTTGTAGTGTATTATACTAGACCTTGATTAAATCTTTGAAAATTATACATAAATTATATATAAAATCCATTACCAATTTTTACAGAGAAAACAAGAGAGAAAACATTTGAAAAGAAACTAAAAAAAATACTCTCGTGAAATGAACCTTAAAAATTGCGCAATGCCAATTCAATTATTGTGACACTAAAAGTACAACTGATTCATTGCAGGACTTGGTTTTGGAGATATTGTTTTATCTCCGTTGTCACCAAGTGCAGCAGAAAATAATTCTTTGACTTTGACATGTACTAACAGCGGAGATGAAAGTGATACACTTTTCATTTGGAAGCGTGTAATGAGAAATGAATCTGCATATAATATAATTGGACTTATAAATGCATCATGTAATGCTGTCCTACAACCTGTAGACACAAATGAGTATGAGTATGGCTGTCCCAGCAGAAAACAATACACTTGGACAATCAAAAAAGTTACCAGAGAAAATGAAGGAGATAAATACCAGTGTACAGTCGATTCTCCAGGAGCAAACAATAGTAATGAGGTGAAAATTTCTGTTCAAAGTAAGTTGAAATAACACTTATTGCAATTTGTTAAAATCTTGATATTTCCTGTGTAATTTGATATAGCTTTGTCATGTTTATAAATTAAATGCAACTTTTATGTCTTGCTTCTGAAACAGTATTGTAATGAAATATATATTTAGATGTTTTAGCATTTCAACGGCCTTAATAATTAAGTTCTTTTATATGATCGTGAAATATTATTCGATCTGAATACAAATGTATATGACTTTCCTAAGTAATACAATTAACAAAATGTTTATACATAAACTGTGTAGTTTTTAAATCTATTGAAATTGTGTAGAATCTTTTTAAATCTGTAAAGTTGCCGTATTGCATGAAAAACTTTACATCACAGGAAACAGATGAACGTGAAAAGGATGTCATCGTACGTTCTATTTCTGTGCAGGCTTAAATAATCTTTTCATTCCTTTTTATTTGAACATTTCTGATATTGTCTTTAGCATAAACTGTCCACGGCAGATATTATTCATTCTTTTATCTTAACGTCGCGTCCCTCTGGATAAAGACTTCTCTTGCTTCCGAGACGTGATAGGGACCATCCGTTGTCCTGATATAAATATATCAAAAGCGTACAATATGTTATCCTCTGAAACCAGAAAGTCTACACACATTGTCTATTGTCTATTGTACCTCTGCAAAATTTGTCAAACTAGAACTGTGTCCAAAGGACACCGATGCCCCCACTGACAACATACATATGGTATATAGTGAAAAAAATCAACAAAGTGCCATAATTCTGTTAAATTTGGTCGCAGCAAAAATTCCTTCCTTGACTACCATCTACACATTAAGGTTGTTCATCCCTGGAAGATTAAGCAAAATCTGCCATCCAGTTTAAGAGGAGTTGCGTTCACAAACTTTTTATATGGTATATACAGAAAAAATCAACAAAGGGCTATAATTCTGTTGAATTTGGTCGCAGCGAAAATTCCTTCCTTTGCTACCATCTACACATTATGGTTGTTCATCACTGGAAGTCAAAGCAAAATCTGTAATCCGGTTTAAGAGGAGTTGCGTTCACAATATTTCTACATAGTATATAGAGAAAAAAATCAAGAAAGGGCCATTATTCTGTTTAATTTTGTCTCAGCAAAAATTCCTTTCTTTACTACCATCTGCACATTAAGGTTGTTCATACCTGGAAGTTTAAGCAAAATCTGCGATCCGGTTTAAGAGGAGTTGCGTCCACAAGATTTCGGGAAGTACGGACGGACAGACGGACGGACGTACCAACATTTGATATTTAAGAGGCAAATCAGCTCATAAACTACACCTGGACTAAAGTCCATAAGCAGAATTAGCTCATAAAAACAAAAAAATAGCCTTTAATTTGAATTTTATGAGTTTTTGTTCTTTATTTCACTACGGAATGAAGCTCATAAATATCAAATGTTTGCTCGGACGGACGGACAGACAGACGGACAAGTGCAACGCTATATGATGCACCCAACTTTGTGGGGGGCATACAAAGTAGTTGTTGAGTCTAAATTGGGCCCTCCACAGTAGCCTGGAGGTCATGGGCTTTCAGTATGTTTGTTGTTAAAGTAAACAATTCTTCTGAAACTTAAGAGGCACAGCCTAGATATGTGTGGCATACAAGATTGTCTTATTGCCCTCTAGTTTGTTTAGATAAGGACTCGGGGTCAATATTTGCAGATACAGTGTTAAACTTTATATTTTGAGCTACAGCTGTAAAACATGAACAATATGCATCATTTCAGAAATAGAATTAGACATTTACATTAGTTTACCTCGCAATTGACCCAGTAAACTACCTTTCCTAAATAGTTCTTCAACTATGAAAATTGGTCAAAGTACCGGTACACAATTTTCAGACACATTATTGATATTTGACCTAGATTTTGACCAGGAGACTAACTTATTTGTATTGAGAGGTACAGCGTTTGAAAAACTACAACTGTTTCAGTTATAAATTTGATCTGAACTATTAGGTGAAAGTTTACCCAGTGTCATACTTTGTAGTTCCCTTTAGCATTATAGAGGTTCTTTTTATTTTTATTTCTCAACAACTTTCTCATCTGTCATGTCCTGTTAAAGTTTCAAAAAATACCATTGACCAATTACCTAAATCATCTGTTGTTTCTATTGTTTTTTGTTCTAGGTTCACTGGTTCTTGTTGCTATGTCGTGTGGGGGTTAGGTTCATTGAACGCCGCCTTTCCTTGTTGATCTTGTTTATCATATTTTGACAATATTAAGGATTGCTATGCACCTTGGTTAAAATTCTGTCAGGGGTAAACCGTGTTGCCATTGAGCAAGAAATTTTATACGTATTGCATATTGCTGGTTGGTTGCAGGAACGGGTTTGAAAGTATTACAATAACACGGGAATGGATCTCCGTATGTATATCGTATGAGCATCGGTAAAAACTATATGTGAACTTCCGCTGCACCAGATGTGAAGCATAACACCAGATGTGACTGTATAAATAGGTCAATCGCAGGTTAAGTTTTCATCTTTTTAAACATTTTTATAAAATTCAAACGCTTTTATTAATTTTCATTCCAATCTATGTTTCAGTTCCAATAACTAGTGTTGAGTTGATAACACCAACCAGTTCAATTGTAACTGTCATGGAAAAAACAGAAACAGAATTCAAATGTAAAACATCCGGTGGCCTTCCAGAAGCTACTGTCACATGGTATAAAAACAATGGTACATCTAGCCAACCAGGAGATGAAGTTGCTATATATGCATTAATAAGCTCATCATCGGTTACTGTTAATGGTCTTAAAGAAGTAACAAGTATATTAAGATATTTATTGTCACGAAATGAAAATGGATTTACAGTGTACTGCAAAGCAAGTAATACTGCTGGACAAACACCAATTATTTCAACAAGAAAGCCACAGCTGAATATTCAGTGTAAGGTTTGTTTGTTGTATTGGGATTATAATTTTCAATTTTTATATGGATAATAAATGTCACGCAATATTCATGACATGTTATATATGTATTACAAAAAAAAAACGATCATGTGTAATGGTGGATGATTCTATTATTTTGTCATATAATAACGTTCATAACGTATCTAATTAATGGTAATTATACATGTATCCTAACATCGGAAATTTTGTTTCTTTTTAGATCCACCGGGTTTCCCACATATAATAGATTTCATTGATGGTGTGGAGTATAGGGTTATAGAAAACACTCAGGGACAGCTTTCATGTAAAATATCCGGGGGAAACCCGTTACCTACTTTAGCATGGGACTGTTATAACAGTGGCACACTTGTGGCAACTAGTGGCGATACAGTTGCAAACAACCATACATGGGTTGCTAAACGTGGAAAAGATAAAATATGTCATTGCCGTTCTTTTCATTACAGCGGATCTAAATCGGTGTCTATCAACATTAAAGTCCTATGTAAGTGCTTTTATGATTACACACAATATCTAATTTTATCAAATATAATATACACTAACGAACAAAAGAAGGAACGGGTCAATTTATTTTGTGAACTAACTATAGTTTTCTGATACGTTTATTAAATTTTATTATATAACTTACTCAAATGTAAAAACACGCCAAAAATGTGGGTTTTGCTGTAAAACATTACAAAACAAATAACACCATTTAAAACCACAAAACGTTATTAGTTGCATGACCTCCTAGAGCTGCAAAACATGCCATACTTTTCTTGAAATATTATTTATTCTTGCCTAGTGAATATTCCGACACTTTTGACAGAAGACATAATTTATTTTCTGATCGTAAGTGTACATTACAGTTTTGTATAGTTTATGTAAAGTTTTAATTGCAAATTATATATGTATATATATATATATATATTATATATACATAATATACCTTTCAATCAGATATTGAAACAGGATAATCAAATATATCAATGATATTCAGTTTATCAGGCTTCCATACCGCAACGGTGGTAGTGTTAGTAGTTTTCACTTGCAATAGCACAGAGTATTTTAAAACTTCCACTTACTGAAGATATGAATGATAACACACTGTTGTTTTCTTTTTTAAGATCCTCCAGTAATACCCACTTTCATAATACATGGAACAGTTGTAAGTGGAACTATATCAGTTATCAAGAACAATGGATTTTCAGTTAATTGTAGTAGTTCTTCAAATCCAATTCCTACATATATATGGACTTCTTTAGACATTTACAACAGGTCTGGATCAACACTTAATGTAAATAATATACAGGGCGAAAGTAGATATACATGTGAAGTACAGAACACGATGAATCCTACAACAGGTGTTAATGTCACGAGTAGTAACTCCTCATATTTTGATGTACAAATGCTATGTAAGACTTCTTTACTTTTCATTTCATAAAGAATACTATCTACTTCGAATTCTACTTTCAATATACTTTCAATATACTTATGACTTATTATTCGTGCTTGTTTGTTAATATTAGAAATTTGTTTTGGTAAATATTGCTATAGGAATTCCTTTACCTATTTGAGTAAATTTACGCTATCTTAAATATATCAATTTTGTCATTTTCGTCGTTTTAAAGGTATCCCATATTTTATTCATGTAACCAATAAAAAACACTAAAAACAAAATAAATAGAAAATAAATTTTATTTTTCATGCATGCTATGTGCATTTTGCTTTAGACGCTCCATCAATACCAACATTTAATTACTGGAATGCAAACGGACACTCGATACCAACACGATCATTAGATGTTATAAAAGACGATACGTTTAAAGTAGCTTGTATATCTGACGGCAAACCGTCGCCAGCATACTACTGGGATAATCATGGTAACAACAGAATACTGACAATAACCAGGATTGAAAGTGATAAAACAAGTAGTGTTTGTAAAGCCACAAATACAATGAAAGAAACAGTAGGACAAACGTTGACAAGATCCGCTTCCGCTGTTTTAACAATAAATGTTTTATGTAAGTTATATTAATTAATCGTTCAAATACCAATATGATTAAATTAATTTTATTACTTATCTCATGTTTATACTTTACATTTTGAAAATAAATAGAAAATATAGATGTTGAACGATTCGCTAAACCACAGTCATAACTTAATCGTATCAGGTCAAAGCAATACGAGTAAAATTAGTCTCCCGTTACATAAAATGCTACCATAATAATAGCTTTTCGTTACCTTCGATCATACAAAATATATTCATTAAAGTAACATACATGTACAATTTAAGTGTAAGCCAGATGATGACTGCCCCTCACCGCCGTGGGTTCGAATTCCGACAGGGACTTTGGATTCTTTTATGTGAGGAAGCTATCCAGCTAGCTTACGGAACGTCGGTGGTTCTACTCAGGTACCCGTTCGTGCCTGAAATAATGCACGGAAGGGCACCTGAGGTCTTCCTCCACCAGTAAAGCTGGAACGTCGCGATATGACATATACTGTGTCGATGTGACGTGAAACCCAAAACAAACAAACAAAGATGACTGTCTGTATATGTCAGAATAATTATACGATTTTAACTGTTTGATTGAATTTCAGCGAGTTATTGATTTTCCTACAGTGATAATTAGTGGGGATAAAGTTTAAATGTAATGGTATGTACCTGGTCGCATGTCAAATGGATATGAATGATCATACTTGTTTTTGGAAGATGTTTGCATAAGTTTATGGAAAGCACTCATGAAACGAAGAGCGATTACTTTTTCAAGCTGGAGAAAATATTGTTGTTTTAAAAATAGTTTTGTTGATCTTAAGAATGTGGACGTATTTAATTACGGTGATCTAAATTGATCTGGTTTAATTTGTTGTATTGAATGGTATATGACTCTTGATTTATTTTCATTGTTGAGTTATTATTGTTTTTCTAGTTGATTTAAGTGTTTGGTAATATTGTCTTGTCAAGGTTTCTATTGTCGATGCATAGGTTTAAAGACATCTGTTTATAAAAGTTGTTTTTGGTTTAATTTGTCCACGGTTAGTATCTTCTCTCTCCTCTAGTACACCACCCCCTGCCTCTGGCCCTTACCTGCATCCTTATTTTTGTTGGTATTTGAATTGTTTTCATTTTACTCATCTTCGATTTGTATGACTTCCTATTTGACTTTTTATAATGGCTTCCGTCCATCTTTAAACCCTGTGCCCTCTTCCGATTTTTGTTTTATACCTCCTAAGCTGTTGCTGGTGCTTGCTTGTGTTGAGGATGCATTTACTTAATTATCTTTGTTTTAAAAATTTCATTTGTTTATTCTTATCTGTGATACGCAATCTTCATAACCTCTGATCCCCTTTCAAAATTCCAATTTATTTAGTTCCGCCCATTGTTTTCTCGTTTAGGGCACACGCTTTTTATTACTTGGGGACCATACGCCGCTTTTCATGGAATGGCACTGAAGTGTCACATTGAAGGTTCCATGATAACCGCCGTATGAACACATCTGCGGATGTTTCTAAATTCAAAATTTTACTATTTCATGTTTAAATGTTGAATTCTGCTTAAGCCGGTGCTAGGGGGCGTGGACGGTAACTTGCACTTTCCAGTACTGTCCATGAACAGGCTCAATCAAACCGAGCCTGCAACATTTTCAATTTTGCCGTGTTGGGCTTTCTTTAGGGATTCTATTTTAGGGTTGTGATAACTTGCTGTCAAGTTAAATATTTTTTGCTAAATGTTTATGGTTTATACTAGTTGAAAAGTAATTCATTTTGTGTCCTGTATTTTTTGTTGCATTGTGTATTTTTTTTTTTATTTAGAACTTGGACTTGGACTTGCCAGATATAATTATTAATTCTTAAATAAGACGTAAGAAAAGATAGTGTGTGTATAATAGTAATTAAATTGTGTATGTTTGTTTGGGTGTAAATAATGATCTGAGACACTTTTAGTTGACGAAACTCTTCCTAAGATTATACACATCAAAGCCATTTATTCCCCTGACAGTATGCAAAATCAAACATCTAAAATATGAATATGATATGTAACATTAAATATGTTTGAAATCAATTTTGTTATTGCGTAAAATTAAAAAAAAAATTCTTAACATATTGATAAATTTTAAATATGTTTAGTTACTATTATAAAGATACAGGTCTTGCTTAAGACTTGTGTTTGTACTTTAATCGCTTGGCGAGAAAAATAAGTTTTATACAATTCTTTTAAAGACCCGCCTTCGGTTATAACATTGATGTATGAAAACGGACATATTTTAACAACAACTCTGAAAGTCAGGGAAGGAACACCATTCAAAATTACATGCAGTAGTAACAGCAATCCGCCTTCTTTCTACAACTGGACGGGGACAGTCTCTTCAACGTCTGCTGTATTGAATGTGAACAAAGCTATGAAGTCGCACGCCGGAACATCTACGTGTAATGTAGAAAATGTAATGTTGAGGACATTTGCCAATCCTGAAATACAGAAAACAGTTAGAATCAGTAAACGCTTGGACCTTACAATTTTATGTAAATACTTTTTCTTATCTGTTTTTTTTCTATTGTATTTTTTCCTGATAAAATGAGTCTTTGCATTATAATGAGTGGTAGAACTACAACGATTTTGAAGGGTTGTGCTTACTAAAAAGCTTACTCAGAAGTAAATTGGGTTCGTATGTTATGCTTTTATAAAGCATATTTGATTGAAAAGCATTGCAACGTTTTTCAACTTTGCGGCAGTTTCTACAATTAGAATAATTATTGCGAATGATCTGACATATTGCAAAGTAAAAAATAAATTCCAGTACAATAATGTATTATTGAATTCATGCCTTTTAATTCCAGACCCCCCTAGGATAGGAGATTTAAGTAATATAAGTGTTGTTGAAGATTCTCCGTTGAACGTTTTGTGTCCTGTCACTGTTGGTAATCCTCCACAGACTACATTTGAATGGTTACGAGAAGGACGGGTGTGGACAACAACTCAACAACTAACAATAGATGCGGTATCTAGGTCTGATGCAATGTTCTATACTTGTAAAGTAACTAATACAATGCAAGCAACCGGAGAGAAGGCTGTTTCCTTTGATGTAACAAACTCATTTTATCTCAATGTATGGTGTAAGTATATAAATAGTTATGTTTTTAATTAATCTTCCTATGAGACATCAATGTCATAAATACGTATTTCATCATGAACTTGATAAGCATGCAACTACTCATATGGCCATGTTATTTCACATCGATGATAAAGTCCGTTGCATTTCTTTCAGTTATACAGAGATAGAGCAATTACTTGAGCACACTTCTGCATAAGTTTACAATTTCAACATTACCATGTGTTAATGTGTAACCCTGCATAAACGGCTATTAAGGAGCGTGGACGGTCACTTTAACATTCCCGTACTGTCCATGAACATTTTCAATCAAAACGAGACTGCATTTTCAATTTTGTAGTATTGGACGTTCTTTAAGGATTACATTTCTCACTATTATGAGAATGTCGTAATAAGTCCGAAAACTAGATCAAAAAAGAGCAAATAAATATATGCGTTTCTAGACCACAGATTAATAAGAAATATGTAAGGTTCACATTCATTACATACTGGTTATCATGAGTATATGCATAAGGTGTGAGTCAACAAGAAGGAACGTCAAATAGACAAAAAACTACCATGCAATAAAAAATAAATGTAATATTTGACACGTTTTCAAAAAAAAACTGTTTATACGTGCAACGTGATTTATTTAAGTAAACATTGTTGAATCTATTTATTTTTTTCTTATTTCAGATAGTGCAAAAGTACAGAATTTTTATATTTATGGAAACGAAGGGAAATCTTATGTTGTCAAAAATGAGCACGACAGAGTTGTGTTTATATGTGTGGTCGATAGCAACCCTGGATCTAATATGTCTTTGACATACTCTAGGGAAGTCTTAGAGACGAAAAATAACGTAAAACAATTAACACATGTTGTTGGTTCAACAAAATGCACTATGAATGGAGAATATAAATGTATTGGATACAATCAGTACAATAATGAATTTTCTCATCAGACTATTGACCTGTTTATCAATTGTAAGTTATGTTCATTAAGTAACCTTATTATAATGCAATCCTGTCAGCCTTGCTCTGGTATGTCATACTTAATCTTTATAGGAGTAGCTGAACTAAGGTTGTAAAAAAGATTTTGTTTTTCTTAAAACAAGATAGCATGTATACAACTTATGTATGCAACACGTTATTGTAGACTTGTTTAGGGACTTTTTAGGTTAGGCAATACAGGTAAAGAGAGTTCTATAGGGTGGATAAACAACTTTTTTGTCTTTATATTTTATCTCGTTTCCACGAGATAATTACTCGAGAGAAGAACTTATAAAAAATTTCATAACGATTTCTTAATTTAAAAGAAAGAAAAAGTCCAATTCTAATTATTAATGTTGCGCGTGAAAAATAAAATGTAGCGCGATAAAAATAATTGTTTTATAAAAACGAAAATGCTTGATAGCAGTGCCGAGATATTTATATTATTAATACCTTGATCCTTCCCACAACAGAGCTAATTGATTCACATGACATCATCATTTTTCCACAGAAAACAGATTATTTGTTTGAAAATACCAAGATCATGCGTCTGTATGAGCTATTATTAGAACGAAATTACTTGAATTATTTGCTATAAAAACGATTATTTTTAGCTTTATTTTCAAATGCCACGTTTTACTAGATTCGAATTTCTCATGTCGTTTCCAAGACAAACTTACTCGAATACTCGAATACATAATTTTCTTATAAAAAGGGGTGATTAAATTTAAAAGAATGGAAAACACATGCCACCTCCTTGCCAACGCAGTTGTTCCCTTCAGTAATAACATTCGGTCAGACCTGTTTCCTGCGACTTTCTTTGTCTTTCATCTCTCAGCTTGCATCCTCTTGAAAAGATCAAAACATTTTGAATTTTTTAGATAATTGTAAATGAATTCTTCGTCATTGAAAAATAATCATGGAAAGACTTAGAATTTAAAGACTTCAAATGTTTTTCGTATTAATTAATAATAATAATAATTCGTGATGACCAGAAATAATCTTTTAACAATACTTTATGTAACTGTTGTCAAAAATTTCACAATATCAATTTGGTTTGATCGTGGAAGATTATCTTTCAGGTTCTCCACGCCCATCGCCTTTTGTTATTCTGAGGGACACCGTTAGCAGTGCACAGCATATTCCCGCTGTCTTAACGTTTACTACACTGGCTTATCCGGAAACTGCGTTAGAATTTAAATGGTATAGATGGTATAAAAATGTGTGGCAGCAAGTTTCAAACAGTAAAGAATTTCAAATAGATACATTGAATCTACAGACAAATCTAACGATCAAATATGTTAACAGGACATATTATGGAGCATATCAACTTCAAGTTAGAAACTCTATTGGAAGTTACACACAGCTGTTTTACCTTAGATCAGAAGGTAGACATTTAATTATTTAATATAATATCTTTTTGTATCTTTTTTGTTTTACTTTGAGTATGATATCATTCTCATTCTGTTCCACGTGTATATCTAATCAACAATCTAGTACTATAATTTCTCTTAAATTTTTTACATTTTTACATGTTTAGTCCAATCCTATATATAACTATATTAATAGATATACCAGAGAGTCCGCGAGACTTTCGGCATTTATGTGAACAACTGGGAGAAACATCAATTACAGTACAATGGATACCAGGTTTGGATAATGGTCCGCGTCAGACATTTGTACTACGATACAGAAAAGGCTTAGACAAAAATTGGAGAGAAATAGAAATTTCTGATGAAGGACAGGATATAATGAACTATACAGTTAGTTCACTAATCAGTGGAACTCAATATGAAGTAGTTTTATATGCAAGAAACAAGGTCGGAACTTCAAGTCAATCTAATGTTTTGAGGATCAAGACAGGTACTAAAATAGATATCAGTCTGTATTATCTTTTTACAAAACCAACATGACGTGGCCTGCAAGTACAATTGACATGCCCTTTATTGTCCATGACGTAATAGAAAGACAAACAAGGTCTTCACTTATATGGCCGTTTGTGCAATATTAAAACTTCGCAAATTGAAATGATCTAACAATATTTTAAATGGCATTTACACACTGTGATATTAATGACATATTAAAAGCAACAGCACAGTGTCGACAAAATCGCCTTCCATTAGCATGATTAGACTGTTTTTAATTTAATTTCGTGTACGTTAAATCAGCTGTAAATCATTAAAATTGATTGATTATTTCAAATGTGCTATTTTTTTGTAGGAAACCAAGAAATCATATTATAATTGTCATTCTTAAAAAATTATATATTTAGGCAATCTGAGGCAAATAAAAAACAACAACGTTAAATAATGATGATAAATCTTTCTTTTTTTCAGAAAGATCATCAGAGTGTGAAATTAATAGTCGTTTAAATGAAAGCACATTGGCAATTGTCGTTGGATGTGTCCTCGGAATCGTCATCATTTTATTAGCATGTTACGCAGGTTATATCACCCTATTGCTGAAGAGAAAAATTGATGGGAACGGTAAAACAATGTTTTAAATTGTTCATGTTTAAATAAGACCTTTCACTTGTTATTGTTGGTTTACCTAGTAATTTTTAACTTAACTTTTGTCGAATTCTGTTCAAAGTAATGTTAGAGTTAATGGACTTAACAATGTATGATGTATTGAAAATACTTTATTGTATTATGTACATTAATTTTAAGCAATTTCATTGAATATACACCTATAGTAATAATTTAACTTGTTTAAAAATCGAAAATATATTGAAAACAAAACGGTTTGATTACTTGTTTAGAATTTTGTGTAACATTTTTCTTTAAGTTATGCACAGCGTCATGTTTTTATTTCTTTTGTAGTCTCAATAGTTGGTATTTTATATTTCAGTTCAAAATGAAGTACAATTGGCGTAAGTTTTTTTCACATCTAAGTCTTCAAGGTTCTGTGTATAAATGAATAAAAAATTTAGCCAGTAATAAATTACTTAAGCATCAATTAAAATAATTGTTGTATTAAATGCTTTCAGGTTTTTTTATTTTTATACATTAAAATGTGCACATTTTGTATTTATTCTTGTCTAGGATAAGAAATGGTGCCCCAATGTATGCTAATATATCAAATTTAGCAATTGAAGGTCGTGAACAAGACTTGGCAGATATGCCAAATTCCATGCCTCCAAGATTAAACTCTGATGATGTCACTGAGTACATGACACTTGATGAACAGTTAAGGGAGAACATCGAGACATATAACAATATAAATGTTAACGGTTAGCAGCTGTGAAATTAGAATGACTGGAAGTAAAAAAGAATTGCAGACAGTATATACTTATTGATGTAGGAATACGAATCAAATAATATCCGTATTTCAATAAAAAAACGTTAGGACGCATATGTATATCAAACGTAATCACATGCCGGATTGAATTTTAAAAGGGAAACATTTGAAATTCTACAACCACAAGACTGATAGCTTAGATATAAGTGTATCATTATATAAATAGTCTCTAAATGCAGTCTGTGTACTTTGTAATGATTTCAAAAATATATTGTGCGTTCTACAAATCATCAACATTGTGCTTTATAACGAATTATATCGGGTTACTTCCTTTAAGTATTACACAGACTTATTTCATATAAGTCGGCCATTTTAAGCATGAAAAGTAAATATTTCTTCAACTGCCTTACTTCTTTTTTAAAGACATATTAGACTGAAACAAGTCTACCTGCGGTTGTGACAAAAGTAAAGAAGAAACGCTTTATTTGTAATAGTCGCACAATGTGAAAATAAGGCAGAAAAAAATCATCTTATACATTGATAATTTTAAGAATATCTCGTATGAACAAATACAACCTTAGTTGATGTTGCATTCATTCATAAGAAATAGTGGGGTTTTGCGACATGTGGGAATCTTATTACTTTTATCATTTCTTATGTCATTTATGTAGATCATTTTGTGCGAATGCATATTGCTATCCTTTTTTATGTACAACATGGAGCAATCTATATATATGTTTCGTATCATGTTCTAGAAAATACAGCGTAACCATGACATATGTTCTATGTTTATAACACGTATCATTTTACTTTTATTAAAACATAAATTAAAGAATATCGCAAAAAATAGCAAAACAAAATATATGCATTAAGAATTATAAGCATAGAAATAGATTTCACGATAAAATATAGTTTGTTTCTTATACTCTCTCTGTACAGTAATACTTGCATTTACAAGAAGAGAACATCAAAATTACTCCTAAATACTAAAATACAAAAGTAATACTGAATGAATAGATATACAACGGTTTTAAATGATTTCAAGTGTAAAATTAATCTTGCCAAAATCAAAAACAAAGCAACAGCGAAACAAAACAAAAACGAATGAAGCGAGCTGGCAAATTTTATTGGGTGAAGTAATACCAAAATAACACCTCAATAAAGATATTTTCGTTGCGTTAAAAAATGAATGCTATTTTCAATAGATTTTTTGTGTGTTACACTGACATATATCCTAAATGTATCCGTATCAATAAAGGCTGAATTTTGTGGTCACCCTACCAACATATTTTGTACCCAAAATTGAGTGTTACTACCTGGCGTTATAACACCTTTGCATGCAGAAATGTTTAACAACATCAAAAGAATCATGATATAGAAAATGATTTATTTAGCATTTGTCTCTTTAAGAAGTATATGAAGTAACAAATACGAAAATGCATGTACATTTGGCTGTACCAATAAATACGACAAGAATAATCAATACATTCCATTTTAGGATTATTTTCCTATATAACGGTACAATCAGAAATGTATGCAATGATCTCATTTTTTTTATATCGCAAACAAAGATTTTAAACATAAATGTTCGATAAGCATAAAATTAGAAATAAATAGAGGATATTTGTTTGTTTTGCATGTAAGATTGAAATATAATTTCACTGAGTGAACACCAGATGCAATATTTTCACGAGTGGCGTAGCCACGAGTGAAAATATAATAGCTGGTGTTCACGAATGAAATATATTTCAATCTTATATGTAAAACAAATAAATTTTCTTTTTATTTTATGCTTTTTAAGTGATTTTAAGTATTTGTTTACTGATTTTGCCGCGTAACGTCGCGCATTTTCCTTTGTGACGTCATTATATCATGACGTCACATCATAAGTTTTGAAATATAGTTCTGTTAAATTTCTCTAATTTTGTTAAATTTTTAACATGATGTATGATGACATTGACTTTCTTTTCCTAAATAATCAAATTTACATATGACGGCATTTATTTCCGCGTGTTATTCCATTTGGTTATGATTTTCTTTTCATCCGCATTCAGATATAGTCCGGCTACAGTGAAAATTATATTTTATAAATTTCACTAGTGGTTTATCAGAATATAATCATCTGATATATTGTAATAAAACACTGGAAAGCATGAAATAATATGAATAGAACTAACACTTAAAAGTTTTAACATAGACATTTATGTTTAAAATGTCGATTTCCAAAAAAATTACCTTGTTTTATGCAGCAAACGGAATAACATTATACATTTAAAGAAAAAGGTAATACTCCTGCAAAGCTTTAAAACTTGTCAGTTGATTTCATAGAAATCATTTTGATGTCATTTATGTATTACTCAATAAACACACTCTTATAAGTAGCACTTTTATTTGGCACGTGAGCGTTGTAAACCGAATTTTAGCGATTACTACATGTAATGTGTGTATTTTTAATTATTATGATTTGAATAAAAGTTAATACTGTCAATATTCGATGCATTTCTGTTTAAACAATCGTTTATTTTCTGTCGATTTCAAAAGCAAGGCAGTCAGTTTTAATTTACTAAAATAATTCTCACTACTTTGGATTTTCCATGCATTTGTATTTAGTAATTACAGCATTAATTTGCAATCATCCTGTGGCTGAGTTAAAAAATTTATATGTTTGCCGCACCCAAGATCCGTCGGTCCGAAAATAAATAGATAAAAAATTTTATTCGTTTCTTTTTGTATAATTGAGAATTTATCAACAAAAATATCATTCTACAACATCATCAAGTGGGGCTGATGAATTTCACATGAAATGATGACAAATTATGTACCCTAATAATAAGACATGTTCATGTATTGTTAGGACATGATACGTCGTAGTTGAGAAGAATGGTAATCTTTGTTTTAATAATTTTGTAATCATTGAAATTAAATGCAATTGTAAGTGCAAATGTGAAAATATTCATGGAGGATAAGCTTTAACTAACAATAAGTGTTTGGATATTCAATTTGTATTTGTTGGGTTTGTCTAATTCCCGGTTTTACATAGTTGTTTGTTCAAATTATTCTGATACCATCGAATGATTAGTGTTAAGTGATAGGATTATCAATCTGAAAATATTGAACAGACTGTTGTTAGTGGGCGAATATCTGATCAAACAGACAAATGCGAGCATCTTATGAAGCCATTAAATGAGCAGTAGATACTGGTACAAAATATGGATATATAGAGAAAGTGTACATTAAAAAACCTTTTCAACTAGTGGTTTGGGTTGAAATTGTCTCCATGTTAAAAATACAGAAATAAATAACACATTTAAAGACACAAAAAAACATTTTATTACAAGCCAATAAATATCATATTAATTATGTAATTTAGATTAAACACTTTTTGCTTTGCAAAAGGAAAATAAGAGGTACATTGTGTTCAAAGAAAAAAGCGAAACAGTTGACACTTCTGGGGTTTGAAACATTGCCCCTCAGATTCTCACACAAGTGAGAGTAGGATTAAAGTATACGCTGTTCCTCTATAGAATTTTTTCTGCAAAATTTATCATCCTCTGTACTAGAATAAAATTGGCTCTATAATTAACCTTTAAAGCACATACTATATCAAGTGTACAAAAAACTTAACAAAATGTACTACACAACATCTTATAAGGAATTACACATTTATATGCAACAACTAAAGCCAATGAAAACTGAACCAAAATGATCTCGTAAATGAACTCGCACAACATTTTTTATTATGACAGAAATGTTTAGTGATTTCACCTGTATATTACAGATATTCTTATAGACATGTATTATATTGTCATATAATAATAAATAAACTATGAAATTCTAAACAAAAAAGGTGTTGACATAATGGTCCAGATGTCCGCCTCTAAACCAATATATAGTGGGGTCAAGTCCTTCAATGTTGAATGTTGGACACACATTCTTTGTGAATAATTTGTTAATAAGTTGATTTTCCTAAAATGAGTCCTATGAGGCAGATGGAACCTGTGCAATGAGGCACGTGGATCCATTTCATTACATAATCAAAGCAGTGTGCAGGGATGGGACGTACACAAGTTTTTGCAATGAATTCGAAACTACAAATTATTAGGCTTAATTATAAAATTATCCTTTTTAATTTAATAACCATTTTTTTCCGTAACGTTTACCTCAGCAGATTTTTTACCTAAATGGCAGGCAAGACTGCGCGTACATTCGGAATACTTCGTAAATGATCTATACATAGACTTAGACTGTCAATAAGCAGTAAGCAGTAGGCAGTTAGCAGCAGGCTATCCAGTTTGCAGTAGAAAGTGAGCTGTAGGCTGTCGTTTATGGAATTCCGTATATTTTCCTTTGAAAAATCTACTACGTTACTAGCGCAGAAGCAAATATAAATAAGAGAAGATACTCCATTTTACATTTCACGTGTCACAACAGAGATATGGAAAAATCCCAGTATCCGGTATGTCCGGAATCGGACATCAATTTCCATCATTGAGTAGGCGCCTATCGTATTTCAAGCTAAATTTTAAATCTATAAATTTGTCATGAAATATATGATATAATTATTTAATCAATTATAATTTTAGTCCCACAAGTTACTACAAATATCAAAACAAAGCAGTTAAGTTTGATACGATCCCGGATTCCGTGCTTAACGGAAAACAGGTCGTGATATTATCCTGTACAATCACGTGGTACTGGATGAAAGAATTTCGTATCATAAAAGAAGGTGTTTGCCTTTGGCAGAAACCCAAACTGTTTGTTTTCAGAGCAAACGTGTTAAAATATGAACATTTTGAAGTAACAATTTGGTTCTAATGTTTTTGAGGAGGAATTTCGAAATATTTGTTAGACAGTAGTTTTTATCTTCTAAAGGCAAACTGTTTTCAACTATTTTACTGATTTTGACATTATTCCTTTTACCAAAGCATAGAATTCTAATACGCTAATGATCATTTTCATGATCAAGTTATCTGTAACAAATCAAAAACCAAAATGTATTATAAGAAACGTGAGCTTGTAAAACAGAAGAAAACAAGACCAACAAGGAAGACTTAACTAGGATGGTATTGTTTGGATCAAGTTACTTTGATTAGTTTGGAACTTAAAATAATTTATACGTATGAACGTGTAATTATTCTTCCGTATAATACATGTGTACAAAATGATTTAACAAATTTAAATAAGTTTTACTTTCTTGAAGGCTTGAATAATGACCATACGGACATTGAGGCGGTGATTTCGACCCGTGGACATACCTGAATGTTTTTTCCAAAATACATATACTTACACCGTTATATTCACATGACCGAAGACCCAGAATCGTGTCACACACGATCTAGATAGTTAAGGTTTTAGTGATATATTTATACACGGACAGGACTCTATACTAGATTTAGGATAAAATCATATATCATAGCATTAAGATGAACTAATATTTGTAACAAAACGTTTTTATTTTCTGCTTAACGCAATCAGTAAAGTATGAGTTCAATTTTCTATATTGCTATAACATTTACTATAATTTACGACATAAATAAATGTCAAACAATGCTTAAGTTTCATTTCAAAAGTTACCTAATATATAATTATGGTTCGCACTCGTATACATTACATAAATAAGTTGTTTTATCCCTATGTTTTGATAATCACTACCGACCAGTTCATCCATGGTCTAACCATGTGTGATAAATGATTTTGTAAAAACATTATTTATATTGCTCGATAGTGCTTTTATTACAAAATTTAGTATTTTACAGTATAATTTCTTATGGCAGTTTTTAAGACAAGGTCAGTAGAGGTTATCAAACTTTTAGAATGTAAAAAGTCTATTATAATATTGTAATTTAATGTCTCATAATGACAATGTGCAATTATGTCATCCTATTGCAATTGATTTATATGGTGAAAATGTTGAGAATGTGAATATACGTAAGTAAGGGAGGTACATTTCTATAATATGGACTAGTATTAGCTATGACAAGTCTCTTGTAATTCTTTCGAGAATGGCTATATACAATTTCAATGCTTTAAATGATTTATATGTATATATGTGTACTGTATAGATGAGACTATAATAAATAATAAAATAAATATAACGAGCATTTAAAAATCAATAATGGTCAAGGGCATATAACGGCTGATTTGCAAATAAATGAATGAAACAATAAGCAGTAATTGTTTATATAGCATTGGTCTTTTCTTTCTTTATCTTCACAAAAACAAACAAACAAACAAATTCCTACGGACCATTTTCTGAAAAAAGTGTACTTTGTAAAAAGGAATACAAAAGACGCAATGACCAACATAAGTTTTACGCCGAGTTTTAAAGTCGGAAGACATTCAGAAAAAAAAGTGTAATAGGAATTTATGTACTTGTTTTGTAATATAGTGCATGAAGAAATTGGTACAATAGATTTGTCTTATAAAATATTTGTATTGTATTGCCATGACTTATTGTTCCTATCTTTGAAATTCTTTATTCTGTATTGACTTAAATACTTATACTAAACACTTAAACAAAATCATGTTTGACAAAGATCCCCACTTAAGTTTTACAAAAAACAAGTGAAAAAAGAAAAATTGTCGTCCGCCGCGAATTTGATACAATACTTTCATATGCCTACAGAGGCAATCAAATCGTTTTAAAAGATAAAGTCCTTAATATAAGATATGATAATGAGCGGGTCAACCAATCAAACCCAAACAATTTTGAATTATTTTGAAAATTCTTTACAATCTGCTGAGTAATACTAATAGTTGTATATGTCAATATATATGAGCAATCATGTTCTTTGGTCATTTATATTATCATATGTTTTATTGTCGTCTCTAAATCGATTATCTAGTGTTGTATATTCGGCTGTATCAGACCGTTCTGTACTTTGCTCTCCAGCGCTGTTGTTTATTGAATACGCCAAATTGGCATATGTCTGTGTTTTTGTCCTGAAGTGTAAACATGTTATTCTACATTTTCAAGATAGTTGACAACAGTTACAAATGACGTTTTAAGTAACAATTATATAAAACTATGGTCTGGAGAGCCACCAAATACTTAATATAATAGTATAGTGATATCTTACCTGTCAGCTGCTGGAAATCATTGCATTTATTACACGTACCTAAACTCTAGGATATTCTATTATTTGTACAAAAATATATTCGTGGCGAGTAAAAAATGTATATTTCTTCCGAATTTTGTTAATATTTGATTTTTGAAATTCTGTCTCTAAAATATTAAAAGCATTTAAAAATATAACTAAAAAAACAATACTCACTCATTTTCCTTTGATGATTTTGATTGCCCTGAAACATAAAGATATTCCTGATTCGTCTCGTAAATGTAATTGTTTAATGAGTAGAGGAAATAAAACAAGCTATTATGACTATCATGGCGACGAAAAGGAAAGAAATAAAATATTTTCCTCAAGAAAAGAAATAGTAATTTGACATACGTCTACAGTATATCGAGATTGTTTAAATATTGGCAACAGGTCAGTGCCGCACTCATCTGGTATTTCTTAATTAGACTAAGAACATTGGTAATATGGATGTAGCATAATCCTTCTGTAAAACAATAAACAATCAAATAGCGACAGGTGAAAAATTGTAAACATGTTTGGAAACCTTGAATAGTGTAGAATGTTATATGTTATGAAATGGTATTTAAATATTTTGACACAAAAAAGGTTTTGATTATTCCATTAGTGCTATGGAAATAAAATAGTTAATACTTTAAAACCATTCACTGTATGTTTATAATATAAATGAATTGAAGACGCTTCTGGAGGTTTGTGTTTGTTAACAATGATTTTCCCAACATAAATAAGTTAAAAGGATATTATCTGTCAAACAATATCTGAAATTGAAGCAAGTACACCTTAAATTTCAACATGATAATGCAATTTGATAAAAATGCAAGGTTGAACTTTTATCCACTTTGGTGTCTTGTAAAGTACCAAATGTGAATACATCATTAATGAAAGCTTTCTTTTCCAGTTAGCTGTTCCTTATTGAAAGGGTAATGTATGATTTACGGGACGGTTAAAGAGAAAATTCAGTTATCGTTCAAAAATATTTATAACGGATACTATAAGAATCTCTCACGAAATACTTTGCGACGAGAAAAAGTAAAAGTGTATTATATTTCTTTATAAATCATTTGTATCTGTTTCATTTATGTGTTTTCTTACGTCTTTTTCAAAACATTGACTTAGGCTTAAATTTTATAATAAAATAACCTGTAAAATTGCCATGCAAATGCCTGTTTGAACAGATTTAAATATCGAAGTCGATGCCCACTTTCAAAAGAATATTAAAGCCATGACGGCCCGATTTCAGGCAAATAGAATAAGCACATTTTGACATATTCATTTACTGATAAAAAGTATTGATACGTCATTTTGCTTGCTAATTATGTATTTATATTTATTAATTAAAGGTGAATTAATATTGCTTTTTCATTCAACGAATATCAGCACGTATTGATTTGTCATAAGAACTGTTGTTGAAATTTCCCTCTTGTTAAATGTGAATCCGTTTCAGAATGCATTTTCAGCAAATGTGTTGGTTAAAATGGTGTATGTGCACGGTGCGCGAAAAGAAATGGAGACATAAAAATACCTTACTTAAAACTTTTTTATTCGTGCAAAAAGCCAAACGTCATAATTTATTGAATGTTGTTATGTAGACGTATCATGCACGTATATGCAAATATTCATCCATACTTTTGACATCTTGTATATACAGTTAAATCAGTTTTACCTTTGGTACGCTTTATTCTTCTGATTAGCACAGTCACATAGCTGCCATAGACGGATACGACGACGGAAATAATTCCAAACACAACTCCAACTATGATTGTTTGATAACGATCATTTTCACAGTGACATTGTTCAGGAATTACTAAAAGACAAATATGAAGATATGTAAATATTTAATTATGTTCGTTTCGATACATTTGTGTCGTATAACATTTAAATCCCAATTTGTTTCAATTCACCTTGTTAGCCTTTAAGCGATAAGATTTAAGAATTAGCTATGTGTATATGTTGTTACTATGATAAGTTGTCTAAACCTACCGGTATTATGATACAAAATATTGGATAAAGCAGTAACGTAACTATGCTTTAATCTTGAATATTTATGTTTAATTGTCTACTTGTTAAAAGATATCATATGGTCATTTATTGCTGTCAAGTTGAATTGAATTAAGTAGATATTTCAAAAGATTGACTGTCCCTTAAAATGGTGATTGACCAACAAATACACTATAAAAACGACATAAAATATAAAAAAAGATTACCCCATTCATTTTTAGGAAACGAACAATACTTGTACATGCTGAATAATTTGATATAATTTCCGTTTGTCACGTGTATTATTAATTTTCTTTATTAAGAAAGATTTACAATTGACCAAAATTACGGCAAATTATTAAATTATTTTGACTTTTACCTGATAACGGACCATTTACATTTGTATATGCATAATGCCACTTTAAGGAGCACGTTCACAAACACAAATGACATATTAGTTCGTATATTTATTTATTAAGCATTATGAAATTGGAGAGGATACTATTGTTTTTATTCGATTCGTTTACTTATACAGAAACCTACTACCAAAGTATTTCGATGCATCCTACCTGAAACGTCATTATTAGAGATATGTCTTACTACCTTTTCGGTAGAGCCCTATTCGTTTCATTTTGCTTATGTGCTGTACCGAAATAAAATAGTTTAAAAAACTTCGGAACTCATAGTAAAAACCAAATAAAAATGACAGAAATGTCAAACCTTTGGTTGAAATTGTTAAGATGTCTGTTTCAGAAGAATTCCCCAGTCTGTTAGAAGCATATAGAACAACTTGGTAGTTTGAACCACTTGATAAGTCTGACGCTGTAAAATTCATCAATGTTTCCCTTGTATCAGGGATTTGATAAACTGTCCACTCTTGTTGTGATTCTTTTCTGTACTTTACAATGAAGGTTTGTTCTGGTCCATTATCAAAGCCAGGTTTCCATTGTACAGTAAATGATGATACAGTCACTAGCTCTTGTTTATTAATAAAATAGGTTGGCACTTCTGGTTTATCTGTAAACAGATTAATGGTAAAATGTTATCACAATTGTCTGATGTACTGTTGGACATCTGTTTTTGTACTCATATAAACATCGCACATGTCTTTTAGGGTTTTAGTGCATAGTAGCGTCCCGTGATTTGCAATAACCCCGGAGGTGGAGTAACCTTACCGACATTTTAATGTGTATTTTCACCGCGATACATTATTTCATAGAACATAACGGGTTTTTTTCAGTCTATATAGAAACTCGTCTATGTGGAATATTGCAAAAACATTATTGACCCGGTGATAGATTAAAATTAAACAATGTGACGTCGTATTATATGGTAAAAAGTTTACGCTATGTATAATTTGCATTCAAAATCGGGAAAAAAACTAAAATTAATCTGCCATAAAGTTATGAGATATTCATACAACTTGGGAAACTAAGTTTGCTTAAATGATCTATTTACATAGGAATGTGTGAAATAGATTTTTTTTAAATATTTTGTAAAAACAGGAAATATATAGTTAAACTATCAGGTAAATAAATATATATGTAGCTATTAATGGCGGCTTTTAGTACAAATATATACAAAGATACATGTATAATTATAAGCGAATCTAAACTTTTAAATACATGCCAACGTTTGATATGTTTTTATAATACTGTAACAGTAATTACTTATACATACAAACAAAATTACTAAATTACACGATTTTAATACTTTACTTTAGTTATTATCCTCGTTGATGACGTCAAAATAAACGATGAACACCCAGCATACCACACGAGGGTTCTACACTAGATAAACAAGAACTTTTGTTCTGTTTACAGTTAGATGGCCCCCTATCCCTATTCGGTAGTGCGGACAGACGGACGGATAGTCGGACGGACAGACTGACGGAGTCTATTTCTATATCCCTTTGTTTCTTTGAAAAGGCGGGGGACCAAAATATCTGGGTTTCTGTCATCTCTAGTGAATTTGAACTTGCAAATATTTAACATTAATTACAATGTCACACTTGTTGTCATGAAAGTTATTATTTGTGCTACAATCCATCAATAAATAATGACTAATGGTCCACGTGCATAAACCTTGACCTCTCTTTGTGACTTTGACTTTGTAGCAGGGATCTGGATTATAAACAAAATATTTAGATTCACAATGGTAGTCATAATAGTGTGTCAACTCCTCAATAAATGATGACTAAATGGTCCGAACACACATTTTCATATTTTTATCTGAACTTTGACCCGTAGGTGTGACCTTGACCTTGGTCACATGCAATTGGCACGCGACATTCAACCTTAAAATGGTAAACATTTGTGCCAAGTTATATTGAAATCCCTCTATGCCAGAAGTCGTTTTACTACAGAAAACATTATTCATTTAATGGCCCTTAAGTGTGACCTTAAAATTTGACCTAGAGACCTGGTTCATGCACATGACACTTTTTTTATAGTGTTGAACATTTCTATGTAGTTTCATTAGAATCCCTCTTTATGCGTAAGAGATGTGTTCTGGACAAGATCTTTATATTTTATCATCTTAAGTGACCTTGACCTTGCATATTTATAAACCTAAATAACATGTTTCACACCCGTTGTCATTATAAGGACAATTTGTGTTTCAATCCCTCAATAAATAATGGCTAAATCGTACGAATACACATTTTCATATTTTTATCTGAGCTTTGGCCCATATGTGTGGCATTGACATTGGCTGCAGGGACCTGAATTTTGCACGCGAGACTCCAGCTCGCAAAGTATAAGATTTGTGCCAAGTTATATTGAAATCATTACACCCATGTGGAAGTTTTGCTACAGAAAACAATTTTTCAATGACCTCTTAGTGTGACCTTGACCTTTAATCTATAAACCAGGTTTATGCACATGGAACTGCTTCTTATAGCTTTTTACATTTCTATGAAGTTTCATTAGAATCCCTCCTTATGTGTAGGAAATATGCTCTCGACAAAAATCGCTTTATTTTATCACCTTTAGTGACCTTGATCTTGCATATATAAACCTTAATTACATGTTTCACTCCTGAAGTCATGTTTTTGACCATTTGTGTTTCAATCCCGCAATAAATGATGACTTAATTGCCCGAATACATATTTGCATATTTTATCAGAATTTGACCCCTGTGTGTGACTTTGACATTAGCCGCCACACTCCGCCTTACAATGGTGAATATTTGTACTAGGTTATATTAAAATCCTTTTACCAATGTAAAAGGTTTGCTCCGAAAAAGCGTGTTTCAATGAATGTTTAGTGTGACCTTGACCTTTGACCTGCACGACACAGCTTCTCATAATGGTAAACATTTCTATGAAGTTTAATTTAAAGTCTTGAATGAGCGTAGGACATAGGCTCCGGACAAACAAGAGGGCCATGATGGCCCTGAGGTCGCTCACCTGTATAAAGGCACCAGGAGCGGGGCCACTTTAAACCCCAGGGCTTTATTTGAACAAACTTGGAAGTCACCAATTAGAAGATGTTTCACGATGTTAAGTTTTTACTACACACATATAATGAAAAACAACGATCTACCCCCCTCCTTCCTTCCCCCAGCAGGGCCAATTTTAACCCAAGGGCTTTTATTTGAACAAACTTGGTAGACACCCATAAGAGATGTTTCATACTATACATCTAAGCTCTAGCTGATTGGGTTTTTTTAAAAAAAGATTTTTTAAGTTTTTACTATACACATATAGTTAAAACCAATGACACCCCTGGGGCAGTGCCAATTTTGACCCCAGGGCTTTTATTTGAACAAACTTTGTAGACAATTACCAGAAGATGTTTCATGCTTAATATCTAAACTCCAGCTATTTGGATTTTTTCAAAGAAGAATTTTAAGTTTTGCTATACAAATATAAGGAAAATCAATAACACCCGGGGCGGGGCCAATTTTGACTCCAGGGATTTTATTTGAGCAAACTTTGTAGCACTCACTAGAAGATGTTTCATGCTTAATATCTAAACTCCAGCTATTTGTTTTTTATCAAAGAAGATTTTTTAAGTTTTTGCTATATACATATAAGGAAAATCAATGACCCCCGGGGCGGGGCCAATTTTGACCCCAGGGCTTTTATTTGAACAAACTTGGTAGACACTAATTAGAAGATGTTTCATGCTAAATATCTTAGCTCTAGCTCTTTGAGTTCTTTAAAAGAAGATTTTTAAGTTTTTACTATATGCATATAGGGAAAATCAAAGACCCCCTGGGGCGGGGTCAATTTTGACCCCAGGGCTTTTATTTGAACAAAATTGGTAGACACTAATTAGAAGATGTTTCATGCTTAATATCTAAACTCTAGCTATTTGGGTTTTTTTTCAAAGAAGATTTTTTAAGATTTTTCTATACACATATATGGAAAATCAATGACCCCCGGGGCGGGGCCAATTTTGACCCTAGGGCTTTTATTTGAACAAACTTGGTAGACACCCATTAGAACATGTTTCATGCTAAAGATCTTAGCTCAAGCTCTTTGAGTTCTTTAAAAGAAGATTTTTTAAGTTTTTACTATATGCATATAGGGAAAATGAATGACCCCTGGGGCGGGGCCAATTTTGACCCCAAGGCTTTTATTTGAACAAACTTGGTAGACACTAATTAGAAGATGTTTCATGCTAAATATCTTAGCTCTAGCTCTTTGGGTTCTTTAAAAGAAGATATTTTATTTTTTTACGATATGCATATAGGGAAAATCAAAGACCCCCTTCGGCGGGGTCAATTTTGACCCCAGGACTTTTATTTGAATAAAGTTGGTAGACACTTATTAGAAGATGTTTTACGCCAAATATCTAAGCTCTAACTCTTAGGGTTTTTTAAAAGAAGATATTTAAAGTTTTTTCTTTCGGTTGCCATGGCAACCAGAGTTCTGCATGGAATTCAATTCTTTGAACAATTTTTAAAGGTTACCACCACAGGAACATTCCTGTGAAGTTTGGATGAAATTGGCTTAGTGGTTAATGAGGAGATGTCATTTAAAGTAAAAGTTTACTGACGAATGGACGGACGACGGACGGACGGACGCCGGTCGAAAAGCGATAACAAAAGCTCACCCTGTCACTTTGTGACAGGTGAGCTAAAAAATGAACGCCGCCCTTATAATACGACACGTTTTTTAAACACTGAATAACTTTCGATTTGGCTGCAGATAGAAAATTAAAAAAAAATTGAGCACAAATTGACAATAAAATATTTTGCAGATTTGCGTATAATAATAGATTCAAATTGTATAATGAAAGATTGACTTAATATATTGATAAGTTGACTTTATATAATGATTCTACCACATAAAAGCGCACATCGTATTTAATAGTTTCACATCGTGTAATGAAATATTGACCTTATATTTTGAAATTGATACTATATAATGATGCTACCACATAATAAACTGATAAATGTACATCGTATGAATGTATATTCACATCGTATAATGGAAGATTGACATAAGATATGGATAAGCTCACACTATATATAGATGCTACCACATAATATATTTATAAATACATTTTTTAAAATGTTGCCAGACTTTGATTCGATTAGCGTTTTAATACATATAGTTCAGTCTACAAGTGATTCAAAATTATAACTGAGATGGTTTTAATATTGATGCGGTGGCCGATGGGCATACTTTATAGACCTAAAATAATAAAACCTTTAATAGCGTAAACATAATAAGAACATCCGCCTTTATGTGCGAACATGAAAATGACTCTCGCAGTACTACAGATCTAGTAGAAAGTATCTTTGATGAAAACTTGCCAAGTTAGAGATAATAATTATTCTCTGCTATATGCATTTCAGGAAATAATCATTTAGCTGAAGTTGTGATGTAGATTTAGTAGACTTACTATCGTGTTTACATATAAGGGGGACATTCAAGGAATCAAACCCGCATACCGTACAGTCAAAATGAGACCATCAGAATAACAAGATGAATGCTTTAATCATATAAAAGTGTGTAACTACAAAATGCACCATATTTTGTCGCTTCTAGTCGCAATGAGTATGTTTTGAGGGGAAATGTAAATATCTACATGTAGGTGGATGAGAAGTAGTATAATTACAAGAAAGTGTTGAGAACTACAAACCTTTAAAACAAAGGAAACTTTTACCTTCTTGTACTAAACGAAATATCTGTTTAAAGCCTCCTATGACATTATTGACAGTAAGCCTGTACATTCCGAACAAGGTCCTGTTAACAATAAGAATTGTTAAATTGGACTGGAGATTAAATGTATCTATTTTAAAAGCTGCATCATTCCACAAAGGATACCATTGTCCATTTGCCTTTCGGAACCATTGAAAGTCATTTTTGGAAGGTACAGGATGTGCCAAGGCCGTGAAAGAGAACACTGCTGACTTATTCTGCTGACTTATTACATTTGTTAGCAAAGGTACAAGTGGAGAATTCCTAGGAGAACCTGAAATGATATTTGTATTCATAAGTTCAATATTATTACTCTATTATATACATTAATTTCAATGTTTCACTTCTATGTTTTTTCTTAAATAAATAGTTGTTAAAACGTATTATTTATCAGTATGAATGAACAGTTCTTTTTTAATGATTATACACGAATAAAAAACATTTATTTACATATCTAAAGTACTTTGTTTAGGATAGTAAAATGCAGTATTTATTTGTAAATGTATTCATAACAATTATGCTAAAATATTTATTCTAGATTTACTTACAATTAACGAACAATGTTAGTTGCTTTGATGATAACTCAGTGTTGTGAGTATTATTTGCCAAGCATGAATAGATTCCTGCATCAAGGCACGAAGCTGAGTGACGTACATATTCCAACCATTTTCTATCGGAACCGGAGTGAAGTTGTTGTTCTTCCTTCTTTATAGTCATGAAAGATCCTGGATTACTGTCAACATCACAATGAAAAGGCACTCTGCTCGTTGTTTCATTTACTGTTACTGATGTTTTTCCAGCAAACCCGACCACATAAAAATTTGTAACTTTTGCCCTATCTTATAAACGAAAAATTTATTTTAAAAACGTGGCTTTCCAAAAATATTCTAACACAGAAATACATATGGATTAACCGTATATGTAGTGCAAGAAAGGGAGCTAACTAGAGAAAATGGATGGAACATTTATGATTCTTGACTGAGCCATAAAGCCAAACTAGTAAATTAATGATTATAAATCATTTGTACCATACATCAAATTTAACTGATCTACCTTTTTTCAAAGTACCTAAAGCTGAATTATAAGTACGTTGTAACTTCCTTGAAGTTGTAATGAATCCAGAAACCTGTATTTGATTTTTACCTACGGTATATAACTTTACTACTGTTTAATTCAAAATCCGTCAATGAATCACAAAGCTATGCATCAAAGAAGTCCATCATTTCACAATCATAAAGTTTGGCATACAAGTATGACCTCGATCTTTAAACTAGAAAATTACTGTCACGATCCAAACAACAGCATCATGTTTAACACGGTCATGTAAAGTTATTTTGCAATCCATCCAGGAGACTAACACGACCATGATCAATACACATGCAAGACGTTTTCGGGAGTATGCATATACACATATTGACAAAATCAAAAATGGTCCGTAAAATTTCTTTAAATCAGAGTCTTTCTGTTTGAAAGACTCTGTTTAAACAAAGCATGTTGTTACATATAAGCGGTAAAAATTAGGGTCACTGTTCTGTTATTTAGTTATCTGCCATTGAGATTATTCACAATTTAGCTTAACAATTCCTTACTTTTTCTTCTTATTTTCACCGATTTAAGGTAGCTCGCTACTTTCCGACCTAAATTTGACAATATCTCAGATCTTGATGATTTCTGGTATACAGACATGTAGATATGTAAGCTTTACTTCTGCAGCATTATTTTATAAATAAACAGCGTTACTATGACGTCAAAGCGCCCTCTATCGGTGGCGGCGAAATTGCGTCTTTTTTATCAATAAACCGGTCTGTTATTATCAATTTTCATCCGATTTCCTTCATTTTAATTTTATAATGTTCAGTAAATGTATGTCTTTGTAACGATGTCTTTCTTTAACATTTGCTTAATACTCTGCGATTCTACGTTATTTTCCCTCGCGTTCTGACGTCCATATTTGATGCAAATATCGCGCGATATCGCAATAAAGATTGTGAAATAATAAAAAATCTACACGGTGAATTTTGCTTTAATTTTTTTAACATGTAGTGAAGTCATAAAAGAAAATATTTATGCAATAAAAATATAGGGTCAACGCGTAAGATATTTTGCTATTACTATTTGAATATAAAATAAAGGGTGAGTAAAACGTAATGATTTTGGTGACGTCAAATATTTTTATCAAGGAAATTTTCACGACTTTTTCGATAAATAACATACTGACAGGAATAAAAATGTATGAACACCATCAACAACAATAGTTTGTAGACATGTTCCGTAAAAATGTTCTTTTAAAAGTCCTGTCAGATGCCTGCATTTCGATGAATATCTTCAATTATATACATGTACAACAAATCAGGGTATAACTGTCTGCAAAAGTTGGTATCAATCGCTGAAAAACTGCAACGAATGGATATAAATACCTCGAGGACTGAAAGACAATTCAGAATATTGAAAGATATAATTAAAAGGCCACCTAAGTGGAAATTATAAAAACATAAATTTTGCAAAGAATGTCAGAAAAAAAGTATGAAAAGGCTGGTGCCGTCGCAATGTCATCATGTAATGTGTATCTCGGTACAACATAAACTTCCATGTTATCATATGTACTAATTTTGAATTGTATATATCAGTTAGTAGGAACAGAGACATAGATAACATCTATGTCTGTGGTAGGAAATGAATTTCAAAAATATATGATCAACTGGAAGTAGCAACGATTTGTACGTAAGCCATGATTCACTGGTAGTCTTAATTATATTATAAATCTAGCAGACATTTAATTCAAAAAAATTCTACACGTATGAAAATTTATTTATTAACAGCCATCAGTTATTCTATTTTCTCTCGCAGCTAAATACCCTGCATTAAGCGTGATACTCAGATTTAAAGCAGGAATCACGCTTTCATGCTATGGCTTTAATTTCTCACGTATTTCACATAATTACAGATATTCTTATTTATTTTAAACTAACTGACTCGCGGTATGCGTTTACTAGCGCATCTTTGAGGCGACCTGAAGCCGCGATCATTTCTCAATTAGAGGCGATTGATTTTGTATGTTCAGAAGCGGAGAATTTTGCATATTAAATACAGATTCCCTTGTATTGAAGACCATGTAGGATCCTCAATTTGTGGGATTATGATTGTGTGGGAGAAGCTCGTTTTTTTTTGTCTGCACATAATGCAGTGCTATGTAAAGCCTATGAAAATAATGAACTATGCATTTTATGTTTTATATCTTCTTATTTTTTTAATATTTGGTTTAACGCCGCTTTCAACAGTATTTCAATTAAAGCGGAGGGAATTTAACGAAACCAGTGTTTCTCACAGTATCAACTTCTCTTTGGAAATGAATGACAGCAGTCCGAGGTGGACCTTGAAACATTTCATACACAGTAAACAATTCTAAAGGATAATCTATTAGTACATCTCGAATCCATGCCTTCCGAATTCAGCGTAAGACCACTTTACCGATTACAACGTGGCAACAGAAGAATATTCAAAGTAAAAAAAAACCTGATTATCATCTCCCTTAATAAGGGAGAAGTCCATTTTTTTGCTAACATCATAAACACGTGTTGTTGTGTGTGTTTTTGAGGTTGTTTTTTCTTGTTTTTTTTTTATATTTTTGTTTTAAAGCAAACTGTATTGTATTAAAAAATGAACAAGATAACGTCAACATAATACATTATTCGTATTCAGTGGTAACAAAAGTTGCACAAGTTATTTAATAATCATATTTTGTATTTAATTAAAATATACAGTATAACCTTTACAGAGACATGCCCTTTGTTGCCTAGAGTGGTTGCTCTACAGAGGTAAAATGTAATGGAACTCTTTAGAAATAAATAATACTTTGAGGGCCGCTATGTTATACTGTACAGTAATGAAAAAACGGTAATGAATCCGAGTTGAGTAATGGTTATATTGGGTGTTTCACATTCGAGTCTGCAGTTGCGAGTTTGCTTATATATTTTTTTATTCAGTATGATTTTGCTTCCAAAATAGTTTATAGTTTGTCACATAAGTGCTCATTTTCTAATTATCATGAAATTTTAATTAGATTATAATTATATAATCTATGTATTGCACAGACTTAAAAATGGTAAGCAAAAATAAAAAGAAAATAAAAGTCTTTGTTTCTTGTACAGTTTGTTTTTAAATATTCTTAGAGGGACTCCACTGAGGTTGAAAAGCCAAACACATAACATTTGAATTTCTTACATAAATGAGTTGGGCACTTTAAACAGAATTTTATGCGAAGATACTTAAGAAATATACTATGAAATAAATTGAAAATCGTATTTTTATGCTTTTGTTAGCCCGATTTGGGTGAAAAGCGTTTAAACGCTTTCATTTTGAATAATTATTCTGGAAAAACGAAGTGCGCGAATGCACTGAAATTTTGCACAAAGATTCGTGGTCTAAACCTACATCAAATGGTACACTTATCTGGAAAAAATATTTTCAGTTCCATCATGTCAAAATACATCAGTGGAGTCCCTTTAACATATTTGAATATTATTTCTGAATTTTATTTATCACTTATTTCGGCACATTTGTATGCATATCTATTTGAATTGTATTTTTACGATGTGTTTTTGACACCGAGCCTCGTCTGCCTGTATTTGATTTTATGCTGAATGTAACGTAAAATAAATATTCTACGGGTATAGGCTAAGCGACCTAATATTCTTACTTCATTCATACAGCAATATGTGAATCTTATTTTTTGCGCTAAAAGTAGTTAATTCATATAATAATATAACACTTTAACAACATCACATTATAAAATTAGAATTAAAAGATGTATGAGACTGTGTCCTGCAAATTAGAAAAGTATTTAAAAAGGGATTGTCGGATTAAACATTGTAAATGTGCTCATCTAGCGCATGCTTTCAATGAGAAAATAATCAACAATTTAAAAAATATACATTTCATCAAGTCCCTGTGTTGTTTATACTTACTATCGTAATGTTTGACGTAAGAAAATTGTTATTTGGTATTATTCTTTGAACTCCAACAACTATTAACGTCACCAAAATCATAACGTTTCACTCACCCTTTATTTTATTTTAAAACAGTAATAGCAAAATATCTTACGCGTTGACCCTATATTTTTATTGCATAAATATTTTCCTTCACTATCTCACTACACGCTCGGAAAATTATAGTAAAATTCACCGTGTTGAATTTTTTTTATAACCCAATCTTTATTGCGATATCGCGCGATATTTGCATCAAATATGGACGTCAGAACGTAGAGAAAAATGACGTAAAATCGCAGACTATTAAGTAAATGTTAAAGAAAGACATCATTACAAAGACATACATTTACTGAACATTATGATATTAAAATGAAGGAAATCGGATGAAAATTGATAATAACAGACCGGTTTATTGATAAAAAAAGACGCAATTTCACCGCCACCGATAGAGGGCGCTTTGACGTCATAGTAACGCTGTTTATTTATAAAAATAATACTGCAGAAGTAAAGCTCACATATTTATATGTTTGCATACCAAAAATCATCAAGATCTGAGATGTTGTCATATTTCGGTCGGAAAGTAGCGAGCTACCTTAAGTCATTGCACAATTGTAAAGTTTAGGCAAAATAACAAACAGATTGTTGTTTTTCCCCTTTGCTGCTTACCTGTGCCATTTTACACAAAAACTAGCTTATTTTTCGAAGAATTTTGAACTGTTTTATTCACTCTGAAAACAATATGTAGCATAAAAAATGCAATCAGCATTAATAACAGCAAAAAACATAGTCGAGAGGTAAAACACGTATGTATTATAATTTATAAGCCCTTAAAATGACATCAAAAGTGGGATCGGTGTCACCAACGTATTTGTTAACTTTAAATATGTCTGCCATCATATTCTAATTACATGCCAAAAATAGAAAAGGGGAGCGGTGGCCTATTGGTTAATGTGTCACACTGTCACTCTACCCAGATATTATCGGTTTGAGCCCTACTCGGGTCACGGCCATGTTTCTTTAAATGACACCAGTACTTGTTGGTTCCAGGAAGCGAAAGTGATTAATATAAGTTGCAAGAACTTGTTTCGCAATGGAGTTAAAACAGATATGTTTAAAACATTTTTTTAAATACTTTTATTTATTTATTTCTTCTTTTTTTCTTCTTCTTTTTTTTGCACAAAAATACCTTTAAGATAAGATGGATGTTGTTAAAGCAGTTTTTCAGCATTAATTTTAGAATAACATAGCACAATGTTCTGAGTTAAATTTGTACTTGAACATATAACTAAACAAATCAAAATTCAAAGATTTTTTTAAACAATTAACAATTATTTTAATGCCAAAATAAAGCATTGATAATCACAGCTGCTAGGATAGATAACAGATAACAAAGACTCACTAATTGTTAATTGTCTACTTTTGACCTCTCAGTGTGACAATAACCAAAAAGCTAGGGGTCTAGGTGTTGCGCATGACGCATCGCCTCATTATGCTACAAGTTCTTTCAAAATTCCGTGATGCATGACAAAGTTATTGGCCAGACACTGTATTCTTTCCGCCGACCTATGACCTCTAAGTTTAACCTTGACCTTGTATGGGGTCTTTGTCTTGCTCATAACAATCATTACGTCATGCTCAACATACGTGCCAAAATATAAGCTTCGGGTCAAAAAATCTGGAAACAAAGTCATCCCTCGGAAGCATTAATCACAACAAAATTACATAAGAATTGCAGACTCGGTTTGATTTAGTCTGTACATGAGGGATAATGAATAAGTGCAACATCCCTCACGCCCCCTAGCACCGGCTTGAGCGGTAATCAATTCTCAACACTCAATAGTGCTAGTATCAATGATCCCGAAGGACCAGAAAAATATAACAACACTAAAGTGAAGTACGGGGCAACTTTTTACAGCTGCCACAAGGAACTTGACACCTGCTGTTGTGAAGTATAAAAATCTGGAAAGTGATCCCTCGGAAGCATTAATCACAACAAAATTACATAAGAATTGCGGACTTGGTTTGATTGAGTCTGTACATGAGGGATAATAATTAAGTGCAACATTAAAACTGGTATACTTCATCATCATAAAGGGATGTGTCGAGCGGTAGAGCCAAGATTCAAACTATAAAGTAAGGATCGAAGCAGGGAAATTTGGCGTTTAGTTTTCTCAGTTTTCGTTTGTCGTTAACTGTGGCATAAATGATGGAATTAAAGGATTAAAAATGTGACATATAGTCTCCATAAGTCGACAATGTGTTTTGTGCAAAACACATGGATACACCTTCAAAGTCAAGGTCCTACTTGAAGGTACTTGAAGGCATAAGTTTAAGTTTTGCCCGGCTTATAGCTTTGCCATTACTACTATGAATTGCATACAAAACTCACTTCCGCATCTTAAAGGCCAAAGTCAGTTATTATTTGTTCATCCTGATTTCCTTCTAACATTCATCCAGGTGCAAAAAGCGAGCAAATGTCTAGCTGATCGATCGGAAATTAAAAATATTCGCCTAGATGGCGATCAAAAATTAAAGTTTAAATACAAGCATCTCCTTTCTTCCGTTAATCTTCTGTGGATTTAATTTTCTTTTGCTAAGATGAAATAAGAAGAAAAAGTCCACAGCATTCTCAACAAAAGAACGACAGCACACCAAATACGACCTGCATGTCAATATTATGCCGTCTTATGTTTTTGATATCTGTGTATTTCCTATACATTAATGGAGCATCATTTTTTATATTATTTTTTTCAATTGCAACCGGTGATACAAGTGTCCAAACCTAATTGAACATCCAAGAACGACCCGCCCTCTATCCCCCCCCACAACCACCCCCCGCCCCCCCCCCCCCAAAAAAAAAAGTAAATAAAAAAAAATGAATAAATAAAATAAAAATTATTTGCAAATCTAAAATCACAATAAGATTATTATCTGATAGTTGGCCTCACTCATTTTAATGGTTTCTAAAACTCTTTTTGCGTGACAGAAAATTGATGTAAAATACAAGTATTTATAATAAATACTTACACCAAACATTTAAATAGAAACTTTTACTATCTTCGCCTTTTGTTGCCATTTGTTCTCCTGTTTGTTTCATTAAATTATCAGCTGTACATGTGTAGAATCCAGCATTTGTCCTCGACACATTTTGTATTGTTAACATTTGGTTACTCCATATTGTACCATCACTTTTAAGCCATTTAAATGTAGTTTCTTTTGGGTAACCAACTTTAACCGAGCAATATAGGTCAAAAGGTTTACCTTCGGGAATACTTCTGTTGTTCAAAATTCCAACTTCCGGGGGATCTAAACAGATTACAATTTTTATAATTATCAACAAAAAATCATTTTTTAACCAATCCTTATTATTAATTTGATCAGAAACATAAATAAAAACCTAAGTCATACAATAATAATAATGATAATAATAATTAATTGGAATGACATTTTAGCCAAACATGAGTACATTTTCAATTTTGTATAATTATAATAATAATAAAAATAATAATGATTATAATAATGATTATAATAATAATAATTATTATTATTATTATTATTATTATTATCATTATTATTATTATTATTATTATTATTATTATTATCATTATTATTATTATTATTATTATTATTATTATTATTATTATTATTATTTGATTAACCAAAGAAAAAGAAAAAAGAAGTACATTGTAGTATCTTTTCGATAAGTTTCAATATACAAGAAACACAACATCCTGGAAATTACCAAGTGAAAAGTGTTATGTCAAGGTTAAAGTGTAAATTCATGAAGAATCTGATAAATAAATATACTGACTAAATTATTACGCGAAGATAACATTATTTTGATGCTTATGTTTAAAGTTATAGAACATTTACATGCCAGACCGTCAATAAATAAATTTATGAAAATAATTACACAGAATGTTCAACTCAAATTGCTGAAAGTTTCTCCCATAAACAACGTTTTCTAGATTTATAAATGTACGTTTCATGATATTTTCAGTTTTGCAGTTGTAGTTTCCAGCTTTTGATCTGTCCAGTTTTTTCAATGTCAGTATATGTGAAGATGGTGTTATATTTTCCCAGACGATGACTGGTTCTGGCCTACTGTTTGATTCACAGATGACAGTAAATGCTGTTGGGTTAAATTCACGTACAGATAGTGAATCACTGAATAAATTTTGTGATCCTTGTCCATATCTGTATTTAAAGGTAGGATTTGTTGGTGGATCTGCAAATTAACATAAATGTAAGCATATAACATGATATAAAATATTCATTTGTTTAACTCAACAAAGAAAAAAGATATATTTCAAAGAAATTAACATATTACTCAACTATATAAGCAGTCTAAATCATTTATTTAACACAGTTGAAAAATATATTTATATTTACTGATTTTTAAAACTTGTCTGAAACTTAACTACATGTATTTCAGTTTACTTATAAATTGGAATTTACATATTTATAATCAGGTTACAATGATCTATTAAAAGTACTTGTTATGGGTGTCCTATATCCAGTAAATGAATCTTAATCGGATAAAGCTATATAAACTGTAGTTGTTTTTCTTTAAATTTCAAACATTACTCTTTAAGGTTAGAAATGAATTAGTGTGTCAGATATGAAAGCAGTACTACAAAAAAGCTTAACATATCCGTAACAAAAGTAATTGTTATGTAAGTCCTTTCTCTAAAGTATAGGAATCCTTATTTTGTAACAAAAATCAAAGTTATTTACATATTTATCACGACCCTTTACGCAAGTTTTGGCTCATATGTGAAAAATAAGGTATATAAAGTAACTTACAAAATTTTGAAATGCTATATACAGGTTATTATATTTGTTATAGTAACAAGATTATTACATGACTGTATGATACCTAAAGTCACAAATAAACATTCTTTCTTGTCACAGACACCATTTTTAAGATGTTAAAATATTCATAAAACTTAAACAAATGTTTCCATATGTTGAATTTTACAATTATAATAGATACAACCAGTTACTTACACATAACATGAACAGTTAATGTTGATGTAGAAGTTCCTCTGGTAGGATTTGAAGTAGTAGGAACAGTTTCTGTCATTGTATTTCTAACCTCACATTTATACATGTGATCTTGTTTATCAGCAGTTATTGATGAAACAGTAAGTATTTGATTGTTTCCACGTGTATCCCATTGGTAAGTGTCTGGGTCCGGTTTACTGTTTGATCGACAGGCAACTTTAACTAGATCATTCTGTATAACATTTAGCAAGTTGTTTGGTATAGTTGTTCCTGTGGTATTCCAGTATCGGAATGTTGGTGTCGTAGGAGGATCTAACAAAGGAAGTAATGTAGGTGGAAAACATAGAGTTAATACAGAAAGTAGAGGATAGGTCTACATATCTATAAGTGTTTAAAATGGAAATTGTAATTCACATTCATAAATTCTAAGAGCAAATAATGTAAAAGCTGATAAAGTAGTAGCTTTTATCGATATAGAATAGGTTGATAAAAGACAAGTTTATAAGTTTAATGTTTAAACTGTCATCCGGTTTATTCTTAAGATTGGAATACCTTTATAAAAGCAATGATTCCGGAAGTAACAGTATGAATATGTATTTCATTTAATGTATTTAAAAGCTGAAGACAAGAGTACATAACTGGATAGCATATGATATTGCTATACAAAAAAAATAGTATCTCTGAATAGAACATACATGTATACTGTAAAACTTCTTTTCTGCTAGCTTATCAACAGTAATGTTTTATTATGGTTTGTTTATTATATAAATGTTTAAAAAGTTTAATAAATAAATTAAAAATGTAATCACAAATGTTAATCTATCTGTACAGTAAAAAAACTTACATAGAACATCAAAACTTAACGATGATGAGTTTTTTCCGGTTACAGCACTACCATCTGATGGGTTCATTAAATTTTCTACTTCACATGTATATTGATCACCATTCTGTATGTTGTTAGTTGTCAATGTTGCTCCTGATGTTATTGCAGAGTTATGTTTCCACGTGTACTGTATTTGATTTGGCTGACCTGTACTTTTGCATGTTATAGATACTTGACTATGTTTTATGACTTTCACTGTACCAACAACCTTTGTGTTTTTTATTGAAAACTCTGGTGTTGTCGGAGGATCTGAAATTTCATCAAAAATTAGTTTGTCAGATATCAGTATCCTTACGAACAAATTTAATAAATTGATCGTGATATCCCTGACAAAAAAGATACAAATAACCTTATTCAAACTTCTATACTTCTGTATTTTGTACACAAGAAAACAGTGAAAACGAAGTTTGTATCGGTAGTTGTGTTGATACAAAGACCCAAAACTGTCAGGCAAAAATTGCTTAAATTGTAAAGGACATTCTTTTTGCGGAGTAACGAGAACAAGAAATGTCGAACAACACATATACTTCCCTTACAAGCCATTGACTCATACTTGGTAATTTTGTTATTAGAAACTTGACATAAATTGGTACATAAAAGTGTTCGTGCATGGAAAAAAGAAAATTAATGACCTATTAGTTATAACCAATCAATATGTGATATATATCAAGACCTTGACCTTTGAACTAGTGATCCCATTGTGGCTAATCAATATGTGTAATATGAAGACATTGTGATAAAAAGTTTTCAAGGTAATGAGCGGAAACCATTATTACATTTAAGGTTGTTGTGACCCTCACTTTTGAATTAGTGATCCCAAAATAAATAGGAGTCATCTACTGCATATGACTATTCAATATGTGAAATATGAAAACTTTGGTATGAAGAGTTTTCAGATAATGAGCGAAAAACCATTCTGACATTAATAGCCTCTGTGACCTCATCTTTGACGAAATGATCCCAATATCAATAGGGGACATCTAGGCGTTATGACCAATCAATTAATATGTGAAATTTGAAGACTTTGTGAAAAAGTGAAAAAAAAACAATCAAGGAAATGAGTGGAAACTATTCTTACATTTAAGGCTGCTGTGACATTGAACTTTGAACTAGTGATTCCAAAATAAATAGGTGTCATCTACTATATATGATTATTAAATTTGTGAAATATTAAGACTTAGTAATAAACCATTTTCAAGATAATGAGCGACAAGCATTTTGACTTTTAAGGCCCCTGTGGCCTTGATCTTTGATCCCAAATTAATAGGGGACATCCACTAGTTATGACCTATTAATATGTGAAATATGAACAGTTTGATATAAATAGTTTTTAAGATAATGAGCGGAAACCATTCTGACATGGATGGCACCTGTGACCTTGACCTTTGACAGAGGTACCCCAAAATCATCAGGGTAATTAAAAAGATATGACCAATCGATAAGTGTAATATGAAGACTTTGTGATAAATAGTTTTCAAGAAAATGAATGGAAACATTCTAACATAAAAGGCTCCTTTGACCTTGACCTTTGAACTAATAATCCCAAAGTCAAGAGGAGTCATCTGCTACATATTACCAATCAATATGATTATTGTGAAATATGAATACTTTGTAAAAAATAGCTTTCAAGATTATGAACGAAAACCATTCTGACATTCCAGAACCCAGTGACCTTAACCTTTGACATAATGACCCCAACATCAATATGGATCATCTACTAGTTATGGCTAATCAGTATGTGAAATATGAAGACTTTGTGATAAAAATCTTTCAATATAATGAGCGGCAACCATTCTGACATTTTCGGCGTCTGTGACCTTGACCTTTCACTCAATAGGTCAATTTATCAATAGATTTAATAACCTCGTCAGTTGTAAAATCACAATCTAGAAAATCAACATAAAAATTTACATTCTGATTTAGAACTTCTTTAAAAGCCTGATCACAATATACATCAGTATCATAAAATTAAACCTTTAAAATGATCATAAAAATCCTCATGAGATTACCGTCCTAATCCGAGTCTGGGGAGTATAGTACGTTATTGATATATAATTCATCACGCACAAGGTAAGCTCTATGACCTTTGTTACGAGCATCTTCCATGATGGGTATGAGCCGCTTCCGTTGTTCTTGTACCTCACGGGGGGGGGCTGATCAAACACAGCAAATGGTGTTTTTCTCAAGTCAACATGTTTCAAAGCCTCTTTCACAACCATTTTGGACTCCTTGGGTATCCTTTGGGTATCTTTAAAGTTGATGACAATTGGCCGTTTTTGTCCTGTAACTGGTCGATAGGTATACGATGTGCACGATTTATGCATATACGCGGCTTTGCATCCTTAATGTCGAGAATTTGTTCAAAAGTTGGTAACCTTTAGCAATACAGTTTTCAGGTGATGCAGTACTCGCATATGAACCCACTGTCTGTTGATTTGTAGAACCTAAAAAAATGGCCACTGTCAGCTGTGGGAGTACTATGTCCATCAGTTATATATGTGTGTTCCTCGTCATTAGGGGATGCATCCAATTGCATGTTGTTTCTTTCAGAAATTGTTGTCATAGAATAGACTGAATTAGGACTATTATGCATGTATTGTGGGCGCTCCGATATACCTACAATCACAATATCATCCCTCATGGAACGACAACGCAGATCTGTAATGTCATTTTGTAGAACTTGATTTTTCTTCCTCAATGTTTTATTTATGTCATTTACTTTTTACAGCTTACCCTGTAGAGCTTCTATTGCCTCATTGCTATCTTTTGAGGAACAATGTATCGAGTCATATTTATCAGACAGCATACTTTGGCTCAGTTCTACTTCTTGCATTTTAATATTGTCAGTGTTTACTTGTTGAGTGTTCAGTTGTAATTTTTGTTGAAGTTACAGTCCCAGACAAGCTTGCTGGTACAAAAGTTTCATTATGACTAGTTTGTTGACTTTTATCGTACGCAATTTAATTGTGCTGGCATTTTTAAATCAACACCGGTCGCCATTTTTACCGACATATCTTCTGTTTCGCTTCCCGTATATCCCTTAGTACGACGCCTTCGACGCTTTTTCTTATTGCTTTCCGACATACGTAACGATTATTCGCTAAGTCAAACATCTAAATATTTTTTGTAATGACTAGAAAACACTAAAATTGTCATTTTGTCTAACAACGTTTTCAACACACCGCAATCTAACCAGTGCTACGTAAGAATCTACAACACGTGTCACGTGTTTATATCAATGAGAAGTTTGGTTTGAAAAAAGGACCGTAATGAATCAAAATTGATAGCTAATATTTATCGTCCATCTAATACAAATGTAGACTTTTGGGTTAGATTGAATATTTGTCTAGAAAATGCTTTTAATGAATTAAGTAGAGTTCTATTAGTAGGTTACATAAATTAAGACCAGATAAACACGATTTAATGATAACAACAGACTGGTCATTTCTTTACTCCAATACACTTGATGAAGCAACCGGAAACTTTAATTTAAATTTCATTGAGCTTGTAAACACTATATTTTGTAACCCTTTAGAGAATAAGCAAGATATAGACCGGACATATCCGGACTGACCCAATGAACTATACGCCAAAGGTGACGACTAAGTCGAGCTCACCATAAGCAGGATCGACAAAAATGGACAATGGATAATAACTTCAAACTTAGCCAATACTGAGTTACATTTCTTATGTAATGGGCATCTACCAAATGAGACTATCTACCTTAAAAAGTGCTTGTTGGTATATTTTATAACTTTTGGGTAATGTCTCGGACATAGTGTCAAAATAAACAAATAGCGATAACTCTTAAACTTAGCAATATGGAGTTACAGTTTTTGCACTGCACATCTACCTAATACAATATATCTACTTACATACGTACGGACGGACACAGCTGTGACTATATGCTCACCCCTCTTGGAGTATTATAAATATAAATAATTTCATTCCTCCTTAAAACGATCTTTAAGGATCTTTAAGGTTGTATTACAATAAAAAGCGGAGTAATAAGATTCTATACTAAATTTACTTAATTTTATGAAAATAATTGCAGTAATTACACCGCTTAGCCGGAGCTTCTAGGTAGCCCAAAATAATATGTAGATTAGAAACAATGCCCGTATATGAAATGCTAACATATGAACACAGTTTGCTGGTTCATACATGAAAATCTAAACTTCGACTAATTGTCACAATAACAAGTGTTCAAGCTTGAATCATTATTATCAAAAATAAACAAAATGCACTAGTAACTTTGGGGTGAAAATAATACATTTAAATGTTCCGTCCAATTTTGTTACAAATTGATTGCTGTATGCATGTTCATTTAAAAGAAAACAGAGAATCATCTTAAAGCTTATAACGAAACTTACATATAATTTGTACTTGAATGTCCACCATTGCACTTCCACTTGAATGTGAAGACTGACATGTACACTTTCTGTTTTGACCTCGTACAGCTGTCCATCTTGCAGTCTTTAAAACAGTGTCAGCATCAGTGTTGTCAGACGTTCCAGTATTAAAACAAGTCCATGTTAATGTTGGTAAAGGATTACCTCCTTTTATCAAACAAGTCAGTTGTCCTGGTTTGTTTTCTATGACTCGATATGTAGTTCCAGCTGAAAACCCCTGTATTACAGGGGGGCCATCAGGAGCATCTTAAATTAAAAGCCAATGATTTATTACATTTTACCAATACAATTGTAAATTTATCAAAACTTATGATATTGGACAATCTTGTTTCATTGATATGACTGAATATAAATAGATTCGCATCCGGAAACCGACATTTTTTATGTCTTACAAACATTTTTGTCGAACATGGGTCATCTCGGATGAAAAAGTAGGTCACAGGAGCTATAAATAGAAAAACCTTGTGAACACTCTAGTGGTCACATTTTTGAACCAATCATCATCAAACTTGGTCAGAATGCTAGTCTAGTCAATTGCTTGGATGAGTTCGAGCATGGGTCATCTCTGATGAAAAACTAGGTCACAGGAGCTAAAAATAGAAAAACCTTGTGAACACTCTAGTGGTCACATTTTTGACCCAATTATCATCAAACTTCGTCAGGATGCTTGTTTAGATAATAGCTCGGATGAGTTCGAATATGGGTCATCTTGGATGAAAAACTAGGTCACCGGAGCTATAAATAGAAAAACATTGTTAACACTCTAGCTGTCACATTTTTGCATCAATCATCATCAAACTTGGTCAGGATGCTTATCTACTTGATAGCTTGAATGAGTTCGAACATGGGTCATCTCGGATGAAAAAGTAGGTCACCGGAGCTAAAAATAGAAAAACCTTGTTAACACTCTAGCGGTCACATATTTGCATCAATCATCATCAAACTTGGTCAAGATGCGTGTCTAGGTGATAGCTCGGATGAGTTTGAACATGGGTCATCTCAGATGAAAAAGTAGGTCACCGGAGCTAAAAATAGTAAAACCTTGTTAACACTCTAGCGGTCACATTTTTGCATCAGTCATCATCAAACTTGGTCAAGATGTTTGTCTAGGTCATAGCTCGGATGAGTTTAAACATGGGTCATCTCGGATGAAAAAGTAGGTCACCGGAGCTAAAAATAGAAAAACCTTGTTAACACTCTAGCGGTCACATTTTTGCATCAATCATCATCAAACTTGATCAAGATGCTTATCTAGGTGATAGCTCGGATGAGTTTGAATATGGGTCATCTCGGATGAAAAACTAGGTCACAGGAGCTAAAAATAGAAAAACCTTGTTAACACTCTAGTGGTCACAATTTTGACTCAATTGTCATCAAACTTGGTCAGGAAACTTGTCTAGGTCATTGCTGGGAATAAATCGAACATGGGACATCTCGGATGAAAAACTAGGTCACAGGAACTAAAAATAGAAAAAGCTTGTTAACACTCTTGTGGCTACTGTTGTAATCCAAATATTTTGTTAATTGGTCTGAAAGTTTGTTTTGATGATTTCTAAGTCAAGATCGAACATGGGTCATCTTGGATGAAAAACTAGGTCAAACCGCCCAAATATGGAAAAACCTTGTTAACATTCTAGTGGTCACATTTTCGACTCAATTATCATCAAACTTGGTCAGGATGCTTGTCTAGGTAATTGCTTGGATGAGTACGAAATGCACGTGAAACTAGGTCACCGGAGCTAAAAATAGAAAACACTCTAGTTGCTAATGTTTTGATCCAAGTATCCTGGAAATTGGTCTGAAAGTTTGTTTTGATGATTTCTAGGTCAAGTTTGAATATGTGTCACCTGGGTAAAAAACTAAGTCGCACTGCTCAAATATGGATAATCCTTGTTAACACTGTAGTGGTCACATTTTTGACTCACCTGTCATGAGAATTGGTCAGAATGCTTGTCTAGGTAATTGTTTGGATGAGTTTGATAAGTCAGGTGAGCGATCTAGGGCCATCATGGCCCTCTTGTTTCCTCTAGTTGTTTAATGTTTTGGATTTCGTTTTGAATAAAATCTAACCTAATACAACAGTGTCTATATGTAGTTTATTTTGCTGTTAACGATGTAAATAGACTAACCATGTGACGGAATAACTGGAAATAAATATGTTTTTCGACAATAGGCTTTATCCCGCTAATTATATCGACAGTAGTAGGATGATTCATTGGCAGCCGTGCAGAAATTTAAATACAGAATATTGGAAAGTAAACATGTCTTTTAAATGAAATTTTAGTAAATACATGTACATGTAATGCACAATAATATTTTGAAGTTTATGGTAAACTCTGAAACGAGTATATAATAGATTTGAAAGAAAAGAACGATGGATAAAGCAATATAATCTGCGTCGTCCAGAAAACTTCATAAAAAATCTGGCATATTCTTCTGTTCTTCCAAATATTTCGGCTAGCAACATATACCAAATGAAGTGAAAAATTGTGGGGCGTGTTAATAATTAATAATTCAGTCATTTCCAACAAAAAGAGTAAAAAATATATTTTTCATTTGTATGTTTACAAATTGTTGGATACGACCCAGTTCTGATTTGAGGCCCTGTTTAAGTGTGTTTTACGTCACCGTTTAAGGATGTTGTGACAACGTTCAGACTGTGACGTATGCGCATTACTACGATTTCTTAGATGCTGGTGTGGCAGCCATTATCTGTTCGATTGTTATGTTTTGCATCCTTGTAAAGTTAATATTACGCATAGATATAGATCGATCTTGTGCTTTTTATATGAATGTTACAAAATATTAGTCTATTTATACGGATTATTTACGGGTATTTCTGGATGATCCCTCATAACTAATACCAGTTTCTATATCAATTAAACAGAGACATGTGCCGCAACGCCGTAAAATATCGCACTACAGGGTAAACGCACGTTTTTTTTTGTGTTATAACGTCTGCAGAGTCCCCAGGAACGGTCGGTGCCCAAGCCCGGTAGGGCGAGGGCTCCAACAGTTCCGAGGGACTCTGCAGACTTTATAACACGAAATAAATGTGCGTTGGCGCTATAATAGCATAAAATTTTTAAACAAATTCATGATGTATATTAAATACAAAACAGATACAATAAATCTTTGTGCTTGGACGGTATTCATCCAATCCGCCATGTTTTACGTATGCGTTTTATTTATCCGAGGCTAACAACTTGGGAAATACAAATGCTCAGAACCGAACGGAATTGGAATTTTAATTTATTTAAGAATTTTTTAAGCTTAACATTAGACATTTATTATCTCAAGAAAAAACACTTAATTTATCTACCAAGGACAATACATGACCCTCAGAAATTCCAAAAATTATTTCAGATTGACGAGAAAAAAGATCAGTGACATCAGAATCGTTTTTTTATTTTTTCAAGCACACAAGTTTATAAAGAAAATCCGGCACGAAACATTATTCTCTCAAAGAAATATAAAGAGAAATTATTAATATAAACATTGATAAAACAACATTTTCTCATATTCATTTTGTGTTATCTTGTTTTGTAAGTTAATCGGAGGGTTAAACTGAATGACAGATATTTGTTTACATTGACAACTGTCCGTTTCTTAGAAAGGGCGACAACCAAGATAATGGGCGATGTTTACACGCCGTATTTCCGGCATAGTTATTTGAATGCTGCTGGCCGTAATGCGATTGAAGCCCTCGAATCAATAATTTCAATGTAACTATTTGCCAAACAGTTTGTTTGTTTACTGGGCCCTGTATGTATTGCGCATAGGTAAAACTGGGCTACATGTATATAACAAGAGCGCGTGACTATGTTAACACATGGTTTTGGCCCCGTTATAACATTGGCAAAATAGGGAAAAATAGCCGATTTTATACTGTAATTGCCGTTAAATGCCGCACCATTGCCGCTAAATGTCGCAACCGCCGCTATATGTCGCAAAATCGTTTGTCGTTAAATGTCGCAATGGTAACGTTAAATGTCACACGATTTGCACTTCCCGTTAAATGTCGCAACGCTACCTAAAATGTCGCAACGCTACCGTTAATTTTCACAGGATGTAAATTCATGTTAAACTAGTAGTTAATGGTGTTGCATTAAATTTGTCGTTATGTTAGTTATCTGTTACTTATCATTAGTAAAGCAAAAATGAATAAGTTCATATTTAAAAGGGAGGATTTCCGTATATCTACTTGGATAGGCTTTGTTGTTACTTCAAAAATGATTGGTTGAAATAGGAGTTTTCTTTTTCGGTTTTAAAATCTATAACCATAATTGTTGCCTCCTTGGCTTTTGCACACATACGTGTTGTCCTTTAACAACTTACGTGCCTAGGATTTTAGCTAAGATTCAACCTGAAGATAGATATAACATATTAGGAAGCAAATTCTAGAATGATTGGATTGAGATTTTATATTCTGTGTCCTCATTTTCCCTATATCTTCACCTTTATCATTATATTGTCACTTTCAAATTACGAAACATGTCTTTAAAATTAAATTGATGCAAAAACCTGTTTAGTTTTTTTTTTCTTAAATAGTGTTTCAGTCATACACGTACGGTATGTTAAAGATATTTAAAAATTAATATGAAAGTGTGCGGAATCAAAATTCATATTTATATTTAGTGACTACTTAAAGATGTTTGTTTTCTCTGACAGCCAATAGCTTCAGTTATTCATTTCATTATAAGAAATTAAAATAATAATTTTATTATGTTTTTTTTTTTCAAAACAGTGTAAGATTACGATTTCGTATGAGATTTGCTAGTACCATGAGATATGCAAGTTCGTTTCCGGTTACTAAATGACTTCCCGATTTCATGTTGGTGTTCATAAAACTCGCCGTTCATAATTGAATTGAATCTCACTGATGAATAATCAAAATATTTTTTGCATACATTTTAAATCTAGCGAGAGTTTTTGTGAACAACTGTTATTGCATTTACTGGATGTTTCCTGCTCGTGAAAATATATGGAATTTTATCATATTTCGTGAAAATATATTTCATATTTCACTCAAACGAATGATATGTCCTCCTTATAGTATTTGCCAACATAAACATATTTATGTCAGTCTCATTGACATGTATGAGATTATTCAATTTTAAATGTCTTTAATGCTTCTTATCAACATTTTTCGGTCTAGGTGCTATCTGATTACTTAGTAGCATACAATAATTGATTCTATAAGGAAATTATGTAATATACACTGTATTACAGTCTATGTTTTATAC